TGTTGGTTGTTTTGGGCCCGCCCGGCTCTGGTTGCTCGACGTTCTTGAAGACGATTGCCGGTGAAACAAATGGACTCTACACCGACGACAGCTCCTACTTCAACTACCAGGGTAAGTGGCTGAATCCTCAAAACGGGAGGAACAGGGGTTCGATGTGGCTGGCGGTGTGAGATCTCACCCGCAAGACACGGAAAGCCACCTCGTGTAACAATCAAATAAGCCGGATGGCGCTGACAGCTTACAGGAATGGCCGCCAAGGAGATGCACACGAACCACCGTGGTGAGGCCATCTACACGGCTGAGGTCGACGTCCACTTCCCCCAGCTGTCTGTTGGTGATACTCTGACCTTCGCCGCCCGCGCTCGTCAGCCCCGTCACCTCCCCGAGGGAATTGACAAGAACACATTCGCCAACCACTTGAGGGATGTCGTTATGGCCATGTTCGGCATTTCTCACACCGTCAACACCCGCGTCGGTAACGAGTACATTCGTGGTGTGTCCGGTGGTGAGCGCAAGCGTGTTACCATTGCTGAGGCTGCGCTCTCCGGTGCACCCCTTCAATGCTGGGATAATAGTACCCGTGGTTTGGATTCCGCCAACGCCATCGAATTCTGCAAGACCCTTCGCCTGCAAACCGAGCTCTTTGACAGCACTGCCTGTGTGTCCATCTACCAGGCTCCTCAGAGCGCCTATGACTTGTTCGACAAGGTCGTCGTGTTGTATGAGGGACGCCAAATCTTCTACGGCAAGGCCAACGAGGCTAGGCAGTATTTCATCGACCTTGGCTACGACTGCCCTGCCCGTGCCACTACTCCCGATTTCTTGACGTCCATGACTTCTCCCCAGGAGCGTCACGTTCGCAAGGGCTGGGAAGACCGCGCCCCCCGCACACCTGATGAGTTTGCCGCTTGCTGGAAGAACAGTGCCAACTACAAGGCCCTTCAGGCCGAGATTGAGGAGTACAAGCAGACTCACCCGCTCAACGGTCCCGACGCTGAGGCTTTCCGTGCCTCCAAGAAGGCCCAGCAAGCCAAGGGTCAGCGTGCCAAGTCTCCCTTCACCCTCTCCTACATCCAGCAGATCCAGCTCTGCTTGTGGCGTGGATGGAGACGTCTGATCGGTGACCCCAGTATCACCGTCGGCTCGCTTATCGGAAACGTCGTCATGGGTCTCATCATTGGAAGTGTTTTCTACAACCTGCAACCCGATACCAACAGCTTCTTCCAACGTGGTGCCCTCCTGTTCTTCGCCCTGCTCATGAATGCCTTCTCCAGTGCCCTCGAAGTAGGTTTCCCCCTGTTCCTCATTTTACGTACAACTCTGACATTCGCAGATTCTTACCTTGTACGCCCAACGTCCCATCGTCGAAAAGCACTCCCGCTATGCTCTGTACCACCCTTCGGCCGAGGCTGTTGCATCCATGCTGTGCGACATGCCTTACAAGATCTCGAACACGCTAGTTTTCAACCTGGTTCTCTACTTCATGACGAACTTGCGGCGCGAACCCGGAGCCTTCTTTTTCTTCCTGCTGATCTCGTTCTTCACGGTCTTGACCATGTCCATGATCTTCCGTACGATCGCTTCTTCGTCCCGCACGCTCTCGCAGGCTATGGTTCCCGCCGCCATTCTCATCTTGGACCTCGTCATCTTCACCGGTTTCGTCATCCCCATCGACTACATGCTGGATTGGTGCCGCTGGCTCAACTACCTCGACCCTCTCGCCTACTCTTTCGAGTCGCTCATTGTGAACGAGTTCCATGGCCGCAACTTCACCTGCTCCGAGTCTAGCTTTGTCCCTCGAGCGATTCCTCAAGTCCTCGGCTCCAGCTACACGAACCTTTCGCCGACTGAGCGTGTCTGCAGCGCCATCGGCTCGGTCGCTGGACTTGATGTTGTCAACGGCGACGACTACGTCGGCTCCGGATTCCGGTACGAGTATGGCCACCGCTGGCGCAACTTCGGCATTTTGATCGCCTTCATGCTGTTCTTCCTGATGACCTACATGGTTACGGCAGAGTTAGTCTCTGAGAAGAAGTCGAAGGGCGAGGTTCTTGTTTTCCGTCGTGGACACAAGCCCGCCACCTTCAAGGAGAAGCACTCGGACGACCCCGAAGACATCCGCGTTGGTCCCGTCACCACTGCCGACCGCGCCCGCGTCTCCGAGAAGAACGATGGTCTCATCGAGGAGCAAAAGTCTACGTTCCACTGGAACGATGTTTGCTACGAGGTTCAAATCAAGAAGGAGACGAGACGCATCTTGGACCATGTCGACGGTTGGGTCAAACCTGGTACTCTGACTGCTCTAATGGGTGTGTCTGGTGCTGGTAAGACGACGCTTCTGGATTGTTTGGCCGACCGTACCTCTATGGGTGTCATCACTGGTGAGATGTTGGTCGACGGCTATCACCGTGACACATCCTTCCAGCGCAAGACCGGCTACGTTCAGCAACAGGATCTGCACTTGCAAACCACTACCGTCCGCGAAGCCCTCAACTTCTCCGCCCTCCTCCGCCAACCCGCCCACGTACCTAGACAAGAGAAGCTTGACTACGTTGAGGAGGTTATTAAGCTGTTGGATATGGATGAATACGCCGATGCTGTTGTCGGTGTTCCTGGTGAAGGTCTTAACGTCGAACAGCGTAAGCGTCTGACCATTGGTGTCGAGCTTGTCGCTAAGCCTCCTCTGCTACTCTTTGTCGATGAGCCTACCTCTGGTCTGGACTCACAGACTTCCTGGGCCATTCTCGATCTTTTGGAGAAGCTGACTAAGAGCGGTCAGGCTATTCTTTGCACCATTCACCAGCCTTCTGCCATGCTCTTCCAGCGCTTCGATCGTCTCCTGTTCCTGGCCAAGGGCGGCAAGACTGTCTACTTCGGCGACATTGGCGAGAACTCGAAGGTCATGACCTCGTACTTCGAGCGCAATGGCGGTTTCCCCTGCCCTGCTGACGCTAACCCTGCCGAATGGATGTTGGAGGTTATCGGTGCTGCCCCTGGCTCCCACACCGATGTCGACTGGCACCAGGCTTGGCGCAACAGCGCCGAATACGGCGATGTCAAGAAGGAATTGCAGCGCCTCAAGGATGAGCGCGGTGTCCAGACCCCTGCTACCCAGGACAAGGCCAGCTATCGCGAGTTTGCCGCTCCCTTCTTCGGCCAGCTCAAGGAGGTTACCCACCGTGTCTTCCAGCAGTACTGGAGAACCCCATCTTACATCTATGCCAAGGCCGCTCTTTGCACCTTGGTTGCTGCTTTTATCGGTTTCGTCTTTTTCAAGGCGCCCAACACACAGCAAGGTCTTCAGAACCAAATGTTCGCCATTTTCAACCTGCTTACCGTCTTCGGCCAACTTGTCCAGCAGACCATGCCTCACTTTGTTATCCAACGGTCCTTGTATGAGGTGCGCGAGCGTCCATCCAAGGTCTACGGCTGGAAGGTCTTCATGCTCAGCCAGATCATTGTCGAACTACCATGGAACACCTTGATGGCTGCGATCATGTACTTCTGCTGGTACTACCCCGTCGGTCTCTACAACAACGCTATTCCTGCCGACCAGGTTACGGAGCGTGGTGCGCTGATGTTCCTGTACCTGCTCGTCTTCCTGTTGTTCACCTCGACCTTTACCGACTTCATCATCGCTGGTTTTGAGACTGCGGAAGCCGGAGGCAACATCGCCAACTTGCTCTTCATGCTTTGCCTGATCTTCTGCGGTGTCCTCGCCAACCCCGACTCCATCCCTCGCTTCTGGATCTTCATGTATCGTGTATCGCCTTTCACGTATATCGTGTCAGGCATGTTGTCGACGGCCGTCGCCAACACCGAGGTGGTTTGCGCTGCTAACGAGTACCTGCACTTCAACCCTCCTTCTGCACAGACTTGTGAGCAGTACATGCAAGCCTACATGGGAGTGATGGGTGGTTATCTCAAGGACCCCAACGCCACTACCGACTGCCAGTTCTGCACCATCAAGGACACCAACTACTTCCTTGCTGGCGTCAAGAGCGATTACGCCGACCGCTGGAGGAACTTTGGCATTGCCTGGGTCTACATCATCTTCAACGTCTTTGCCGCGCTCGGCCTGTACTGGCTGGCAAGAGTGCCCAAGAAGGGCGGCCTCTTTGGCAAGAAGAAGACCGAGTAAGATGCCAATTGTGGTCATCTTTCTCACCTAAAAGTTCTTTGCACGAAGGAAACGAACGAAAAAAGCAAATGAAAAAGAAACGTCGAGATACCTTAACGTGGAGGATTACGTATGGGTATGTGTACGAGCGAGCTGTTTAGAGAGGAGAGCTCGGGTGCAAACCTGGATGGAGGGAGGCCTGGGCCACCTAGATCGGCCCCTAAGCCATGGGCCTCGGCAGTCATGTGTCTCATGGTGCATAATGATGAGCACTTCTCGTGTATTTAAATGTCCTCTGGCTCTCAAGTAGAGATGATACATTCCCCTTTCTTATTCACTCTTAATAGATATCCTAGAGATCAATGCCACGTCTCCCGTAATAAAACCTTCCGTGGAAGTGCGTTAATTTCAGCCGGCTTGTGCTCTAAGATAGGTTGGCACCATAATGAGAATTAATAGAGTTGATGTGTCTGTGGGGTTTGACATTAACATCCCTTGACTGTCAGCTTTGCTATAGGTTGAGTACGTCATTGTTCTTTCCGTTATCCTTGTCGTCGTTCTTGTCGTCGTCCTTGTCGTCGTCCTTGGTCCTTCTCATCATGTCATCATTCCTATTCTACTGGTCGCCCTTATTATCCCCTCCTGCCTGAGTACTATAAGTAGCACTTGTGCTGAAAAGATCACCGTTACAGATGGCTGGGCAGCCTGGATGGGTAGACTGCCAGCAAGGTCCGCAACACGTGCTTTTGCGGAGCAGCCCTGAGGACCTTGCGTCAAGAGAAAACTACACACTATCTGCCATTCCCAGCGAAGCCTCGTAAACTCGGCCCTCACATTCTCAACAACACGATGGTATTTGAGTCTCTCGGTGACGGAAGCGATGGAGGACCAAGGTCTTCATCACCAGGAAGTTCGTGTTCCGGGCGAGGCGCAATCACAGATACAAGATACACAGACGATCGACCACGTTGCCTACCAGAACAACATGGAAGACAGACGAAGACTCTTCCAGGACATACAGGAAGTAGACTACCTAAAGGGTACTAACCCTGACAGATACGAAAAGATGTCGAAGGACAGTTTTACGAAAGAGGTCTGGGCTTTGTATTGGGTCGCTCCTTACGACGAAGTCATCCGTGCCCGTGAAAGAATCAGACGGGGGGAAATTAAATCATGGAACATGGATACGTTTCTTCAGAACGCCACAGAGATGCTGCCCATGGTCATGTATCTTGGTAAGGAAACACAAACTATCAATCATGGCCAAGAAGATTGACAAGGCCGCAGTGAAAAACGAGGCATACTATCGTGGCTGTGCACAAGAGAGGACTGAGCTCGTGAATAAACACTTCGGGTATATCAGCAGCCTCCATTTATTATTTGGGGGCAAGAAAGCGTGGGAGTACTCGGAAGCTCCGGCTTCCGCCGGTCTCCGGGGACCACCGCCTGACCCTATCCTGACCGATCTCAGAAGGAGGGCAACTGCCATGATCTTCCTCCTTGAAGCCGCCCAAGCCGGCCATGTGACAGACGATATCTTGGAAGAAGAAGCTGTGAGGGCAGTGACGTCTTCCCAAGAACCTGATGTGATAGAAACGCATTTCCGGGAGCTCAGACGCATTCACGAGTCTCAGTGGCAACAAAAGAAACGCGAAAAAAGAGCGGCCAGGAACAACAGCATCTCCTATCTCGACAACATCCAGGCCAGACAGGACATTTTGAAGCAGATTCAGGAGGCCAATTATCCAGTCACCATGCCGATCGGGAATAATACTATATTTGCAAGAATCGGCAGAGATTTGCTCAGCAAGGAGGCATGGTCCGCGTTCTGGGTTGCTCCAATCGACCAGCTACGCCAGCTGAGCCTGAAGATTAGCAACAAGCAAATCCAACTACGCGAGATCCAGAACGCGCTTGCTGAGACTGCAAGAGATCTACCTGACGCAATAGCTATCAGTAAGCAGAACGAGTTCTATGTTCGAAGAAAGGACTAACAATTCCCGCTGTCGCAGTAATGAAGAACAAATACGGATATGAGACCAATACACCAATGGCAACAACAGAAATGGGCACCGACGACAACGAGGAGGCCCATATCTACCCGCAGAAAAAGATCGAGCACGCGTCAGAGTGTGTAGCGAAGATACAGTGTCTTGATCTTCTGTTTGGAGAACAGAAGATCAAGGAGTATACGACGGCTCTGTGCTCAGACTGCGTGAAAAACCTGGCGAATCTCACCACGCTCGACGAAGGTCTGCGGACCATGTGGGACCAGGGTAAGGTCACGCTGAGGGTCAGATCATTCAACGAGAATAGAGTCAACCTGGCAGTCCATTATCTCAGGGACTCGAAGCTGAGAATCAGATCGAGAGCCCAAGAACGATACAGATGGGAGAATGATTTCACGGTGACGCCTGCGGACGTACTTGACTTCACGGATGCGCACGTAATCCCCACGGCTACACAGTATTATTTTCAGGATGAATTTACGTTCAAAATGCACGCTGAAGATCGAAGACTGCGCTCCGATCCGGTTTTGCTCGATCTCCGTGACAAAATCGCTGTCATGGCGCCTCTCCTGGGCGCAACCGAATACATTGACGACGATCATGGCAATGTCAGTGAGGGAACGAGACAATCGCCGGTCGATGAAGCCGAAGACGATCAAAGTGTTGATGGAGACATATCCGACATGGGTGAGGATCTTTACATGGACGATGACAACTATGAGTATGATTCAGACGAGTGAGGGAGAGGAAGGAGGCTAGAATTCGAGTCGCGACCCCTCCGGCCTCGAAGCCAGCTTAAGATGACTTCCATGTGAATGACCCGACTAATTTGTACTTGCCGGTCGTTCCCCCTTAGCTCCTTCCCTGAAAATATTGCGCCGTGCCTCTTTCCCCAGCGGACTCTGAAAATCTCACCTTGTCTACGCCGCCTGCCCAACTCTGCAAACCCACAGTCTCCCATCTATAAAAACCCCCAATTTTTCAAAACTCAGCCAGCAAATATCTTTCACCGCCACCATTCATCTCTGAGGAAGCACACGGCTCCCACTTCAACTTCATATCAGCTACAAGACACGCTGGCGACGACACTCCTCAATTTCCACCCGGATATCTACCTCTCACTTGCAATTTACGAAGATACCCAACCCAAGCCACAAGAGAACCCGAAAATGCCTCCTCTCAACCTATCGCGCGTTTCTGAGATGATTGAGCGACTTCAGAATACCCTCGAGGAGGAGTCGCAACAAGCTGGCCCTCGGTGGCTGATCAAGACATATGACGACCTCACGCCAGAGGAGAAGAGCATACCCGACGATTGGCTCCCCCGCCTAAATCACTGCAACCGAATTGGCGCCCTCGACTCGCCGGAGAAGAAGGAAGCTGCACGGCAGAAGATCTGGACCCTGGTTTTCGACGGCTGGGATACCGACTCCCCGATCCCCAAGCCCACCAGTCCCGGCGGGAGCAAAGCCACGGATGGCATCGTCAAGATTGGCGTTCTCAACGAAGATGCTCCGAGTTCTCGAAAGCGAAAGGCTGATGGATCCATGGCTCCCGTACCTGCCTGGCGTTCTCGTGGCGCTGATGTGTTCATCAAGGCGAAAGCTCACTGGCGACGACAAGATTTGTGCTTCCCACTCTGCGACTCACGAGGCATAGCATTCGCCTCCAACATCAGCTATAGGAAGCTTCCTGGAAGCAGTCTCGGTCGACTGAAGGGCGAATGCAGTAGCCGCTGGGACTCGATTGAGGTCTATCGCGGACGAAAGGCGAACAACGAACTCGTCGCTTACTGGGCAAGAAATAAGCTCATGGTCTCTCTCAAGAACAACTGGAGAGGCCGCGGAGACCCTGACGCTGTCGGTCTTCCTGGCTCGCGAACCACCGCCACACTCCCAGGCCGGTCCACGATGGAGATTGACCAGATCATTGACCTTGGAAAGTTGACATACATCAAGCTATGCATGGATATCTGGGAGGCAAACCGCGACGCCGCCAGCTTTCACATGGCAATGAAGAACACCTACTCTGGGGTTTTCGAACTGTGTAAGTTTTATCGACCTCGGTTATCGCAAACCTGTCTAACTCATCTGAAAGCCTCTTAGCCATTTGGCCCGAAGACAATGAGCCAACAGAGCGCTCAAGAGAAGCTCCACAGAACATTATCGCGGCTCTCCTCTTTGGCCTAGTTCCGATCTTCATCCTCTCAGTTAATTGGTCCATGGAAATGCCTACGGTTTCTGTCGCTCGTTACGAGAGACAATTTGGTGTGTTCTTTCGGGAAAGGGAATTGGGTTTGTAACTACTCGGAGGGGCGTACTGGAGGGTCAAGGGTCGTTTGTAAACCGCGTTTCTTTTTTTCCTATGCATTTGAATTTGGGATCTCGTTTTTGCAGCTTGGAGTTTTCGTTCTTCTCACTACGGTATATCGTCTTCGGAATTGGAATTTTGCTCTGGTGGGTTTCGAGAAAGGATCAGTCACACTATGCCCCGTTCTTTATTTGACTCTCGCGCAATCAGTTCGTTTCAATAGGAACTCTGCCTCGTATTTTTCTATCGGAAAAATACAGTTCTTTTAAGTCCACTATGGTCGAAATCGCGTGCTTTGATCCTTCATGACGGCTAGGCTGCGTAATTCGTCGAAAGAAACGGGGTTTGAAGCGAGGCTCCTTTGCTTACAGACCACAGGGAGCGAGAGACTCAACGCTGACAAATCTAGTCAAAATTCGGGTAATACTCCAGTCCAAATGAATATACCTGGAGGTTTGCAAGCTGAGTGATCGGGTGCGAGCCCCTTACCATGCGGCGTGGATCTTTGCGCGTCTCAGAGGCACCAACACCACCAACGCGTACAGCCACCGGGCCTTGCATTTGGCCACTCACATGGGCTGTTATGATTGGGCTCCGCACAATAGCAGTCCACATCTAAGCGCCGACATCCTCACATGTTGGCGGCGCATTTATGATCCACGTCTCCCACCAGTCAAGTCATCGAAGTTTTCTTCCATATACATCCCCTTACACGCACAGTCTGACAGATAGCACTCCGGATCGCAGAGGCTGGCCAACACGATGGAGGTAGTTGGGGCCGTATCGAGCTTTATCGCTATCAGCCAAGCATTAGTGGCCGGCCGCCACATCGTCAACGTTCTCCGAGACATCCCGAAAATAGGCAGCGAACTACAATCGCTAGACTTCGAGGTTAGTTGCAAATCACGTTGGACAACGTCGCTATCTAAAAGTGCCACGGAGATTTTGAAAAGAACATTTGTCCTGATTTTCCACTTCCATAGATTCAAAGTCTTGCATCTGCAGTCAAGGCCGCTGAAAAGCAACAATATATCTCCCGCGGACGCCAGGCTGAATCTCTGGATCTCAAACTAGCGAAAGAACGGCTCGAGAAAACTGTCGAAGGCCTCCAGAACTTGCATCGCCGTGTCACGCGAACCGACGAAGATGGTAACGTCAAAGCGAGGAAGACAAGATGCTTATTCTTGCAAAAAGATCTTGCGGACTGTCGAGATAAGATACGTGATGCTAGAGATACCCTGCATCTTGTTCTGATGAACATGAACCTGGAAGAAACTACGTGCGTAGAGCGTCATCCACAAAAGGATGTTCATAAGTGCTGATAACTGGTGGCCAGCCGGATGGCACTTCGTGTTGAGAGCCTCACTATTCAGTCAACAGGCCACATTCCTCGTGCCCATGAATGCTCGAGGAGTGTGGCGCCAACGGTGGGAAACCTCCCCCTGATCACACCTCACACTACCGAATACCAATTTCCACAGCCAGTTCCAGATTCCGATCAAGCTTTACCAGAAAGGGTAGGTCAACTTACATCAGTTACGCGAGAGTTGACCTCCAACGTCCAACCACGGCCCCTTGAGGACGGCATGGTTTTCAAGGCCAAATTGTCAATGGAAAACAAGTGCTCACGTAATTGCTTGTGTCGTTGCCATGCCTCTAAGCAGTCATCTTTTGGCTATGGTGGCTGGGCAGGCAACATACTGGGCTCTTTCTCTGTGACATCGGACAGCAGCGTCTTCTTTCGGAATGCAACCAAATGCACCGAATCAAGTTGTAGGAAGAATCAGAAAGGCTCGATAACGGTCAACTACAAGTTTCCGACCTGGCTTTGGCCCCAAAGCTTCTCACTTCAGAGCTCTATGGGCAGTTTATCTGCACTAAGTGCTTCATTACGTCCAATGAGAATCCTGGCAGATGGTGCAACAATATGGCACATCATTCAAGACCAGTCAAGAGCGGAAGTGCAGCAGTTGATCATAAGGAAAGGCAACATATATCCCGATGATTGTGACTCTAAAGGATTGACACTCCTCGAGGTAAGCGTTTCACGGAATATCAAAGCACTGATGGCATCCAGTGGCTGACACTCGCAAAGTGGGCTATCACTGCTGGAACACCAGACGTGCTAGAATTTCTGGTGAAGTTTTGGGACGGAGAGATTGCAAAGTCACATATCAATAGGTAAGTATTAACTACGAAATGTATCATTTTCCTGGTCAAAATCCATCAACTTATCAACAAGCAGGAAGTGTGCTTTCAACGCGCAAAGTCAACTCACAGGCAGGCCACACATGACGTCTCAAGAATCTCAAGCACAACACAAGCTAGTACAGCTTGGCCGAGACACTGTCCAGGCAGTTCAGACACCGCTACACCAAGCGGCAACCTTGATCAGCAACGAAGAGACAATCCGGGAATCAATCCAAAAGGCCTTTAAACAATACTCATGGGCAATGAGTGAGTGGAACTACGAAGGCCAGACGCCACTACATGTTGGGGCGAGTCATGGCAATATTGTAGCCGTACGAGAGCTTATTCGTCTCGGCTCTAACGTGGACCAATTGAACTTCTTTGGGAGAACCCCTCTTATGGAAGCTATTAATATGGGGCATATATATGTCGCTAGGTGTCTGCTTGGGGCTGGTTGTTCGGTAAACGCTACAGCATCAGATGGATCAACAGCCTTACACTGTGCCGCATGTCCAGAAAAAGAGCCTGAGAAAGATCCTGCTGGCATAATCAGGGTTCTGCTCGATGCAGGCACCTCACCAGCACTTAAAGATGCATCTGGCAATACGGCATTGCACTGCCTAGAGGATTCCAACGTCAGTAGACAAGCCACAAAGGAAAAGATTCAGTTGCTTGTGAAAGCAGGTGCTGGAATCAACGAGCGTAGCGGTGATGGCGACACACCATTATTTCGGGCTATTCGCACTAATCAGCCAGAGGTTGCGAAATATCTCTTGAAGGCAGGCGCCGAAACTGATTCTCCACAGGGACTAGAGGGAAATGTCCTTCACGTCGCTGCTGCATATGGGGAAATTGAAGTCCTTCGCAGCCTGGGTAAAATGTATTTACCTCAAGTCAGAGCAGACATGAAAGATTCTGACGGCGATACTCCCTGGGATCTGTTCATTGGCACTTTGCATCAACCAGAATGGAAACTTGGGTCTGCGCGCAGACCAACCTCAGAAGAGAAGGAAGCTTTCGTGTGTTTGTACACACAGATCAGAAATCGCAACTTACAACATGACGTCGCCAGACTAGAGTGGGCACGACAATATTTTGTAGAAGAAGACCCGCGAGGCGCCTCTTCGGCGATAGCACAAATAATAAAGGAGAATGAGGAATGGAAAGAATGGAAGGCTGTTCAAACATACCAAGCAGTCAGGGTCCAAGTTCGGGAAAGAATGTGGGAGGCGGCAATTGAATCGGTGGACGAAAACGTCGATATTCTGAAAGATCAGATCTCCAAATCCCCTTGGGACCGGTGGTCTCACTACGATATCTTAGCAACGATGGATTCAGATGAGTTCTCAAACTAGGTTGATGGTACAGTTAGTCGACATTCTGAAAAAAGCATCAAGATCCGCGAACAAGTTCATCTTTGACCGGTCATCACTACAGAGCTGCAAAGCCATGCCTACTTCGTGTGAACGTCATGCCTGCTGCGGGTTGGAGCTGACTGGTAAGGGGGGGCTGAAAAATGCCGGAGGCTCCCTAAGTCGAGCATATTCACCTGAGCAGAGTGAGGAACCTAGGAAGCTGTGCTGATGGAAGTTCAAGATTTGTTGAACAGCGGGATTCGCGTCCCTCCAAATCACAGCCCAGACCTTGAGCTATTGAGTCCGCCGGACTTTTCGCTCACTGTCAGCCCATTATCAGGGCTGATCAGTGACGTTCACTTGTGGACGTTTTAAAAGCTATCCCCTTGGTATGGAGCTACCCACGAACAGCCTTTTGGGTAAGTTTGGCTGGCAGCAGAACGTTTTCTTTGTTGCAGCACGACCGGAGGGTCCGTTGACCCGAGAGTCAAAAAGGGTAAGACCTCGAATCTACTTTCAAGAGAGCTTGTGTCGAGTCAAAGAATGTGTTCTCGAACGCTACGCCATTCATCCATGTTTTCATCTCCTTCGGATCTACCAGTCTAAAATTGCCTTAAATATTCGGCAACGTGATTGTATACCGCCCAAGACGAGACAGCAGCGTACCAAAATTACCATTTCAACTCTGCCTTTCATCAAAGCGCAAATCTCACTCGACAGCCTGTTACAAAACGCTTGAACATTTGAAACGGATCCAATGCCGAATACAAAAAGCTACCGTTATGAGAATCTTGTCGAGCTTGTCAAGGATGTCAACAGGTTCCAGATTAAAGGCACAGAATGGAAGTTTTGTCTCAAAGATCCCACGAACCCGACCTCTCCTTGGAAGGCATTCGGAATTGTTCTTGAAGAGAATGTCAAGTGGCTGAAAAAGGCAAACAGTAAATGGCTCGACTTCGACTGGTTGTCAAAACAGATCCGGTTGATCAACCCACCCATCGACCCAAAAACGGGAATAATTCAGCTTAATTATGCCTGGAAGGAAATAGTAGACAAGCTTGACGAGATTCCAGGCGACAACTTACCTCAGTGGGTGAAGAAGGACACAAAATGGCTGTATAACGATCAGGAATCATGGCCTCTGATCGAGGAACATGAAAATTTCAGAAAGCTTTTCAGTGAAGGGATTTGGTGCGACCTTGTCCCGATATTCGGCATCCTTACGACCGGCGCACATCTCAACGTCTACAAGATCACCAAAGAAAAGGGCTTTCAGGTGTGGGTGTCTCAGCGCCCTGACACGCAACCAAACTTCCCCGGACTACTCGATCAAGCTGCAGCCGGTGGTTTTACACCGAGCCACAAAACGATCCTTGAGTGCATCGAGAGGGAGAAGAAACAAGAATCAAAGGGATATCCACGTAACTGGCGTGAGTTAATGCGCCAGAGCCCAGACATACCCACCATTCAATTCTTCGACGTGCGCGATGAGAGATGGGAAAAAGGCTACGCTGGCCTGCCTCAGCCTGGCATCAGAAAAGCATACGATCTAAGGGTTAACGACGAGGAAATTAACGGGAAGGAAGGCCAAACTATCAAATTGATGAGTATCGACGAAATCAGAGAAAGCTTGCTGCATGGGCGATGGAAACCGAGTTCCGCGCTAGTTATGATCGACTTCATGATCCGCCATGGGCTCATCGAAAATGAGATCGAAAAGGCGGAAATTCCGAGGCTATTAAAGCTCGACCTTGAAAGGCGATTCGGCTTCGACATCGCCGTCACTGAGCTTTCTGATTATGTGCAATTTCCTCTACATGGCAACAAGTAGACTCCATTCTCCGCAAGCCCATATCGAGGCTTGCTTTTATGTGTGGAAGTCGGTTGCGCCAGTGCTCTACGTTGTTCAGATTCCATTTTCACACTGCTACTGTATAGATGTAGACGAGACGTCAAGCCAACTTCAATAGTCATTCAGCTCCGTGGCGTTCGAAGGTTTCTTCAGTACAGGCCTCTTGCATATTACACTGAAGAACTAGAGTAACATGGGCAATTGCGTGGATGAAGCCTTTGCCATGCCCAAATCATCCAGTCCCAAGAAATGCTCAATATCCAACTGCTACATAAGGAGATTGCATGACATCAATATTAGCCAACCCGTCGTGGAGAACATTAAAACCTCTTTTTCATCGCGTAGCCCACAACTACACCTGACTTCTAGCCTTCCTCTCCTTCTCAGACGAGGTATTCTGTTCCAATAACAGGGTATCAATTCTCGCCATGACGCCATCAAGAACGGAGCGGACCAAGCCATCAGGAGCCATGCCTGCCTCAGTGCACGCATTGATAACCGTATCACCGCCAGCCATACCAGCAACATTGAAGACTATACCATGATATCCAACAGCCCCGTGAGGAGAGGCGGTAGAAAACTGAACGTCCTCGATCCTCACGGCCGGCTCCTCTCCACCAGCCGATACCGTAGTGGCCTTGAGTGCACCTAAGTTTGAGACTGAAAAGCTGTTCTGCATGACCACATTCATTGAAGGCAGAGACTTGTTGACAAACTCCTCGAGTGTCGGGCCCATGGTGTTTCCGCTCAGCCAAGACTTGCAAAGCTTAGAATTGGTGCCACCCTTGCGGAACTTTTGCATGCGCTTGCCGTAATCGCGAACAAGTTTCCAGGTTTCCTTTGTGTCAAGGTACGCCCTAGACTGCTGAATGCCATCGCCTGAGAACATGGTGGGGAGAACCTTTCGGTACTTTCCGAGACGCTCTTTCTCTGGGACGCTGGCAGCCAAGTTGAGCATCTTGCCCTGCCCAGCTGCCAGATCCTCAAAGTCACAGACTGGTCGCATATCGACTGCGTACCGTGTGAATCCAACCTTTGCCTTGCGATAGTGGTCCGCTGCCAAAGTGCCAGTGACCAAGACCATAAGCAAAGGAGTGAAAGTTGTCCCGTGGCTTCGGCAGGCAGCCAAAATAGATTCCATCTTTTGAGCGGGGATGCGATAGTTGTAGACCTGTGTGGAGGTTCGATCTTGAGGCAAAGGGTTGCCCAAGGAATCTTTGAGAAACTTCCTGGGCGGGGCAAAGTCCGTAAAGAAGAGGGCTTTGGAGTAGAAGTACCGGAGGAAGGCAAAGCTTAGGAAGCTGTAGATAACACCAAGCGCGGATGGCTTCTTCCGGATAGTGTTCTTGACTCTCTCGTTTAGTCTCATTCTTTCAGGGTTCAAGTGAACCTCCCGTGGAGCTTGTTGTCTCATTCCTGAGACGGCTGCGGCATTGAGCGACGCAAGAAATTCGCGGTGGAAGGTCATGCCGAACGAGCCGTCGCAGACGAGATGGTGGAAGAGGAAGACGACGTCGCGACGTCCGAGGATAAGCACTTTCCACCATGGCTGACCGGGTCTAACTTCTCCATCGGCCCAGAGCCATTCGCTGTGGAGCTTCTCGAAGAGATCTGAACCGAGGGGTGGGACGTTGTGGTCGATGAATTCAACGCAGCTGTCGAGGTTGATCGTATTCAATGAGGCCAAAGAAAGGAAGTGCTTTCCATCTTCGTTCATTTCTTTGACGCCAACCAGACCAAGCTCTGGGCACTTAGTGACGACGGCATGAAGGGCTGCAAAAACTGTCTCATCTGACAGGTCGAGATTTTGACCGGTCTTCGCTGAGGCGTACCGAGCCGCGACCAGGACGTTTGCTTGAATTCCAAGGCGATGGTAGACATAGAACATGCGATCCACTTGAGCTGTTAAGGAATTAGTATTTGCTCGTCGTTTTGCGGACACTAGGCTTACTGGTCTTGCGGACGATTGTGTACGGGCTGGGTTGTACCGCGGCATCTTGCCCCTCTTTAGCAGTGAGGGTTGTGGTGGCCATTTTCCTGTGGAGCTTGCGCGTAACTAAAGCAGAGCTTCGAAGTTCTGGGACGTGTAAACTTCTGAGAAAGCTCCAGGCTTCCTGACAGATCTCCGAAGACTTTTCCGGTTTTGCCAACAAGAGCCTAGAACGAGACTCCATCCAGGGCTCAATGCTGTATTTGAGCTTCAGTATCCCAGGGGCCGGTCCTTCACAACCCGCATGGACGGGGTCACAAGGAAACATTGCCAAGTGATCCAAGCTCCATACCTTTTTCGTCGGTGTTGCACCGCGCTCAGATCTTCATCCCATCACGAGCATAGCTCCCAGACGACCTCCAGTTGAACTATGAGCTTGAATCAACTTTGAAACCAATCAGCAGACTGGAAAATTTCATTTCTGTCTGCCAATGAACCACTCATCGTTCACGAGAGTGCCACCCCGGATTTTTAAGGTCTTCACTTGCATGAAGACTCAAACTGCGTCCTCGGTCAAACACAAATGGTCTCTGGAACTCGTCTGAATTCAGGAAACAGCAGCACGTCTCCAGTCAGCATTGAAGGAATATCAGGTGCAGAAATCTGACCAAGATGTATTCCGTGACCTTCGAGAGGCGCGACGTTGGATCCGCGATCAAAATGAAGCTGTGGTGCTCACTCTTGGCAGCATGAGCTCAGACATCTGAGCAGCACGCCCTGTTGCATCTCTGAGGATCAATCAAAACATCATCTGTATGCGGGGTAGCTGTCACATGTAAGGGTAAGATGCTTTCAAACCACACGAAACTTGTATTCTGATGTCTGGATAAACCCCTGGCCTCACATCAGGATGGGCTCAACTGAAAGGCGGTTCATCTGGTGTCTCCCTCCCATGCCTCAGTTGGGAATCTCATCGATGCTCGAGATGGTGACCTCCTTAACCCCATTCAATTCACGGCGTAATTTGCTACTGGCGGCATAGACTACATATGTCAGTACTCACAGCCGCAGCAAGACGTTTGGATAGGAAACATACCAACGCGCCTGAGCCTATTCGGACTCCCCAGCGGCTGCAAGCTCTTCAGTCCGTGCCAGGGATCAACCCGCATGTAATCCTCCCAGAACCGCTTCCTTTCAAAGTCAAAACTATTTTGACATGGAATGACAAGCTTGGCGACCGTCTGCCATGGGTACCTTTCCTCGTCCCACGCCTGACCCGCGTACTCAACGGGCTGCTCCTCCTGATTCTCCAGCAGTTGGACCTGGAACATGTACTCAGCCTCATGGTTGGCGTGGAAGTTCTGCAACCATTTCTGTAAGATGTCTTCGTCGTGTTCTGGTTTGACCGTCTCTTCGTACAACCTTCTCTGCGTGTCGCTCGATGGCACCAGGGAGTATTTCATCACGTAGTCTCCAAACCGGTAAGCTGTTTGCGAATACTGCCTCGTTGATTCGAGGTGAGAATTCCGAAGCTTGTCTCGGGCCGTTTGGAGCTCTGCATCCTGCCGAGCATTGAGATGTTTGTACAATTCTTTCTTGTCATCGCCATACTTCAGGCGCAACTGAAAAATCTCCTTCGTGGTCTTAGCATCGGCAAGCTCAATGGCAGGCGCACTGTTGAACTCGATGTCTTGCGTGGGACATTCTTTGCCTGCATCGAACATGTCACCCTCGACATTGAAGAGCTTCATTGCAAAGCCACGTGGCTGTGGGATGCGATCCTGGTAGATTTTTCAGCTGATGCTGGTATTTGAATCAAGGCTGAAGACTTACGTCAAGACCTGGGTCTCCTGGCTCTGAGCTGTATCGGCAAGCAACAGGGTACTCGCCCCCTTGTCGAAACAACTCAGTCTGCCTCAGATGTTTTGGCAGATCATTCTGAACGATAAACTTGCCCTTGACAATGCCTTGCGTTCTCGCGTGAGTCGCACCATAACCATGACGAGTCTTGTTCCAGGTCCTGCGTTGTTGCTCATTGATCAGCTTGGCCACTGTTTCAATGTCTTCGTCTTCATTCGGCGGGACCTTCTCGACACCATCTGCGTCCCATTTCACGTATTTTCGGCTGGCAAGGTCGTTGGAAGGTGCCATCTCGCTTTTCGTTCTTTCACTTTTGCACAATCTACGCGAACTTACTGAGGCTGTGACCAGCGGAAGAATTTATTGTATCCTTTTTGCTTCATACAGCGCATACCTATTTGCAATACGCATAGTAGAATTTCATCTCATGCCGTCATCATTACAATCACCACCAAATAGCACATGAAGACGTTTTGAGCCAAATACGCGCTATGATTCATTGGCGAACGCTAACAGTTGTGGCGTCGGAACCATCAACTGAGATAGGGCCGACCCCGCAAAGGAAGTCAAGGCTTGTTGGAATATTCCGCAAAGACCACGTTGGAATCGACAAGTTCTGTAAAGCTCTTCAGGAATCAGAGCTACGTAAGCGCTGCAACAAACATTCAGAGAATGCCCAGCATTACGACTGATTTGAGCTGAGCCTTGGCTGCGAGACCTCGGTTTTCCAGAAATGTTCTAGCTTCGGCGGGAGACGAGCTTACTTGCTTGCCCTGCTGATCCTTTCAGGCATCACGGGATAGCTGACGGCTTCACAGCCAATAGACTAATGCCCCGCCAAACTTCCGCGAACCCGCGTATCAATGAACCGACTAGGAAGGAAACACAGCCGGAGACAGCGCGGCCAATCGGCCCCACATATAGTCGGAGAGGCCGACTGTTGGTACCAGTTCAGCTCCACAGCTCTGGGCGACAGTTCCCTTCGCCTGGGGTCCTCCAGACCTCCGGGTACCATGCGCTCGCTGATCTTGGCTCGGGCTGCTGATGCGACCGACCGGTTCAGTGGCAGTGACAGGCCACTGGTCAGTGGTTCGTCCGAACGTTTGGGGATCACCGGGACATTGGCTAGCCGTTGCGCCATGAAACATCAGCTATGTAGCTGGCATGTGGTCGCTTGCGTCGAACTATGTCCAACGAAAACGGCTTCTACAGCAAGAGACCTTGTAAAGACTCATAGGTGAAGAATGTTAACAAGATGATGCCAACCAGCGAAGACACAAGGGGAGAGTTCCTGGATTTGCGGCCTCGGACGCGAGAAGCCGAAAGCGAGTGGCTTTGCAGGTCGCGTCATTTGGGTGGCTAAGACTGCTAAGTTCCCCATCGAATCAGCTAAGCGACCGTGGCTGGCACACACCAAAGTCTCCAGGCATGGGCTGGGCAAGGCACCCCGCGCAGTCACTGCGCCACCTGCAAGTGCAAGTGACGAAGCAATAGAGCAATGAGGGGCAGCGGAAACGGGGCACTGCTCTCAGCGGAGGGTGAGAAGCATTCTCCCGTTCTGCATGCATTCTGGCCCCTCCTTGGCAATCTCCGCGAGCTCCGTTTCTACGCTAGCTCCTGTTGAATCCCGCCTCACGTTTGGCGCCTTTTAAAGCTCAGCTGTTTCCCCTCTGCTGACTTCGGAGACATTATCATTATCATCAAGCATTCGACTATTCAGCCGTTTCGATCCATATCGACATTCGACCACAAATCATCTAAAAATTCCATCAAACATCTTCCACAGTACTATGTCTTCGAACGACTACTACGGCAACAGTGGCCACGGCCAGCAGGGTTACAACCAGGGCCATCTACAGCAGGGCTATGGCCAACAGGGTGGTTATCCCCAGCAGCCAAGCTACGCTCCTCAAGTAAGCACCCAAATTATAATTGTTTTGGATCACGGCGTCATTTGGCAAATGCTGATGTCTTCCTCAACAGCAGCAGCAAGGCGGCTACCCTCAACAGTCACACTCGCCGTACCAGCAGGGTGGTGGCTACAACGCTCCCCAGCAGCACGGATACGGCGGCCCCCAACAGCCCACTTACGCCCAGGGTCAAGGCCACAGCCAGGGTTACTCCTCTGGACATGACAACCGCGGTCACTCTCCCTACCCTCAACAACAACAATATGGCCAGCAACAACACGGCCAGCAAGGCTATGGACAACAGGGCTATGGACAGCAGGGCGGTCCAGGCCAGTACGACCCCAATGGGCCTGTCGGCCCTGATGGCGAGCGTGGCCTTGGCGCGACACTAGTCGGCGGCGGAGCTGCCGGATGGGCTGCGCACAAGGCCGGAGGCGGCCTGCTCGGTACTCTCGGTGGTGCTATCGCCGGCGCAGTCGGTGCCAACATGTTGGAGCACGCCGGCAAGAAGCATAAGAAGGAGAAGAAGCACAAGAAGGACAAGCACCACAAGCGCGGTCTCAGCGGAAGCTCCAGTTCCAGTAGCGACTAAACGCGTTTCCTTGTCTCCTTTCAATCACGACGTAATCGGTATGCGAAGCTGTCGGAACACTTCGGGTGCCACAATTTGGACGATACCCAGAACGCCTACACGAGCTCACGACAGTTTGGACTTCATTTTGTGGGATGCACATAGATGTTAATGTATTATTATGGTTCATACTCCAACACAAACAAACATTCAATGATTTTGTAACTCTCATGTCGCATTACTTCGAACTGGTATCTCAAACAATCTCTACATTTTAATACAATTACTGCTCACTCCATTGTCTCTAGGTTCTTTGCAACCTTGAACGAGGCATCGGTCTTCGCGCGTACCTCGTCGACGTCAACGCCCGGCGCGACTTCGGTCAGAGTCAACCCCCCATTCTTGCGATCGACCTCAAAAACACACTTGAGATACGTTAGCAGCTATTCAAAACGCGAACTGTTCAACCACGACTCACCAAATCGGTAATAATAGTGCTAACCACGCGAGCACCGGTCAGAGGCAGGCTGCAGTCCTGCACGATCTTCGAAAACCCATCCTTCGCAACATGCTCTGTCGCGACAACGATCTTGGTGTTATCCGGGTTGGAAACCAAGTCCATGGCACCGCCCATACCCTTGAACACCTTTCCGGGGATCATGTAGTTGGCCAGGTCACCAATGGCGCTTACCTGCAGCGCCCCGAGAATGGAGACATCCACGTGGCCGCCACGGATCATGCCGAAAGACTCGGCGCTGTCAAACGTTGAGGCTCCGGGCACGAGGGTGACAGTCTCCTTGCCGGCGTTGACGATGTCACTTTCAATGATGTCAGCCTGAGTTCACTGTTGTTCAGAATGACGCCACTCACGGGTCGACCTCGTCTTTGGTGGGGTAGGGACCCATGCCGAGAATACCGTTCTCGGACTGGATCCAGACCTTGCGCTCAGCAGGCAGGAAAGAGGGAGCAAGAGTGGGAATGCCTGCGACTGTCAGCGACACTTTTCATTGTCCGGCTTCCAGGCTAACTTACCAACACCGAGGTTCACGTAGAAACCCTCCTTCAGCTCCTTGGCCGCTCGCCTGGCGATACGGTTGCGGCGTTCCTGGGCTTCGTTCTTGGCCTTGGACAGGTTTTCGCCCTCCCCGTCCTCGGCTCTTAGCTTTAGGATCTCAATGTTCTTCTCGGCGGTCGCGGGGACGATGCGGTCGACGAAAATACCGGGGAGGTCGACGTCGTTGGCATCGATCTCACCAGCTTCAACGATGTGCTCGGCTTCGACGATAGTGACGGTCGCGGCCTTTGCCATGATGGGGCCAAACGCCTTGGTGGTGTATCTGTAGATGGCTTAGGTTAGCTCCAATTTCATGCAGTTGAAATCACAAAACGTACCTGAAGACGCAGTTTCCAGCAGTGTCAGCCTTCCACGCCCTCAAAATAGCGACATCTCCGGTCAGGGCAGTCTCCATAAGATATGTCTTGCCATTGAACTCCCTTGTCTCTCTCGTCCTGCCACGCTCCGTAACGGCACCTGACGCATCAAGTCTAACGGGAATATCACCAGTCTGGACCAACGAGTCTAGAAGAGTCAGTCATTGGCCAAACAGGCATCGGCGATCTAGACCTACGTGCACCAGTGGGTGTGAAGAATGCGGGAATGCCAGCACCACCAGCACGGATTCTCTCAGCGAGGGTGCCTTGCGGACACAGCTCGATGCCAATCTTTCCTGTCAAGTATGCCTTTTCAAGAGCCTTGTTGGCTCCAAGAAATGAGAGAATGAGATTGTTGACTTGGCCAGACTTTGTGAGGATAGCCAAGCCACCCTTTCCCTCGATTCCGGCATTATTCGAGACTGCTGTCAAAGAGTGAAGGTTCTCGGGTCCCCTGCGGTTCAGCGCAGCAATCAGAGTGTCTTCCACTCATGTCAGTAATGCCAAACAGGCGCTTAATTGCGCTCGCACTCACCAGCAACGCCGCAAAGTCCGAAGCCAGAACTGAGAATCGTCGATCCGCTCTTGATGTCCGCGACAGCTTCGTCCGCGGAAGCATAGAGCTTCGATCCGCCTCTCTTGACACTCGGCGCCTTCGCAGATCTTCGGATTGATGTAGTCGTAAGAGCTCGACAGCTCACGGCTCCAATAGCCTTTGCGCGAGGGAAGCGCTGAGGTTGCGCGCAGAAAGATGGCACCGCAGAGAGAGCGGCCGTCGCACGGACAACCACCCTTGGGCGCAATTGACGTGTGAGTGAAGGCATTTTAACTCTGTGTTTCTGTCCTCAACGAAATCTCAAACTTGCGACACTGAGACACCAGCTGCAAGAACGACAGATAAGAAAAGATCCAGGTCCGATTGTCGGTAGCATTTCTGGGTTCGGGTTAGGTGGGCGCGACCTCATCTTTTTGACGAGCTCCTGGGCGGAGCCGATCGGGCGTTCTTCTGCACGCCGACGCCATCCCGTCTCCAACTTTGCGCTGACCGGGGGTTCGGCATGAGGGGGAGGGCCCGAGGAGCGCTGACGTCTGCAGAGCGGGGTTATCCCCGGCATTTGTTGGGGTTCTCGGCGGCCAGAAGTAGGCTCCGGGTCAGCGAGTCAAACAAAGCCGCTTTCATTGGCGCGATACGGCTAACGGCTAGCTTGACCTACCTTCCTAGATGGATAATCTGGGGATAGTAAGGAAGGGTTGGGGATGGTAAGCATAGTTCGCGTTCCCGTAGGGTACGTCCGCCCCCGCAGATTTGGGGTCTGGGGAAGATGGACTTCAAAAACGGGGGAGGGTCCCCAAGACTTTCCAAGCCTTGCCTATGCTTGGCACATTGTTGAGGTTCCCGTCGTTCTTGTTTCTCATCTTGTCGTTTGTGCTGAGTGCGATACCCCTCTTGTGTCCTGGTCGAAGCCTTTGCCATTTTCATCCCGTTTACCAACAAGATGACTCGTAACTCCAAGGAGTACGACATGGACCCGAAGGTCGAGCACACCGAAAGCCAGGTGGCTGCTGACGCGGAGCGTCAAGCTCATCTGACGAGGACCTTGCTCTTCAAAGTCGATACAAGGCAAGCGTAATTCTATCAACGAATCTTAATGGGATGAACATCAACTAACAAACTTGTGATTACCAGGGTCCTGCCTCTTCTGGCCTTGCTTTTCCTGTGCTCCTTTCTCGATCGAACCAACGTCGGTAACGCGAAGATCATTGGTCTCGAAGAGGACCTTGGCATCAACAACACCCAATACAACCAGGGCTTGGCTGTCTTCTACGCGACTTACATTGCCAGGCATGTTTTTTCTGTCGTCCAAAGTCACTCCGACTTTGTGAATGGACGCCCTGTCTCCACGTCCCAACCGCTAATGCATGCCTAGCGAACTGCCAAGCAATCTCGTCCTGAAGAAGGTCTCGCCAAGAATTTGGCTCCCGTTCCTGACAATCGCATGGGGTATTGTTACCATGTGCCTCGGTTTCGTCCGTAGTTACGGAAGTTTTGTCGCCGTTCGCGCCGTTCTCGGGATGTGTGAAGGAGGACTGCTACCTGGAATGGTTCTGTACCTGTCCGGTCTTTACACCCGTGGAGAGCTCGCTCTTAGAATCGGCATTTTCTACACCGCAGCGTCCCTGTCGGGTTGGTCATCTCTGTCTCCATATAGACTCCCTCAGGAACCTACTAACACCTTGATGTAGGCGCGTTTGGTGGTCTTCTTGCTAGAGGACTCTCTGCCATCGGTCCGAGGGGAAATCTTGAGGGTTGGAGATGGATCTTCATCATCGAAGGCCTCATCGTGAGCTTCCCTTTACGTACATTCATCGTCAAGCTTTGCTAACATTGGACGAAGACCGTTGTGTGTGGAACCATCGCTGCTTTCGGTCTCCCGAACAACCTCGCAACTGCAAAGATCCTAACACCTGAAGAGCGAGAATGGGCCTTGGTCAGACTTCAAGGTCAAGCCGGGGACAGATTCAAGTAAGAAACGTTGCTCCTCGACTGTTTTCAATGATCCCTAACCGATTTCTTAGTCTGGCCAGTGAGCGAGAGGAGAAATTTCGGTGGTCGGAAGTTGGTCGCGGCGTTCTCAACCTTCAAGTCTGGTTGAGTTCAACTGCCTACTTCGCAATCCTCTCTGGCCTATATTCTTTTGGCCTCTTCGTACGTCTTGTCTCTTCAAATCCTCAAAGTGATTGACCCATATTGACGTCCTTGAACACAGCTCCCTACCATCATCAATGACCTTCACATCGCATCCAACGCCAACCAGTCTCAGCTGTGGTCCGTTATCCCCTATGCTGTTGCTACCCCTGTGACAGGTAAGTACTATTTTCATAGGGCTCGTATTGGAGCTTCTCTAACTTGGCTTGAAGTTGTTGTTGCGTTCTTGTCGGACCGTCTCCGGGTGCGCGGCCCGCTCATGCTCGCCGTCCTGCCGATTTCGATCATTGGCTACGCTGTCATCGGCAATGTGACTGCGCCCCAGACAAGATTTGCAATGACCTGTCTCATGGCCATTGGCATGTACAGTGCAGTCCCGTGCGTTCTGAGCTGGAACTCGAACAACTCGGCCGGGCACTACAAGCGGGCAACTACGTCGGCTTTGCAGTTGGCAATCGCGAACTGCGGAGGCTTTGTTGCGAGTAAGTCCCCGGCATCCCCCGACTTAGAGCTTGCGCTAACATCTGAAAAAGCCTTCATCTATCCCAGTACTCAAGGCCCATACTATCACAAGGGTCACACCATCATCCTGGGACTACTTTGCTATGCTTGGGTTGCGTAGGTCTACCTCGATCCAATCCTAAGTTTCCCCCACTTATAAGTTTTGCAGCACACTATTGAATGTTCTTTGGTGTTCCAAGATTAACCGCGACAAGGCTGCGGGCAAGTACGACCAGTTCATCGGCACGGGCGACGATAGAGAGCCTGAGTTCAAGATGGTCCTGTGAACCCTCGTCAGCATCAGATAAGGGTGTCACCGTTCTGGGGATATGTAGAGTTTTACAGGCTCAATACTAAAAGGGCTATGGTATAATGATTACGATTTTATTACGGCCTCAACCTTTCCTTTGTGCCATGACCTTGATTAGGTTCTAGACGGAGTTTTCTTATTGTCTTGCTCAACCAACAAGGACTTTGATTGTCATATTCAACATATACACGGCCACTTCCTCTTCTCATCTAGATAGATCCTTCTTTTGACATAGAAAAATAGACTTGCCGAGCAGCTTTGGGCCTCGAAAGACCAGGTTTAAAGAGTCATTAGGCATTTTCATGTCATCTGAACTGTATGCATTATTCTCTTGGTATGATTGGCCGAAGAAGCTAATAGATGGGAAGTCAACTTCACTCTGAGGCTCTGCATAGACATCCACTAACACGATTCTAAGCGAACTTTGGGTCTGTAGCCCCCGCTGATTATTTTACAATATTTCATCCTCTTGCTTACAACTTGGACTGACGAGCTGGAGCAAAGTTTGAGCCTCCGATGGCCTCCGTAATGCTGTCGACCGACTTCAGAATCCACTCGCTGCCCTCATCGCTCGCCAGCCATTGCGCGCCCTCGATGTCCTCCTGATTGTCTGCCTTGAACGTGCCGTCCTCGAAAGCCTTCCTCAATCCAAAGACGTGCGACAAAACTTGCGGGCCGACGCCTGTTTGCGCCCTCAAGCATGAAATAGCGACAATAGAAGTCAAGACTCTCCCAGTGGTCGCAAGACCACCTCGCTCCTTGGGATCAGACAACAGACCCGCGTAGTGGCTGTTGAGAATGTGAACCGGCAAGTCGGGATGCGACTGCGCAAGCTTCTCGTAGAGCTTGACTTCAAACGGCGCGTATACTGAGTCCCAAAGGCCCTGGCCGCGGGCTGTGATCTCGCCGAGGTTCTCAGTGGTGGGTGCGCGTGTCGGCTTCGTCTCCAGTTGCGCGGTAACGTCTTTCGGGAGGCTGGCGTAGAATGCATTCAGGCAGTTGATGGTGCGCGGGATGCCGTTGAAGCTGATGCACTTCAATCCGATCTCGCGAATGAACTCGGCTGTTTCGCGCTTGTCGGGGCGGCCGCTGTTGGAAGCGACGCTGTAGAGGGATTCAAGAGATTCGGGGGAATTAAGAGTGAATGTCGTCGCGGCCTAGGATACTGGGTAAGTCTGGGATCCCTTCATGTGCATGAAACTCAATTGAAAAATTCAATTGAATCCATGTCGCGGTGACATACCGAGATAGCAAGCCACGGCTTTGCGCCGACGTTCTTCTCCGCGGCACCCTTTGCGATCGTCTGGTAGACCTCACGAATATGCGATGGCGCAGCAGCCTGCCCCGGGCGCGCAAAGGGCGCGTTGATGAGAGCCTTTAGAGACGGAGAGAGCTTCGACATGGTGTTTTCTTCTTTGCGATCGTCGGTTTGTTGCGGTTTACTCGCATTCGCATCATCCATCGGGAAGGTCAGAAGGTGAATGCGGGTGGTAAAGTGGTTTTGTTTGGTTCCAGAACGGAATAGGTGGGGGAGGTTCCGCGGTCGGAAGACAAAAGATGCGCCGGCGACTCGGACTCAGAAGTGTCCCCGATGGCGCGAGCTCCCATGTGATGTCAGCGAGGTCGGCCGTGGGTCTTTGAGACCAACATTGCGCCGAGTTGCCGAGAGCTCGCCGGGGCTACTTTTGGTTTCCGTGGGCGTCGGAGGATGGATGAGAGGCCGGCGCGTATCTTTGGGCTATGCTATCGCGTGGCATGGACTAAGACAGGGGCTGTGATGACATGGTATTGGTGCTACATATCAAAAGAGTATATCCGCGGACCGCAATTCTTGGAAATGGACGCGGAAACTGTTGGGATCTCAATATCGCATTCTCACGATGACTGGTAACAAGCAAAAGGAGCCGTTCTGGCTTGGGTAAGTTGACGGGCTGAACAGAGCTATCATCCCAGAGACTTGGCTGACTTGCGGATTTAGAGGCGCAGCGGCCTCAATGGCTGTTTGCTTTAGTAAGTTTCGATTTCAAGTGCCCTCAATGTCTTGTTGTGCTGACCGCGTGATCATAGCTCACCCCCTCGACCAAACAAAATAGTGAGTTGTGGTCAATACCTAATAACAAGCAAAGGCTGACTGAGGTAGTCGCATGCAAGTGTTGAAATCGAGGGAGTCCATGTTCCGGGCAATGTGCCGCTTCGCCGCAAGAGATGGTTTGTGCCCATTGACGATGGAAAAGACTGAATCGCTGACTAGTGGCAGGAATTTTCTCTCTGTGGTCCGGTCTTTCTGCATCCATTTTCCGACAAACGACATACTCGACGGCTCGATTCGGCCTCTATAACTACTTTGCGCAACAAGCGAAACAATACACGGGGAAGGAGAAGCTATCAACAGCCATGACGATAACGTGCGCCGGGTTGGCCGGTGGTATGGCTGGGCTTGTTGGCAATCCGGCCGAGGTCAGTGACTGCGAGCGCGAATGCTCGACATGTGTAGCTGATGAGACTGCAGGTTGTACTTGTTAGGATGTGCGCCGATGGCGCGAAGACCGCCAGCGAAAGATTCGGGTACTCGAATGCCGCTGAGGGCCTCTACCGGATCGGAAGGGAAGAGGGGATCGAAACATTTGGCAGAGGCATCTCGGCCAACGTCGTACGCAGTGTTCTTATGAGTATGTTCACGATATTCGAGCCAAATGAGTGTGTGGATTCGAGCTAACAGCATGTAGACGTGGGACAAATTGCCACGTGAGTACTAAACGAGTGGACGACCACGAGCGGTGGGCTAGCAAATACAGAGCTAACAACAGACAGATACTCGACCGCGAAACGATACCTATTGGCAAAGACAGAAATGAAGGATGATATCAAAACCCACGCCGTGGCATCCCTCTTTGCCGGAACTGCGGCGACGACCATTTGCGCTCCGGCCGATGTATTGAAGAGTAGAATCCAGAGCGCCGCTGCGAGCGGGCCTGGCGGAAGCGTGAGGTTGACTCTACGTACTGGAAGTGAAACATGATGCTGATTGAGTCGCAGTCCTTGCTTCATATTGTACGGACTGGTCTCCGGGAGGAGGGCCCCAGGTTTCTCATGAAGGGGTGGACACCGGCATGGCTAAGACTGACGTGAGTCGAAAGGAAGATAAGAGATATGGAAGCATTGGCTAATCGTGTTTCTTAGGCCAAACACCGTGTTAACGTTCGTGTTCATGGAGCAGCTAAGGAAGTTGACCCAATGGCAACTTGCGGCCCCAGTGGAGACAATGAAAGTGTGATGAGTCTGAATCTCAGGCGCGTGCTAGATTTAGAAACCAAACTCCGTCAGATTGGGCCAGCTCAGCCAGTCGAAGTTGTTCATATCGTCCCAGGACAAACCTGCGAACGAGGGGTCGAACTCGTTACCGGGCTGGTTGAGGACTTCGGCAATCTGGTCGTCGGACATGGTTGAGAACTGGAGAGTCCCTGGCCATAGTTGGGACTCCATGTAAGGGGGCTGTGACACCGGCAGCCCCATTGAGTTGATGTGAGGTGATGCCGCGACAGCGGAAGACGGCGTGCTGAGTTGACTGGCGCGCCGAGGGGCTGCCTCATGATGCATGGCAGCCTGGGGCTGACCATCCGTAGCCACGGCGGCCTGTTTTACAATGTGTCGAAGATATTTTCCGTATAAGATAGACAAACCATTTCTGTGGTTTGTGGCTGATCCAATGCGTTCCAAAACGTCTGCTGTCTCTTCGATGAGGTTCCTTATACTCGGGGCTAGATTCGAGCTGCCTGTTGCATAGGCGCTCAGAGTCAGCGCAAAGCAAGCGGCGAATGAGACCATGATTGTAGTGTTGTTGGGGATCGACTGCAGCTGAGCCTCTCCCTGGATGGCTGCGCGCATCACTGTCACCGCAGATGATAGGCCTGCCGTGCGAAAGAACTGTCGGACTTCCATGGGGGCCGTCGGATGATTGATGACACCACCATAGGTCGACAGCCGGGTATGAGTGACGAGGATTTCGACATAAGGGGGCAGACGACGCTGCGGACCAGTGCCGATGGAGAAGCCCCATTCGGTAAGCCACTGGTCGAAGAATCTCTCGATGGCGCTCTGAATGGACTGCGCGATGAGTCCTCCGTCCGTGGATATGCCTTGCGATCCATCACACAAGGCGCGGACTGTGGCGAGCAAGCCGTCGAGGTCTCGTCGGAGGACGGCCATCGATACGAGGTGGCCATCCATGGGGTCTGCGATACTGGATCTGTGCCATTGATCACAGTCCTTGATGATTCGAGTAATCGGAACAGTGTAAGGGCGGCCGCGTGCCAGCGACATGCCTCTCTCCAGAACAAACAAGGCAATCCAGCAACGCTCGCGGCGCCGAAGAAGTCGTTGGCCTAGATCGGACGTGTGTTCAATCTGGCTGAAACCATCCATTGCAAGAGCGGTGCGAGGATCGAGACATTCGCCGCGAGTCAATGCCATATTTGAACCGGAGCCGAGAATCTCCATTGGTACCAGAAGCTTGTGAAGAGATAGGTCGATGGCGATGGTAGCGGCCATGTTGACATACCAGCACGTCTCGTCGTCGGTGCTATGCTGTCCCGGAAACATCCACGGGACGTTGACCATGAAGGCGAGAACGATTTCGACAGACTTGTGACGCTTGATGAGAACTCGTTGGGCCAAGGTCTTGCAGTGGTTCGAAAGTCTCTTGGACAATGCTCCGGCAGAGGGGAGGAACAGAGCAGACGCTGCCATGATGGAGGTGCAGAGGAAGGCAGATCGAGCTCGAGTGAACCCTGGCGTGTAAATCTTTGGGTCAAGACCCCAGCGGGTATGAGCAAGCTTGCTGTGAAAGCTGCGCAACGTGGTGAGTGACATCCAACATATCACAATGGCCCTGACTTACAATGCGAATAGCGATTCTGCCTCTTCTTCGGTCACAAGACCCATGGTGATTGGGTCGATGTCGTCGCCGACGTCAAGGTTGACGCGGACGGAGGTGAAGAATGACTGCATCTCTAGATCCTCTTCGGGCTGGTCAACCTGTTGCTGCTGCTGCTGTTGCTTCTTGCGACTGACACGAGGGCCGGGCTGCTTCGGTGAAAGGCCGGTGATGGGCTTCGGTGACAGCTGCAGGTTGGAGGCGCGCGCCAGCAACTGGAGCGGATTCTCGGCATCGTCGATGGCCAAGCTCTCTTCATTGTGATGGTGCAAACTCATGTAAGTGTTGCTGTCTGGAGTGTTATCCAGTTCATCATCATCGTCAGACGAGAGGTCGGGTTGTTGGTCAGGACTGTTGAAATGAGACGACCCCCGTCTTAAGTGTGAGGAGGCGGTAGTTGACCGAGCATTTCGAGAGCCCTCCAGGAGTGCCTGGAGATTGCCGATGGCCTTGTCATCTTCGGAATTCTGTTCTCCTGTTCGGGATCGTTTGATGGCCTGCTCTATCTGGTAGAGAGCTTTATCTAGACCCTTTCGCTTGCTGTTGGGTGCCGCCACTAGTCAATAAGGGGGGACACACACACGGAATGACTGGATGGGTGGGGGATGGATGGGTGTGGTGTTTATTTTGGGGGGTGTCTCGGTCGCAACGGTGTCCATCCATCTGGATGGATAGGTAGATGGACCCGAGCGGCTGGGGGCCTTACTTCTTGATGCCCTTCTGTCTTCCGGCATGGAATGTAGGCCGTATGCACTCAGAATCGAGCTGAATGCACCTCTTGCATTTGTTCTCATGCGGTGAGTAGTCGCACTTGATCTTGCTTCGGCGGCAGACCAGACAGGCGGCCTGCTTTGGACGTTGCGATTGAGGATCCTCCATCCAGGTGAGGGGGCTTTGTGAGGAGCCGGGTGCACTACGGCGATCTCGGTGAGGGACCAGCAAACGAACGGGGCCAAGGTGAAGGGAGTGTGGGAAGCACGCGATTCACGCTTGACGGGAGACGTTTGGTGGTTTCGGTCGAGATACTTGATGATATCAATCGTTAGAGATGATATAGACACGCTGCCCCTAGAGCAGACAGCTCCGCTGTTGAAGGAAGTGTTAGAACATTGGGACCCTCGATTGACGAGATGTCGACTTAATTGACTGACGAGGCGCAGGGGGGAGAGGCTGCTCAGCTGCTGTGTGACTCGTGTGAAGCCGGAATGATTGGGGAACAGGAGTGAGGGCACGAATCAGCATTCAGCCATCGCCCCGTTTCCCGGCAGAACAGTCTTAGTCATCCTTGGAAGTCTCTTGGCATAGGACAGATTACATAACGCATTCCGGTATGTCTACTGGCGGTCTCTGGGGTTCGTTCAAGAGAGTGGAGGTGAGCCAGGGGTCGTAAGATGGGTAAGATGGAGAAGCTCGGGGGGAGCTTTGCTGCTGCAGTGCGACGGCGGCGGCCTGTAAGCTTCAGCAGCTTTCCCCGTCGGAGTTCTTACGCTGGTCATTGAGACTGACCGAACAAGCGAATGAACAATGAAAGGCGCGGATTACGAGTGGAACAGCTTCGATACACCTACGGATAGGTACAGCTTGATTGGCCTTGAATTTACCGACGATGAACACCGACGTCAGCGGCCCTTCGTCGCAGGCACAGCAGCTAGTAGCTGAATATGCCGCCGATGCAGCAGACTCCTTAGGGCTGAGCGGCGCGGCCTCAGCTTCATGTAGGATTGGCCTCACTCTCTTACGACTTTCATAAGTTGTTAAGAAAACATGTACGCCCAACATTGGTGTCTGTCAACTGTCTTTTCTTTTACACACAAGCAGTGTATTTCTATCCCATTTTCTCTTTCCGGGCCCGGTCTCAGTATTCATCGCGCGCTGGATCTTTCATCACCCACCGCTCTTTGGCGGGTCCTGGCCAAAGTTGAGCCAACCGAATCACCGTCTTAATTTCACGACTCTAGCCAAGTCGCATCTGGCTGTCTGCAACATGACAACGGCATTCCCTCTAGATCATGTCGCTCTTCGCTCCGGTACGCCGGCTGAAGTTGCCCAATACCTACGCAGTGTGCATGCAAGCACCTCCGACCCTGCGCCCATCACAACCCAGTTACATGACGCTGTTGCGCAGGGCTCAATTCCCCATGCTGTTTTTGCCCTATGGACTCCCCTCCATCGCGATGCGAGATCTACCGTCGCCGGACTACAACAGTCCGAAAGTCTTCTCGAGAGGAAAGCCGCTATCAAGGCCTTCGTCAAAGCTACGCGGTCGGCTGTGACGATGGATGAGATTTGGAATGTTGCTGGGGGCACCCCTGGCATCGCGGCACTTATGAGCAATCTCAGCACCGATGAGATCAAGCTTTTGTGCAACGGCCTCGCCAAGACTGCCTCATTGTGCGGCAGCCGTCCTGAGAGACACGCCAGATTGACTGAGCTTGTCGAACTCCTGTTAAGCCAAGAGAACCCGGATCCCCGGCCGTTGCAGATGTGCTACAAGCGTATCCTGCCTGCCTGCACGACAAAGAAGGTGGCTGAGCATGAGGAAAGTCGTCCGTCGTGGTCACAGAGACAACAGGCAATTCTTCTGCGCGCTCATTCTGCATTCTATGAGACGAGGTTTCTGGACGCTTTGCTTTCAATCGAGACTGACGATGTTGACTTCATTGCTTGGAAACAGCTGGTCCACAACAACCCAGGCTTCGCTAAGGATTTTCTCTCCAAAGTGCTCGAAGCCAATGGGCCCCTGCCGATGAAGCCGGACGACTTCGTTAAGCTAGTCGAGGATATCACCAAGCCTCTGCATCGTCGTCGGTCATCAAATGAGAAGACCCTTGCTTTCGAGATATTAGAGGATCTCGTCGCAATTTTCGGGAAGCACTCCGACCTGACGGAGTATCTTAACGTCGAATCGAACGGGGTTTTGCTCAATGTCGTCAAATTCTGGGAGCACGCTCGCAGTAGCAGGTCGAGGATCCAGCGACACCTTGTCAAGCTGATTGGGCTGGTCCACGAATCCTACTTCAAGTCCGCCAAAAATGTTACTGACATGGTTCGATCCGTCCACCCGGCTGTTTCGTACCGGCTGTTCCGACTCACGATCCAAAGCTCCACATACCATAGTTTCGACATTGAGGAGAAAGCAGACGGATCCAAGGCCTCTTTCAAGAAGCTGAAGGGCCCTTGGCCTGCAGATCTGTTCACTGCATTCGCTGACGACGATGCGGACGCATCTCTCCGTCTCTTCCGAAAGCTCATCTCAACCTTCCCGGAGTCGCAATTCCTCATATGCTCTTCGCTGTATAGATGCTCCATCGTTGAGTCTGCGCGGGAACCAGAGACCGACAAAGGTGACCCATATATACTCGAGGCTTTTCTTCTACATGCATCATCAAGCGAAGCAACCAACTCCGGTTCGAGTACATCAGACCTTGTCAGGAAAAGATTGCAAGACTGCAAGGACAATGCCGCCAGGGCCCGAGATTGGGTCTTTCGACAAGGATGGGCCACGATCGCCCTCAACCTAAGTGTCGCGACGGGTTCTTTCGATATCTTTGCGGACACCATCGTCTGGGCTCGTCGTTTCAACAAGGACCCGAACGCCGTGAAGCAGCTCTACTCATATAACAACTTTCCGACCATCGAAGCTACCGATGTGCTCAGCGGAATTCCCTCACTCCCCTTCCGCCTTGAAGACCCAAAGACTGGCATCAAGCAGAGCGTTGAGTCTGGCAACAGAATCTTGAGGCAATTACTCGAGACAGCTGTGATGGCCCTCCGAGAGCCCAGCTTTCAGCAATATGACTGGAGTTGCATCACCTCGTTCCCAGAAAAGGTCATTGAGAGGCGGCTTGTCGGCGCCAACAAACTCCAGAGAGCACCTCATTCCTTGAGCGACGATGAGGTATTCGACTTTATTTGGAGGCCAACGATAGAGTTCCTGATTGAGACAGAGAAGTACCTACTGGGGCCCAATATGGAACGGCTCTACCCTCGCGAAATCAAGGGTCTTATTCACAGCATCGACTTCGACTTCACCAACAACTTGCGGCCACACTTGGCGAGATTCCTGGACACCCTTTCCCAAGAACGGGACAAATTGTGGAAGGAGTACCGTCCCCGTCATTTTCCAGCAGTCCATGACTTGGAAACGCCTTGGCCTCGAGGGCTGCCAGTGCAATATCTTTGTCCCCGTGAGGTGGCGGGCGCGAGAGATCTCCCCTATGTGTGTGCAAGAATCGAGGCTGTTGTATTCGGTACACCGGATATCCTCCTCCGAGAACCACCGACTGATACAGAGTTGCGAGATGCAATAGGCCCCTGTATTGACGACTACTGCTACGCTCTGAAGACCTATGTCAACATCGCGTCCGATGCTTCTGAAAGGGACTCACGCATTCGAAAGGCATGGAGGCACGCAGTTGATAATCTGTCTGGGCATCAGATGACCAAGCCAGAGTCTCTGGACTATTGGTCTTACACTTTCAGCAGTCGAGCAAATGTCAAGCTGCCCTTGGACGTGGAATCGGAAGTCCCCGGACGTCTGAAGCCAGTTCTTCCCAATGTCGACGATCCCGATTTGCCGACTGAATGGAATCCACATTTGCAATCAGACGGTACTCTGTGGGACAAAGGACCTAACAATGGACGGGAAATTCCTGCTACTATTCTCACCCAGATGATTAATCACGGAGGTCCTTGGTTCGCGCCTACTATCATCGACAATCAGTCGCCATGGGATGACGGCGTCTGGCTGGAACCGCCTACCCATACGGGGAACTTTTGGCCCATGAAGGGCGACGTGCCGGTGTCCTGGACAGCCAAAGACGCATACGCTGTCGCCCTTTTACTCTATCTCAACACCCGTGAAGGGGCAGACAGCTCAATACTGAAATCCAGCTTCCCCTCCAAGGACATCGTCCGCTTCCCAGCAATGTTCTTGGATCAAGACTGGCTGGATAACGTCGGGTCCTATGATTTTGAGGTCTACGGCGGCAGCACCGACCTCGTCATGTTCGCACCTGTTTCACTTGTGGCCCAAGTCGCACAGTCTGTTCTTCAGGACGTCGAGGAGAAAGAGAGCTTTCATCCCAATGCAGTAAAGCCACTGGACTTGGCCATGCGGTTAGTGAGATTGCTGGCTGGTAGTGATCGGCCATCCTTGGCTCTCCCATTGATCCAGAAGATCGTCCTCGGTAGACCCGATGATAGCGCTTGGCACCGAGAGCTGTTGAACAAGGGACTGTTCTCCAAACTTTCACCAACAGACACGAAGACGTTCTTGCTGTCCATTGCAGATGGAATACTTGACAAGCTTGACCAGCAAGGTGCGAGGAACAAGGAACAGGCCGAGCAGGATACAGGTGGCAGCGACAGAAAGACTCCTTTAGTAAAGGTTACAACTGTGAAGATGCTCGCCAAGCTCCTCAGCGACTCTCCTTTCTTGAACCCGAAGATCTCGCTTACGATTCTCTCGCATCTGCTGGACAAAGCTCGTCACATTGACATTCGTGTTGCCATCATCGAGAGCTTGTATGGTGCGCTGGGGTCAAGCGCTGCTTCTGACGTAAAGGATGAGATCCTGATTTTACTTGAGAAGCATGCCCTGCCACTAGCTGCAGGCTTCAATGAGCGCGGCCCTGCCTGGGCATCTTGGGAGGAGGTGGAAGCCGGTGAGCCGCTGCCGACAGTGTCGGCCATTTCAGGAGACAATGTTGTCCGTCAGATCTTTGCAACCTGGGACTATCGTTTCACAGACGATTTGGATCTGAGGAAGAAGATGGCCGCCTTGTCTTTGCGGGTGATCGAAGACTCCGCGAAAAATCACCGTCAATGGCTGGAACTCTTTCTCAAGAAACACAACCTCATTCTATCCACCGAGCAGAAGTTATTCAATACACCTGTGGATACGGGGATGCTTGCTTTGTTCGGAAGAAATCCGGAATTCCTCACACATTCTGTCTTTGGGATGATCAAGGACAGTGTGTTGACGCAAATCTGCCCGTCGCCGGGTATAGCTGCCATCAACAAGAAAATCAGAAGGGACACAGGACTTTCAGAATCTAACGCCGGAGAGCATTGGCTTTCCATATTTGGCAAAGATACTGCGGTAGTACAGCAGTCTGGGGCTATCCCCCTGTTAACCCAAATGCATCACCTCATCAATCGAACGGCGCCCGGCTCCTCAGACTACGTCACGGTCGAACTTCTTCAACAGTTTGCACGAGAAGTCTTCGACTCCCTTGTCAGGGGCGGCGATGTTTACTTCCTCGAAGAGTTCTTCCGAAGCATGACTCCGATGAAGAGCAACGAAGACAATGTCGCATCACTAGCACGCTGGAAGCTTATTACCCTGCCTATACTCGAGGAGGTCATCGCCAAAATCGCCAAATTGCGGACTCTTGAATGGCAAAAGAACCTGAAACGTGAGCCGGCCAGACTCCCGGACACCTTCCGGTTGAAGTCGGCCTTGGTCGTGTTCCCAGTGAATGATGATGAGGAGGAAATCTTCATGAAAGATGTCATGCGACTAATCGAAGAGTTGGCACAAATGAAGGGACCGTATCACAAGAAGTGGGAGTATTTCAAGACGAAGTCCATGAAACCCTGTCGCGACCGCAGGCGCCGTATGTTTCGCCTAGCTATTCGCTTGGGGAGTCTTAACGGCGTCAATGTTGTCAGTCCTTCCTTGCCGGATCAGCTCCGGGTTGAACTTGCAGGGTTCTTGCTGGACAAGGGACGCCCATTTGTGGCCAAGGACCCGGATGTTGTAGCAGGTCTGAAGGCCATGCTGCGCGTATGGGCAGAATCTCCCACCGAAGAGTTCCGGACCAGCGCCATCGGGATTGTGGACGGATTCAAGAAGGCCGGAAATGATGATTGGTTCACGCGAGGAGGGGGACTCGATTGGGCCAAAAATGAGACGGGCCACAGCGACAGCGACGAAGATATTGAGTAACACTGCATTATTCAAGCTTTTTTAGGACAGTTGACTATAGCTTGGACATCTTGCTTCTGTTACCACTCTTACCAAAAGTTCAATACAAATACAGTGCATGCATTTCAGCTGAGCAATGAAGCCACAAGAGCTCATATGTAAGTTGTCCTCGAGAATAGATGAAAGATGCATTATTCCTTCCTCTATCTCAGCTTTGCCTTGAGGCTTGAAACATGTAAGCCAAGTGGCTAAACCTCCAAGCCCCAGGACAGCCAAAGTCAGCAAGCTAGCCCGTTTCTTAGCCAAGCTGAGGGCGCCGTCGTCTGAGCTGAAGACATTACTGGCTTAGTCAATTCGCCGATTCGAATCGTAACGTTTATTAGGTCAAAGGCTGTGTGACCAGGCAACAACTGTGGAAAGGGGAGGAAGATATAAGTACGTGGGGTAGATTCTTCAGGGACATCCGACATTGCCCTCGTCTCAACTCACACACATTCCTTTTCGTCCTTTCAAAAGTCTCCATCATGCCGACGCCATCAAAGGCTGTTCTCTTAGTCACGGGAGCTTGGCATGTCCCACAGCACTACCAAAAGCTGATCGATCGACTTGAGGCTGAGGGCGTTAGAGTCATTTGCGAACAGCTGCCAACGAACAACAACGCCGTTCCGCCCAACAAAACACTTGAGGATGACGTCAATTCGATCAGGAGTATCGCTCAGAGGGAGGCTTTAGCTGGGACCCATCTCACAGTCATTGCCCACTCTTATGGAGGAGTTATCGCAACGGCAGCTTTGGCTGATTATGCCATCACACCCGACTCCAACAAAGGGGGAGTGGCCGACATCATTTACATGACGGCTTTCATACCCCCTGAGAACACCTCGCTTGCAGGCATCTTTGGCGGTTCACTGCCACCATTTCTTCTCCCACAGCCTGATGGCACAATGACTTGGACCGACCCCATTGGCTTGCTGTACAACGACATTCCGATCGAGGAAGCAGAATCAGCTAAGAATTTGATGGTCACCCACGGACATAAGGCTCAATACACACCAATCTCCTGCTCAAAGGCAGCCTGGAGGGTACTTCCGCTAACCTACATCATTTGTGAAAACGATCAAGCCCTGCCTAGCGTCGTTCAAGAGATGATGATCAAGAAGGTTGAAGATGAAGGAATTGCTGTCAAAAAGCACAGGCTACCTGGATCTCACAGTCCTTTCATGAGCATGCCTGACAAGGTTGCCACAATCGTACTGAGTGTTATGGGATAACATTGATAAATCGGGTTTTATTCTGTCATTAATATTACTGTTCGTACCAGATCTCGCAGATATGAACTAATTAGGAGTATTATTGGATAACATTTGACTGGCCAGCAACCATTAACAAAGGAAATAATTAAGCAGTGGTATCGAGCATCCTCAATTGTTGATTCATCATTCTTTTCCCAAGACCGGAGATCATGTTCGGCACGAAGCAAATGCATGCTTTCGCACTCTTTTGCATTAAAACAGTAAAACGCTCAGGATCCTGTTCTTGCATTATAGAGTGCGGCTGCCGTATCGCCAAATCATCTTTGGTATGGTTTGCGCTAGTGTTGTAGGTTTCTCGAGTCGCAGGCCTGTGTCTCTGCCTCGGGACGCTGGCGGCTCTCACCCGCTTGATAGAACCTTTGATCTTGCTGATTGAGCCCGAGGTGGAGGGCCTTCCGGTGTTTGCAGACATCATGGATGTCCTCGCAGTGCTTGAAGTACTTTTGCGAGTCGAGAAGGTGCGGTAAGGCGAGCTGATGCTTGTTCTACGACTGCTGGGACGAGTGCTATTGATGCATTCTTCCGCAATTGGCATGTCTTCGTATCTCCATGATGGGAGCTCCGGGATTTCGAATTGCTGTCGCAGGTCCCTCAGTTCTCTCAGGTCTCTTAGATCTCTGAATTCCCTGAAGTCCCTGAGATCTCTGAGGTCCCTAAAACTAAGGTCTCGAAGATCTCGGAGGTCTCTGGGGTCGCTGACACGATATCCGAAGTTGCAGGTGGATCCCGGCCGTGACGGATAGATAGACATGGAGTAGTTGTCGTAGTTGTTGACGAAGACATCGCCTGTCCCCATTTCGCTGCGGCTGTCGCATGTGCTCGCCACGCCTATGTCTTCGGGGGCGTGCTGTGACTGTTCATCGAGCCCAAATCGGTGTCGAAGCTTGTCGACAGATGCTTTGTAAGCTGAAGGTGTAGCATGTCTCTCCCAGTCTACTTGGAAACTTTGGAAGACGGGCTGAGGGATATGGCAAGAGCAGCGACGCGATGCTGCGCTGCTGGCAATGGGGGTGCTGCTGCGGGGGGCCGGAACAATGGAGAACTCGATCGTACTCAGACGGCTGTCAATGTCTGTGAAACGATTCTCCAGACGGTGGAGTTTTGTCAGAATAAGCTTCAGAAGCTCGTCGTTGATTCGATGATGTACCTCCATGTTTTGTTGAGGTCGAATCCCGCGACCAGTAACTACTGTGAAGCTGCAGAAGGCGCCATGGCCGCAATTTAAATGCTGGAAGATCACAGACGTTCCGATATCGAGGCTAGGTGAGATCTTGACCGTATGCAGGAGGGGATCAGATGACCTTCTTTCCGTTGATGTCAATTCGCGAGGAGAATCCCGATCGCCAAGACCTGCTCCAGCGGAGCGAATGATGGTAAGCGCCACTGCAGGTTACACAGGGTGAGGTCTGGACGTCAGAGGCCTTCGGAAACGGTCAATGTCAGAGGAAGATCATCTTCAGGGTCTGTAGTAGGGCGTAAGGACAGCTGCGCTAAGTTTAGTGCTTTCTCGTGTCTCGGATGCGAGATGTGTGGCTGGCCCGAGATACCACTGGCTGAGAACCATGCCACGGGCCGACGGAAGGGGCAGCGGGAAGGCGCAAAAGAATCGAAGCTGTTGAAATCAGGGTCGATGCTGTCCATCTTATGAGGTCTCAGGCCACGGAGAAGACGTAGGTCTGGAAAGTAGATCGCCTCCGATAGTACGAGTGGCTTTGCTGGGCAGTTGTCATCGACTTGATGTCGATCTATGACCTTCTGGCGCGTTCATGTTTCGGCGTGAGCCTACAAGTACATTTGACAAATCATGAATCGATCACAGCCATCGTCATCTTAAACACAGTAGCTTCGCCGGGCCAAGCTGCTCGTCACCAACCGCCATCACGATACTTGATACCTGACAGCAAAACACACAAAAAGAACATACAACACCGGGCATTCGCCGGTCGTCACCGACCCGACTACTACTCCAGCCCTCATTGGCTTATCTATGGGAGAGCGGACGGGATCCCGAGTTTTCCAATGGGTATGGTCGTATGTGGTAGGAGAAGAAAGTTGAGGGTCTCATGATGGCATTGCCCGTGGACATGAGGGCGTGACCCGCATCATCACAACTGAAGTAAAATGAAACAGGCAAGCAGACATCCTTTCTGATTTTGGCCAATTCTTACGAAACAAGAAATCAGACATGATATAAGATCAAGATCTGTTTATCACGTCTGGGTGTTGGGCGAGACCCCTCCACGCGCACATCCCAAGAGACTAGTGAGATGTCAACAGGCCATCCGATTTTGTTTTTCATCGTTGTTTTATGCTAGTCTGCATTTCGCCGATAAAGCTTTGATTATTCCTTTGAGATGATATCATGAGACCGGGCAGTCAGTGCGAGATGTAGGACGCATCCGTCTTGTCTGGTTTTCACCGATTACCTAAAGCGGCCTCTCAGAAGCCTCAAAGCACCATCAATCGCTGATCCACCCGTCTTACACTCGTCCAATATGAGACACACCCGCATGCGCAAATTCCATCAATCTTTCGACGATGGATTGTCACTGGCCCGTTTTGAGTCTCTGATTGGCATTTAGATCTTACGGACGGAAAATTATGATCGCTCAATAGATTTATTAGCGGACAGCATGTGGAATCGAGCACACCATACGCGAGCAGGATCACCTCCCGCACACTTCTAAACCTTCTCCCTCGTAGAAAGGTACGTCCGAGTCGCAATATGAGCTCCATCTCAATAATCCCACGGAGCCCGCGCAAACCTAGTTTTGTCCATATGTTTCACTTTTGATGCTGTGTCATAACCTACAGCCATCTGGTCCCTGCTAACGTTCCAAAACAATCCACCTACGAGCGAATGTGTGTCACACTGGTCTGGTGGTTTCCCAAGGCCCCTTCGGCAAGCAATGAAATATTTATTCACTCAGATAGTAACAGAACGTCTCAACACGAAATCGGATTGGCGTCCCCCAAGACCCATGTCAGATTTATCATCCTCGACCGCCTGTGAAGTCGTAGATCAGACACCCGACTTTCGTCCTTCCTCCAACACCTCCATTACCAGGGCCTGCGGTTGAGATTGTCAGTACGTAATTCGCAGCGAAGTGAGCTATGCGCACTTACATTTGTCGTAATTTCCTCTCATTACTTCGGCACAAGTGTTCTTGTCTTCGCCCAACGGGTCCTTCAGGCTCTGCAAACCACCCTCCACCGTACAGCCAGCATCCCACATGATTGTCCAATCATAGTTGGTTCCGGAGTCATCAGTAGTCCGAAGATGAACTGGTGGGCCTCTAGCACTGGTCGGTCCCATGTAACCCAAATCTTCCGAAATGCAGAAGACAGCGGCTTTGATAGTTTGTTCCCTGGGATTTATATCGGCGTGCCCAGGAAAGTCCTTCTCATCGTGGCATTGGACAGGATTCACTTCCAGTGGAGCTGTAGGTTGAGGGGGCGCCTCAGTCTGGGTTGGCGGCGGGGGAGGTTCACTGGTTGGCGTCGCGGTGGCTACCCAGGACGCACACGACGATGTCGGCACGCAAGCCCCCATGTTGCATTGAGACACGGTGGCAGTAGAGGCGCATGAGCTTCCCGTTGGAGTCTTCCACCCTGTTGTTCTCGTCAAAGTTGGTAGGGCCAAAGACGTGCTTGGCTTGCACGCTGCCTGACGGAGGCGCAGTCTCTTGGTTCCCGCCGAGGGATCGCACCACTGCGATGGATCATCCATAGGGTCCCATTCCACAGTATCTTGAGGCTCTGTTTGTCCCTCAAACCAAATTCTCCACTTGGCTTTTGAAGGAGGGTCGCATTGGCTCAGGTCGCCAGGTTGGAACTGAATCAACGCCCTTCCGCGGTGAAGGTTGAAAGAAACGTCCTCCGGATCCTCGTCCAGATCAGGTGCATACAAGACGGTATCGATTTGCGTCTCTGCTCCAAAAATGCCTCGGAGTTCGGCTCTGATCTGTTCATTGAAAGGCGCCACTCCCTCGTCTGCTCTAGGCTCCGGGTTGCCAGGTCTATCCCAAGCTGCGTTGAGGCCTTGCGGATGCTCAACGCCATAGTTGGGGTCCTTCTCGTCATCGATGGAGACATATGGCGAAAACATGAAAATTCTTGGCTCGCTTGCTTCATCAAACATACCGCCCGCCTTTCGTAAATCGTCGAGTCCCGAGATATGTTCGTCATCGGGAGGATCGTACCGAGTGTGCAGCCGCTGGAGGGCGTGCTCCTGAAAAAAGGTGAGTTGCGCCTGGCGGGGAAATTGCTCTACCACTTCAAGGTCAAATCCAAATCCAGGGGTCAGCCATTTGCCCGTCGACTCATATGTCTCCTCGTTGATATCCTGTTCGGGCCGGAAAATAGGTGCGTCCCAAATATGATTGGCCCACACACCCTTTTTCGAAACGACAATGACCGAGGTGCATCCGATCAATCGAGGTACCGCGAGGCTCACTGGTCTATCAGTGAACTCTTTCATCTGTGACGTGGTTTTTCCCGGGGTCGCGTCGCCTTCGTTGCCGAGAGGAACTATGACAGCGTCGGTGTTTCCGTTGATTGGATTCTTAGCAAGATTGCTTTCGCTAGCAATGAACTTGACTGCATCGCTATAATTTTCGGGGCCTAAGTGACCAAAGTTTCAGCTTTCAACTTTCTTTCATCTCCTCGCTTGAGTGGTATGCAATGTTGAAGGAAAATATGCATAGGTATTGAAAGCAACTTACCCGCCCATTTACAAGCGCCTGGCTCTGAAGCTCTTGGCTCCGCTCTTTTGAAGACGTTCAAGTAGTCTCTCTTGCCAGGCTTCAAGCACGTCTTTCCACAAGTCCTCGGGCTGCAGACTCTGGTAGGCCGCGCTGAAGCTATTGTAGTAGTACTAGTAACAGCTGAAACAGAAACCTCGCTACATCTAGCGACGGTTGTGTATGCTTGAGTGGTGCACTGAGGCGTGGCAGTTGTTATCGATGCTGTAACAGTACATAGAACACTTTCCCAGGTAACGCTGAGGGTAGTTGTACAAGACGTGGTGCTTGTAGACGGCGTTGCTTGGGTTTGAGACGGTGAATCTTCTGGGGGTGATGTTGGAGAATCCTCAGAGGGTGGCGGCGGCGGCGGCGGAGGAGGAGGAGGAGGAGGAGGAGGAGGAGNAGGGGCGAAGGCGGCGGCGGCGGCGGTGGTGGTGTCGGTGATTATATGGAGGTGTTGGGGGTTTTCAAGGAGGAGGAGGAGGAGGAGGTGGTGGTGGTGGTGGTGGTGGTGGTGGCGGCGGCGGGGCAGGCGAATCTGTACTTGTGGCATCTGGCGGAGGCGGCGATGGTGTGTCTGTTGTAATACTTGGTTCTGGTGAAGGGGGCGCGGAAGAATCTGCCGTTGCGGTTTTTGGCGGTATGCTGGATTGAGTGACTAGAGACGAGACGACCTCGGAGTTTGAAGGAGGCGGGGACGGGCCGGTACTAGTTGCGGTTGAGGTTTCTGATGATGGTGGTATTACTGGAGAAGGCGACACACCAACAGTCGTAGACACGTCAGGGGATGAAGGCAGTATTTCGGTCGGTGACGTAGTAGTTAAAGACGGCAACCCGGATGTTGGTGCAACGACATCGGTTGTATCAGTATTCTCTGAGGCGGGATGTGTTGGATCCAAGATAGTAGTTGTCAGTGAGGGAGAATCAGTCGGGGAATTGAGGGTTTCCAAAGTTGATGCTTCCGGGGTCGAAACCGATACGGGAGACGAAGATGGCTCAGAGGGTTGACTTGGTTGTAGGATCTCTGTGGTCGAGATAACGGGAGTACCTCCGCTTAGTGTCGTCTCTCCCGGGAAGACTATGGATGGATTGTTGCTCAATGATAAACTCGGAAGTGGGAGAGACGGAATGGTTGTAGAACGAGGTCCAGAGGTTACAAACACTGGCGTGCCCGAAGAAACATATGTTTGCTCTGCAGGATTTGTTCCGTTTGCTTGAGCAGCCGCGAGAGGGAATGTGAAAGCCGCCAGGCTTAATAGGCGAAGACGCCTACGTAAGAACATGATGGGCGAAAAGCACGTCGATCTTGTGATTCGAAACAAAAGCTAAGAGTATTGATCGAACGCAGCCTACCATGATGGACATCTGGAGCACTATGTCTTGAGAATACAACATTTATACTTGTTGAAAGGGTCATTAGACGAGCATGAAGGCAGACTCATGGCAACGACAAAACATCTCGTGAGTGCCTGGCCCCCTCTCGTGTGTCCACAACCGGGCGTCAGGGCGCAGCATGACTTCAGGTTTGCAGTCGCCGAGACATGTAAAAAAGACCCCAACGTGACGGTCATGATCTGTTTTTAGGGACACGGTATGACACGAGCTCAGGCGTTGACTCTTGATGTTGGTTCTGATGCCGATCATTTCACAACTTGCACATTGAATGGTTCGCATCAGCAGAAACGTGGAGTCAGCTTGCCTAGGCGGAAATGAATGTGAGTTATTACGAAGCGAAGCTGCTCAGCCTTGTCAGCCTCCAGCGGCTACCTGCCCAGCTTTGTCACCACTTTAGGCAGATATCCTGCAAGCACAAGGCGTTGTGAGGGGTAAATGCAACGTCCTACTAATTTGGGAACTCGTTCGGGGACGTTGGCGCCTAGACATGTGCTTGGCCGCTTGTTGGGGGCAACCAACATCATAGAAGGACCCCAATGCAACTCAAAATATCTGCCCACGGCCGTTCAGCTTCAAAAAAAAAAAAAAAAAANAAAAAAAAAAAAAAAAAGACAATTGCTTCTTCTCGGCCCATAACCCTAAGGTGGGCGACTGAAAGCGTTGAGTTTAAAACTTCAAAGTTTCGGGGTCGCCCAAATCCTGCTAGAAGAAAGCACACCGTTAGATGCATAACCTTTCCCCCGCGGCGACATCGTTCAGTAAAACCAACAACCTGTTGGAGCTTGCACCGAAGCGACCCGCTCACAGATACACCACACCATAGGCACAATCCTCCAAGCTTTCCCCTATGTATTATTCGCGTCATCTCCGACCCCGCCGCGGTAGTCCTCCTACGAGAAAGTACACGCGCGAAGCTTTCACCGCATTTACCCGAACCACTCTGGAACATGACGAAGAGGAAGAGGCTCGTCTTGACCAACTCGTCAAGCGCAGGCAAACCGGTACAGACTGGGGCCAAGAAGATGAAGAGATCATGGAGGGAATGCTGTCTCGGAAAGAAGAGCGATGGGAGGCTAAACGGCTGCCCCTCCGCCGCGAACTCGAGGGATACTTCAAAGATCTTAACTTGCCCCCTTTGCCATCACCTCTCCCGAAATCGAGTCATTGGCTTGATATACAGAGGCCATGCCATCATCCCAACTTGGGTCTCAGGCCTTTTCTGATGGCATGTGAAGAGGGCTCCATGGATGAGGTCCAGCGACGGGTCTCTGAGGGGTCGCTTTCACCCATCAGCGTGCAAGATGGCTTGGCTTGCGCAGCGAAAGGCAACCAGCCTGATGTAGTGCAATATCTACTAGAAGCTGGAGCGCGTCCGCACGCCGCAGTCGTAATTCAAGCATGCCGCCTGCGCTCATTTCCCATCCTTGAGCGATGCATCCAGCACGGATACCATCCCAACCAGCAAATCCCCAGCGATAATGGCTCGTTCGGCGTGTCTCTGACGCACTGTCTCGAAGACGAGGGAATAACTCGACTGCTCTTGGAGAATGGTGCCGACCCAGATCTGGGAAGGTTTTTGGATAACCGAATCTTCAGTTGGGGATACAGGGCAGCGCCCCCGATGGACCGTACATCGGGTTTGGCTCTGGATCACGCCGTCGAGAAAGGACAGTTCAATGTCGTTAAGATGCTACTCGAACATGGGGCCAACCCAGAGTATGCTCGACCACTACAGCGGGTAGTGCGTCTTCAACATCAACGTCATTCTACTTGCGCTCCAGCAGACAGCCAAGGAGAAAAGGAAGACACTGACCTTGACTGGCGCAAATTCATGAATTTGCTAATACGCTACGGAGCGGATGTCAATTCCGTCACGTTTGGTGCAGGCACGCCATTAACGGCCGCTGTCGAGTACCAAATGTGGGATGTTATTGAGTTCCTGCTAGAACGCGGTGCTGACGCAAGGATCAAGAAGCCTGTGACTGAGCTGGATGCATTTGCCATCGCAGCAAAGAATTCAGGGCTTGTTTGGGAGTCGGAGAAAGCTGTGGAATACATGGACTGCCTCTGCAAGCTAACCACTACAATGGAGAATACCGACATTCTTGTACTCCCCGAGTGGGTGCGAGACAACCCGTTGACGCCGATTATCGAAAGGGTCAGGAAGCGGTCCGAGCCATCGACGGAAGATTGAATATGTTAGGGATCAGGGACGTGTTGAGCTATGTAGTAGAACAAAAGTATTTTCCTAGTAGTCTGATGAAGCTCTGTACGAGAGAGTCGGACTTTGAGTCCTAAACCGAACCTAAAGAATTGGACAACAACCAAAATAATGCAGCCGAGGTATTACTCCCCTTTCGGGAATTTGTGCCGGCTTCACACGTTTTCTTGGCCTTTAGGCATGAAACATTCCAAAAGTGCCTACCCTCATGAATCGTCGATGCCCGTGTGAGCTAAGGCATTGCACTGAAGGGGTGTTACGAAGATATAACCAGAGACCCATCTGGCTCATTATATCAGAAATAAGTCTGAGGCTATCCTGGCTCCTGTGACATTCCATTGCTGCAGAGGCTGATAGACAAGTATGTTTTCAAGGCGACCGTGCTATCAAGAATATATCGACTAGAGATTCTGGGCCATAGGCATTCTGATCGAGTCAAGCAAGCATCGAACCTGGGGTCTAAAAACACTACCGTGTCCCGTCTTCCCTTGAATCATTAGACTTATCCGTACTAGGTTTCGGGAGCGGCTGGGAATATGGCTCCTTCAATATTTCATAATCGTGGCCCGTGGGGAAGGCAGGGGCTTCGAGAATACGTAAGAAGGCCAGATGAAATGTTTTGGACTGTCGTAAATCGTTCCATTAAAGACGTCAAATCAGGCTTCTTCCCTACTGCACCGCGGCTAAATCACATTTGTAACACCGCGGTAAACTCAAACTTCTGCCCACCACGCGGCGCGGTCGGAGTCCGGGTGTCTTAACCTAACCCACGCACCAATCCTGAGATGGTCTGCCTAGGCGAGGCGATGTAACAGAGTACGGGCCACCACCATCATGAAAACTCTGCGCGTACTGAAAGTTTGCTCTTTTTTTCCTTCGGTTGACGTGAGCTTGTCTTTGTTTTGGTGTCTAGTCCAACGGGCCATAACGAAGAGGGGCTCGGAAATCTGAGTGCACTCTGTCCTTCATCTCTGCGGGAATCTTAGCCATGCTCTCAACGCCCTCTAACAGGACAACCTGCTGTCCGGCCTGGTTCATGTTAGCATATGTGAGCAGTTCCATTACGAGCGAGGCACTTACGGCGAAATGGTGGATCATATGGCAATGAAGCATGCTCGCCGCAGGGAAAGAGATCTCGTATCGAATGACTGTCCAGTCACCGGTGCTGTTCCCCAATCTGCAGCCATCACGATTGGGAGGATCAATTAAGTTGAAGTGTTTCGCCATACCACCATCTCGAATAGCGTCTTCGACAGTGGCCCACGGGAAGCCGCCACTGCCGGTGCCGATGATGAAGGCCTTATTGTTATGCTTATGGAAGGGGTGCTGCGAAGTGACATTGGCACCGTTCTCGAAGATGATGTCGACCACGGTGCCGTTGAGCAATGAGCCACCATGTACATCATCGCCGTATGTCGTTACACCACGGGACTCCTCGTCCCACAGCAGGGGTGGAAGTTGCTGGCGGAATGCCTGGTGAGGCCCGATATTCAATGCCCAGCTGCTGGGGCCCGTCATGTTTACGAAGAACCTGACGGTGTTGTCGGACTTGGCTGGCGGGGGGCGGGCAGGGTAAGGAGCGAGCTTCGTCTCGTCCATGTACACCGAAGACGGCGAGATGAGCGTGCCGTTGAGATGGACCCATGGCTTAGTCTCAGGCACCATTTGCTTGCCTTCGGCATTCTGCCCAGGGTATCGAAGAATGCCGAGGCCTTGAATGATCTGCTCTCTCCGGAGTGAGGTGACTCTAATGGCGTAGTCACCAGGCTTCTGGTTCAAGCGAATGAGAATGCTATTTTTCTGTTAGCTTTTGCGATTGTGAAGCATTCATGGAACTCTGCATACCTAATGCGCTCACCAAGATTGCAGTTGGCGGCATGAACCTTTTGCGGGTGAACAAACTCTCCATCTGCCGCGACGACATAGAACTCATGCTCGTCTACGCTAATCTGCAGCTCATGATGCGCCCCAGAGTGAATCCAGTTGATCCACATCCACTCCTCACCAGGCTTTGCCTCAAAGACTTCGAGATCAGCAAATGTCTCCTGGCAAACCTGCGGATTTGTGAACTCTGCTTGGCGATCCTGCGGGAGGCAGCCCAAAGAGTCCCGGTCAGGTCCACCGACAGACTCCAGCAACTCTTTTGAGTGGCAGGTCGTTCGTCCTTTGCCATTCAAAACAATTGAGTTGCTGCACCATGGAACCACGCCAGTATCGCGGTACATAATCAGAAGGATGTCCATCGGTTCAGCGTTCCAATCGCTGATGACGACGTGGTGGGGATTCTTCTCCGCAAGCTTCATGCCTTCAATGTCTGAGGGCGACGATGAGATGAGCTCATACGGTCTTGGTCTCCATGGTGCAGGTGCAATCCAGATGGGACCTCGCATGCCATCTGCGAAGGCTGGTCCAAAGTGGCCATGGTAGAAGTAACTACCATACTGTTGCTGGACGGTGAAGCGATACGTGTAGGTGTCGCGAGGTTGAATGGAATACTGGGTCACTCCCGGAACTCCGTCATTCCAGGGCTTGTCGATTTGGTAGATTCCATGCCTACTCAGTGTTAATCCACAGTCCTTTACGAAATCAAGATCCGTGAGAACTTCAACGACTTACCAGTGCATAGTTGTCTCGAACGCCAATTGGTTGTCAAGAAATACCTCAATCTCATCTCCCTCATCCGCTACAATGAGCGGGCCGGGTGTCTCATTGTTGATGGCAAAGACAGGCCTGCCATGACCATCCCCGGTGTCCCACTTGTTAGTGATGGTGAAGTTGTATCTCCTCGTCTGCGCCGCCAGACTTGCGCCGGCGAGGAGAAAAAAGGTCGCACATCGAGTGAAGGCAGCCATGATGCTTTGTCCCACACCCGCAGAAGCAAGAGAATCTCTGAGCCGGGCCCTTTCTCATAAAACAACAAAAGCCCTCGGTGCCCAACAGCAGGATTTATCACTAATCCCCCCCTCCACGGGCGCATTTTCCGATATCTAGGCCATCCCTACCACCATCCGATGCAACCGTTAGAGTTTACCGAGTCAGGGGTAACAACCCGCTTTCCCGCAATCCAGGACGTCTGTCATTTGTCTAGGCTTCTTCAGCGGCCGTTTAGACTTTCTGCTACGCACCTTCGCCTCACCTGGAGGTGGGTACGGACCCAGGACCCAGGACCCCTTACGCACGTTGCGAGAGCACTTCTGCCAATTACCGTAGTTACTCCGTCTGTTTCGAATGGAGACTGACGATGCCGCCACCACGCGAATCATGATCAACGGGTCTTCATAGCGAAACAGGGTAATGCTCCTTGGCCGCGATACGCTCCGAAAGCTACAACGTCGCAGGCTCTGCGGTCCGAAGCAAAACGGTGGCTTAGCGTCTACGACGATCTACTAGTCAGTGTAAGTCGGTGAGTTGCATTGTCTGTCTCGGTAGAGACGATGGGGGCCAGGATATGGGGCATGCCCCTCCGCGGAGGCCGCGGTGCCAGCGGGCTTTTACTTATTGACCCAGAGCCCAAACAGAGGGCCCTCCCCGACTCTTGGATCGCCTTTGGTTGTTTGTTGCATTTTCCGCATCGAACGCGAAAATGGGGTCCAAAAGTGAAAAGCTTGAGCTGACGCAAGTTGGTTTATTGAAGAGAGAAAGCAGCAAGAAGTCCAGAGCATTCTGGATTTCTGGCCTAACAGCACTTTGTCTCTTCGTGCTGGCTGGGTTTTGGCGTGGTGATAGCCCACACCATGCGCTGCTCGGCGTCTGGAACCGCCTGTCGTCCCACAAGTCAGACAGACTCACCCGCAAGTACACCATTCAATCGGGAGTTAGATGGATGAATCAAGGTATGTCATGTTCTTGTCGAGAGACTTCCAAAATGCATCGTTAATGAGACCAAGATGGCGGTCGCTGGAGAGTCATGTTCGTTTGCAACGGCCAGTCGCCCTGCCCCACGCTGCACGCAGAGGAGGGCGACCTCGTAGAGTTGACTGTAAAGAGCGACGTCTATGCGCAGTCATCAATCCACTGGTATGTCTTTCACATTCAACGTGTTAGTTGACCGTTTCAATGTTTTCTAACTCAAATTCAGGTCTGGAATTGGGCACAAAGGGTAAGATGTCGACAGCCGACACGTCTGCATGACCAAGTCTAACATCTCCCCAGAACTGGTAGCTGGAACGATGGTACCGCCGGCATTTCGCAGGTTCGCCGCACCTTATTTCTTAAAATTGCTCACAAAACTGACGTTTTTAACATTAGTTCCCCATCTTGCCTCGCGGCAACTTCACCAGCTTGATTGACACCGCCGGCTCCTGGGGCCTGAACTGGTATGCCGAACACACTTCGGCAGCTTCAGCTGACGTATGGCCCTCCTCTGACTGGATTTGAGGTGATCCATCTACTGATAACCCTCTAGGGTCTCTACGGCATGGTGTATGTGGCACCAAGTCCATCGCGACCAAGACCATACCGCCTCATCACCAGCGACGAGATTGAGCTGCGTAAGATCATGGAAGCCGAGAAGGAGGCTCACCATTTCGCCATCAAGAACCACCAGCACCGTGACACCGGCTGGAAGATGCTGCGTATGCGAGCTGAAGGTTCCGAGTTCTATTGCTATGACTCGATCATTGTCAATGGTGGGTTTCAAATTCCGCGAAGCCGAAGGTACGAGCATCTCGCTAACTTCACCAGGCAAGGGTCGAGTTCACTGCCGTCAGCCGGGCTTCGAGACGCTGAACGGCCATGACCTGGACGAGACTGGTTGCATTCAACCTGCCGGACTGCCGCAAGAGACCTGCACACCTAGCAAGGCTGACTATGAGGTATACGTGATGGGTTTAGTCGTATTTCTTTCCCCGGATGCTGACCATCGCAGGTCATCGAAACTGAAGGCCGAGCCTACATCATGCTGAACTTGATCAATATTGGCTTCGAGCACTCCGTCATGGCGTCTATTGACAGCCACAAAATGATAGTCGTGGCCAACAACGGAGGCTTTGTCGTTCCTGAAGAGACCGACGTAAGTTCAACCTCTCTTGAACAGAATGTCAGCAATCATGTTCTTAACGCTTTCAAGGTCGTGTACATTCCCAGCGCGGGCCGTGTTACTGTTTTAGTCAAGTTAGACGCTCAGCCGGGTGACTATGCCCTGCGATTATCGTCTACAAGTCAAATGCAAAACCTCCAGGGCTACTCAATCCTTCGATACCCCGTAAGCTCGCACCGGTTGCACTAGCTGGGGTTGATAGGAGATTAACGTTTCTTCTCAATAGGCAAGCCGGCGTCCCATTTACGGCGAGCCCATGGAACTCCCGCAGCCGGAGTCATTGGATGATGTTTGCGTCCTTCCTGACAGCTCCACAAAGAAGCACTGCAAGACAACTTCAGGCCTCTTCCTCCCTCCTTACCCTGCGTTGCCGCCACCCAAGGCCAAGAAGTCCCGCCCAGCATCTGCGGACTTCACTTTCCACCTTGCAGCCGGTTCGCAGCCCTCGCTGACGGAGCCCCATGTGCCGGAGTACTTCCTCAACGAGAAGCCTTGGCAGCTTTTCCGCTCCTCTCTGACTCCCCTGCTCTTCCACGAGTTCAACTCCAGTTCGGAGGCTTCAATCGGAAAGCCAGTCATCGACGGCATCCCCATGGGTAGCGTCGTCGATCTCATCATCGAGAACCAGCTGAATGACACCATCCCGTTGTACAAGCACGCCGATCCTGCGTGGCTTCTTGGTGTGAGCTCCAACGCCAAATTCCCTTACCCTAGCATCGAGGAGGCAGTTGCTGCGGACAAGGATATCGCATCCGCCCTCAACTTGGAGGATCCTGGAATGGTCACGGTCCACGACCTGCCGCCCCTAGGATGGAGTGTACTTCGCTTCAAGGTTACGACCAAGGCTGCGACGATGATTCATGCCGTCAAGCTCAGGTACTTTGCTGTGAGTATTCGCTTGTCATTACCAACAGTCGTACGCGGAGTAGCTAACAGTGTGCCCCTTCAGCTTGGCATGTCAGCGCCCATCATGGAAGGTATCCTTCCCAACGACCCGGCTAACTATCCGACCTTCGCTGCGAATCAGCCCCACGTTGACTTCGAGCCCAAGATTGACGGCGTTTTTGGGTAAGATCTGTGGATTGAAAAGCTTGGCTGCGCCGCCCTCATCACACAAGGATATGCGAAGCTTTCGGATTGGGAGTTTGCTTCTGCTTAATGAAGATGCGAGAATTTGAAAAAAAAGCCTAAAAATGTTGCAATATGAGTTAGCAATTTACCACTTGGAGCGACATAGTAATCGCTTTCGATATGACCATCGCTCTAAGTTGTCTTCTACAGTATGTTTTCAACCATAGTCGTGGATTCGCACTTAGACTCAAAAGATTTGCGGTATTACGGTCGTACAAATGTCACAGTCTGTAGTAGCAAAACCAGGGATGCCGAGATTGTGCCTAGTATGTATTTTGTTGCGGCTACAGCGACAACACCTTAAGCACACGATGAATCTTCGCACTGGATCTCTTGTTTTCGTTGTTTCGAGCTTGCATGACATTGTCGTTCCACCAATGGAAAGTCGTTGTGGTGTGACGTCCGCGGTTAACCGCAGCGCTGGTTTACGAACTCGTGACACCTGAGACTCAACGCCTCAACTATACAAGAGCCCATAACCCAACGAAGTTCTATTTTCAAAACATGAAAACATTTCCATCTCGATCTTGACAAACTGCTACCATGGAAGCCAAAAGAAACGAGGAGACAGATATACCAGAAATCAATACGGCACTTCTGCCGCTGTCTGAGCAGCCCCAGGACCACGAACTTGACCCCCCGGAATCCGCGAGAGCACAACTGATATGCGACGACAACAATAATTCTCCAGCTGCCGAGCTTCCTAGCCCAGCCGGTCACGACAGACCACGTGCAGAGACCAGACGCCAGCCACAAATCTACCTGATTGACAGAATCCCGGACCAAGTACTGCGCCGCCCCGACGAGAGCCTCGCATCGTGGACAGTCCATGCAGACAGAATATTCAGAGGGTGGTGGCTTGAGTTGCTCTGCTGTTGGCTCAGCATAGTATCTCTGGCTGCATTGATTCTTTTCCTGCTAGCGATCAATCACAAGCCCCCTCCTACCTGGCCGTCAGGTATCACAGTGAACACCGTTGTTGCGTCTCTTTCAACTGTGGCGAGAACTGCCTTCACTGTACCTGTCGCGGAAGGTCTGTCGCAGTGTAAATGGAACTGGTTCAAGAAACGGCCGCGGCCTATCGAAGACTTCAGCTTGTTCGACGAGGCCTCAAGAGGTCCTTGGGGCTCCATGTGCTTGCTCACACGGACAAAGGGATGGTAGGTTGGCTTGATTCCCCAATTGCCTGGGCATCTGTTTTTTGTACCTGCGGTCTTTCAGACTAGCTAACACCATAGAAGGATGATTGGAATTTTATCGGCTCTTCTGTTGACCTCATCTGTGGCGACGTCGACCTTGACACAGTCGGCTGTCAAATATCCCGGCCGTGTTGAAATGGAAGGCAACGCTACAGCATGGAAGCTGACCTCTTCATCGGACAGCGCGTTTGTAGCTCGTCTGGAGGGGACAGTGCCTCAAGCTTTGTTTTCTCCGATCACGAATACTTATCCATTCAAAGAGCCCTATTGCCCCCCAAGCAGCGATTGCGTTTGGCCCACGTTCCAGACCCTTGCTATTTGTCACGAGATCTCTAGTAAGTAGCAGTATCGTTTTGCCTCCATCTGAGCGCTCGGCTTGCACATCGAGAGATTCAATTCAGTCCATGGTGTCACCGTGTCTACTGATTTATCCTTCCGCTATTTACTCGTGCCACATAAGCAGACGTCCTCTGCTAGTAGGGAGAGGTTTTAACTTGTGTTCCTACTACAGATGTCACACATCGTATTCAAAAACAGTCTTTAACATATGTTCACTCCGATGATTCCGCCCCCATCAAGTTGAGGAGTAAGGCTATTCTACCTAACGGTGTTCACATAGCCGAGACCGAGTCACCAAATGTGGTGATCGGCCCAGGGGAACCATCTCAAGATTCCCTCGCAGACATTAAGACGTCAACTATATTCAACTACTCCGTGATCTACTGGGATCCAACACGCCCTCCTCTTGCAGCAGACGTCGTCTTGCACTGGTGTGTTAAGAAATACGACGCTAACGTGATGGATAATGTCCTGTCCATGGAGCTAATTTCTTCACTCACCGTTGTGAAGACGCTCCCAAATGAAACTGAACTCGAGCTTGGGAACTTCTTGTTGTTAAATCAGTCAATCAACACCCATTCTAAGCGAACGCAGTTCAAGATTGGAGGGCGCGAGACGAAAGAAATACGCAGAGCTCTGGAATATGCATTGGTAGATTACAGCAGCAAGCTCGGCTACTTCGAGAACGGCGCGGATAGACTGCTCTACGCAATGGAGGAAATAGAACGGCAGTACGAAGCAGAAACCGAACAGCAAAGGAAATCGAGATCTCCGAGCGACTGGGATGATATTTGGTTCACAGCCATCGAAAGTATGGCAGTGAACGTTGGGAACGGGGTTGTCAATTCGTAAGATCTCCTTTGCCATACCTTGGCCACATTTAATGTGCTTTTTCACTGACCTATTATGATCCATCAGTCTTCTACCACAAAAAGCAAACGTCTACGGCACCGCTTGGTTGAAGCAGGTCAACATCGAGATCCGCTGGGAGTGGCTAATATTCCTGGCGGCCCAGATTGTCATTGCCATCGTCATTCTCGGTCTAGTCATCTGGGAAACATACGAAGTCAACATTGATATCATCAAAAGTGCGACGATTCCGGCACTGTTCGCCATCAACTCTCAAGAGATGGCTCGTCTCGAGTTCCGATCGAGGGGAAAGAGGACGACGTTGCTTGAGCAATACCAGTTTGTATCGCGGGGGATCAGAGGGCAACTGCATGAGATTGGTGGTAGATGGGTGTTGGGGTCTCCGTCTACGGATCGATATGCTTGAGACGCCGTCTGACAAGCCCGAAGAGCCGCATGTTTCCTCTGCCCACCATCTACCCGCGACAAGGCAGAATACAGCGCTTCATAAATCTGCCACCCTCCAGCTGCCAGACTTCCGATTCAAGATTAGGCACAGATAAAGTTCATTATCAGCAAGCACAACCCGTGCAGTGTACTTTGCATCAGACCAACGCCGCGAGCGCCACCTCCACCAATATTGGCGCGTCGCTCAAGAGTAAAGTTGGCGGTGGCTGTTCACGTCTCATACATTTCACAAAGTCAGTAATTAGACCACATCAATACAGCTGAAAAAAATGAAATTTGTCTTGTCCAGTTATCAACAGAGGTAGTAATGATAATCCCCTCTCCTCGGTGTATCCAGAACGCCATGCCATGCGCATCCAGATAATGTAATCCCCAACAAAATAAATTCATACAATCCCCGTCATACCCTGTGACCACCCTTGGCACCTTAATCGACGAAGCTCATCCATCCCCACGTGCCCAGGCCGCCTGCAAGCACCATAAACGTCAAGATACCCGCGCCGGCCTTGTCCGCCGTCGTGATCGGCTCCTGCTCGATGCGGTCCTTGGAGTTGCTTCCCGCATTCACGTCGCCCGCCGAGATACCACCGGTCGAGTTCGTCACAGGCGGCGCGGCATCGTCGATGAGCAGACTCGACACGGCGGCGAGCACGTTCATGGCCTCGCCGGCGCCGGAGGTCTTGTCGGTGGCCGGGTCGACGAAGACGCCGTCGTTCCAGTAGAAGCCGCACACGCGGCCCGTGGCGCCGCCGGTGCACTGCTTGACGGCGGCGGCGGTGGAGGTCTTGAGGACCGGGTCGATGGTCGGCTTCATGAAGGGCGCGACCTGCGTGACGACGGCGAGCCAGCGGTGCACGTAGCCCTTGAAGGACAACATGTCGGGCGTGCACTGGCCCTTGCGGCCCTCGCAGGCGAGCTCGTAAGCGGTGTTGTTGGGAAAGAAGTTGATGAAGAGGGACTCGGTCATCTTCTCGATGCGGCCTTTCCAGAGGTCGGAGCCGTTGGTCTGGGGGTTTGTGTTAGTCTGTCTATGGAGCTCGGCAGGTGGTAGGGAAACTTACGTAGTTGTACATGAAGGCGGCGCCCTGGGTCAGGATGGCGGCGTTGTAGGAGAACTGCTGCTTGTTGACGTCGGTGCAGTTGTGCTCGACGTGGCCTCCGTCGTAGACATTCCAGTTCTCGTGATCAATGTAGTTGACGCTCCAGAGCCAGTCCCAGGTCTCCTCGGCGTACTTTGCGTAGGTCGCGTTGTTGGTGTAGCGGGCCAGGCGGGCGCCGATGTTGAAGAAGCAACCGTTTGCGATGGCTGTGTCATGTTAGCGTGTCACTTTCACTTGTCTTCCCAATGTTTTGTGATTGAGTCAAAGGAGAAACGCACTATTCTTGTAGTTGTATCCGGCGTTGGAAAAGGGCACCTGCCATCTCAGGCCACCGCCGCAGGTGGTGTCGTGACGATCGGGGCTCGCCTGGGTGGTCCAGACGGCCTGGGCGAGGGCCAGCCACTGGGGCTTGTTCTCGGGCGGGTTGGGGAACTTGTTCTCGGCGGCGAGCATGGCGGACATGCCCCAGAAGCCCTGGTCGTCGTTTCCGAGGGAGGCGGTGTGGTTCGGGGGCATGTAGTCGGCGTTGGGGCCGGTCTGGTGCAGCATGCCCTCCATGATAAGGTCGTTGTAGGTCGAGTCGCCGGTGAGCTTCCAGTAGTCCATGTAGGTGCCCATCATGGCGCCGCCCTCCCACCAGTAGTAGTCGCCCTTGTGCTCGGTGGGCGGGCCGGGCAGGATACCGGGGATCTCGCCGGACTCGTTGCCCTTGTAGAACTTCATCAGGTCGTAGGCGAGGTTTTTGGCGGCGGACTTGATGTTGTCTGGGCCGGGTGTTAGTGGGGTGTGTTTTTGGGTGAAGGCGTAGTCTGAGTCCGTTTGCACCGGGGATGCGACGGAGACTTCTTCACTCACCTTTGCTGTCGATGCTGTAGACTTGCGCGCTGGCGGCGGGCAGGCTTCCTATGAGGAGGAGCGCCGCCGAGGCGGCTGTAGCGAGTGATGTGACCATGGCGATGTGCCGGTCGGGTTTGGGTTAAAAATGGTCAAAAAGACGCCCAGTCGTGTGGTGATGGTGGTTGAAAAAGGTGAGAATCGGCGGTGCGGTCGATCGGGTGGGCAATTGCAGGTTGTCGGTCGGGTTGTCGAGGTAGCGAACGTGTCGAATTGAAAAAATAGCGAGTGCTGAAAATAAAAGTCGTTACCAGAAGCGATTAATCATGGCCGACTTTGCCAGAATTATTTTCGTGAATTGAAGCCGCTGCGAGCGTGTTCGTATTAGTCGTCGGTGTCGGTGTCGGTGTCGGTGTCGGCGGCGGCGGTGGTGTGTTTTTCTGGGGCGGGTTGGTCGAGGTTTCGCAGCGAACGAGTGACTGTCGCCGGCGTTGGTGGTGGTGGTGAATGGTGAATTGGGAATGGAGACAGGAAAAAAGCAGGAACAGAATCGAGAAGGCCGGCAGCTGCGCGGGAAAAGGGGGGCACGGGAGTGTATATCTCTTGTTGTGGCAGAAATACCAAGACTTTTTTCTATTGCCAAGGCTTGAAAGAGGACATTGAATGGATACTGTCTCTGTGTCTGCAGGTAGGGGCATCTAGGAATACACACCCATCACAAAAACAGACATGGACACACACCACAGACACACACAACCACAACACAGACCACAGGACCACAGACCACAGACCACGGGAAGGCAGGGACGACGGGACAACAGACTCAGGTCAGATCCAGAACGAGCAGGGCAGCAACGGGCAGGATGACGCGGTGAATTTGTGCTGGTGGCCGCCAGCGTCTTGGTATTCTTGGTACGGTCTTGGCCTTCTGGGCATCGGGGCTGTGCAGCAAATGAGCGACGGCGCCGACGTTGGACAGAGGAGTCGCCTTTTCTCGCCAAAGTGCACCCAAGACGAACAGCCGCCCTGCCCTGGATGGATTGCCACGGATGAACCAGGCTGATTGGGTGCTTCGGTCCTCCGCGACGGATATGGTCTGGCCACGGCACGTTGCGGGCAAGGTTTGACTCTTTGGGTCGTTGGGGACTGAGGGCGTCTGCATCTGTCTGCAATTGACCGTGTTGAAGATTGATGAGGACTAAAAGTTACAGTCGCAGGCAATACGTAGCTTCAGCCTCAAAGCCTCACATCAGTCAGTGCAGGTGACAGGTAGAGACAACAGACGAACCCAGGGCGCTCTTGAGACGGACGAGAGCGGCTGGGCTGGGAAGAGGAGGCAAGGAGGCAACCACCAGCAGCCAGCAGGTCGGATCACCAAGCCCAGCCATCCCTACCTCTGGAGAGCATTGCCAAGACTCGTCATTCCAGGGCAAATACGCGGGGAGTTTACGGCCACGACGGAGGGGGGCTCGGGCCTGTCACGACTCACGGGCAGTCAAGACAGGAGTCAATCAAGGGAAGTGGGCGACTCTGCTGCTTCTCCTGCTGCAGTGTTGAGTGGTTCAGCTCTCGCCTTGACGATCCCACGGTGGAAGGGTGGATGCTGCAAGAGATGGATTCAGGGGTCGATGAGAGCTAAGACTCAGCAGCGCCTTGGCGATGCGATGGCGTCTCAGGGCCATTTGCGACGGGGCGAATGAGTGGGTTGGAACTGGATGGCGAGACTCTCAGGCCTAGAAAAAGAATTGAGGTCGGTAGTGAGTTGCGATGATCGTCCAAAGGGACACCGGGTTCGGGTAGGAAGGCCGTTGGAAGAATCAGGTACGGATGCTCAAGGCAAAGAACAGCAGCAACAATGGAAGGAGCCGGACAAAGCGTGGCACCGCAGCCCACTGAAGTAACTACCAGACTATCCGTACCTTAAGGTAAGGTTAAGTTGTCGCCTGCATCTGACCTGACTTTAGTCATCCACTCGGCGGTGCCAAAAAGTCGGATACGAAGCGAAGCGAATCGACGTCCGATGGGCTTACTGCTGCAGATACGGTCGCTGGCAATACGCGCAAAAGAGCGCTGGGTGACGGAATGCGAAAAACCATGCAAGAGCCCTTTTCCCATCCCTCTTGTGCTTGTGCAGGAAAAAGCCAAGGCATTGTGTTGTTTATGTGCGCCAAGCAAAGCGATCGGGACAGCCAAGGCAGATCACACGACGGCAGAGAGCGGCGCGGGGCCACCGGTTGCCGCGGGCGAGGTCTCGTTTGCGATGCCGCTGGTAAAACGCCCGACATTCAACGATCGTTTGGGTTCAGACCCAGACGTCTGGGCAGGGACGGGATTGCGTGAGGCTGGGCGTCCCAAGACTTTGGCGGTGATGGGTGAAGGTGAAGATGAAGTGAGATGAGAGTGAAGGTGAAGTAAGAGGATCAAAGTGGCAGTGAATGTGATTGGCTGTGGAGGTTGGAGATGGGAGGAAGGAACGACCCTTCAGTGAAAATCCGGAGGGAAGGCGCAGCTCTCCAGCTCTCTCCAGAAGGAAAGACCCGACGAAGGGACCTTCCCCAGCGCTTTCCCTGTGTTCTGGTTCTGGAACACCAACTTTCATCGAGGTACGTACCTGTCATCAGCAAAACTACCTTAGGTACTCAGTAGGTATATCCACACTGTGCTTGCTCCACTGCAATGAAGCGAAGCCCAGTGGCCATCAATGCCAAGACCGACGGGAATTTGGATGGAACGCTCAATTTCCAGCGCCTCAAATAGGGGGCTCGCGGACAGTGACAAAAAGACATGCTCGCACACAGTACGCAGAGCCAATCTGGTGGGGCTCGCCCAATGGCAAAACAGAAGAACAGAAGCGACCCCCGACGGGCACCGGCAGCGCCAAGACTCCATAAAATTAGCGCACTGCGGAGGGCGACAACCCCCTGAAGACTGCCCACCGGCGCCCGACACCTCCGGATCCCTTCACTTCCTTTTCTGTCTTTTCTTCCCATATCACATCAGGCTCATGACAATCAGTGCAGATACTGAGCAGCGTGTCACAGCTCCAGACTTGCTGTAAGACAAGAATAAACACCACCAGCTTTACACTCTGCGGCAAGCATCCTGTTGGATCATGCCCGACGCTCTCGTCGGCAGGGTTCCTCACACCAAGCGCCATCAACCTTGTCCAGCTGATCCTCCCATCTTCCGAGATTGCATGGGCCGACCAACCCGCGGCCAAGATTCGCCAGGCAAGCCTTTCCGTCACGGCGAACTCTTATTCTCCGGACATGTCACCGCAACTGCTCCGCTCCACACGGAGGCCGGCCGGACGAGATCCGCGACGCTGTAGGGCCAGAGACCGAGTCAAAACATCCTACTATGCCTTTACAATTCAAGCCGCAGAGTCGATGGCAATGACCGAAGACGATGACGAGCAAGTGCTGCATCACATTGCTTCGTCACCAGAGTAACCTGCCACACACGATGACAACTTGCTTTTGAACCCCCACGCTCGCAAGTGACGACCCCCAACCCATCCTGCACTAAACGCAGACTCTCCTGCATGACTACATTCTCATCGTCAGCTTGTCCCAATATTTACGAATACTCTCCGTGCTTACGTGAGAATGAACTTCACAAAGCGTCCTGTTCGGCCGCGTTCCCGTCAAGGCTGGCCAACTGACATCCAAGACATTCCCTAGAATAGTCACCAATGCGTGCTTCGAACTGCCGGCCAAGACCAAAGGGCAAGTGCCAACCTGTTTTAAAGTACCGTGGAATGCTATGCCCATGACCCGGTTCCCACTGGCATGCCCAGACTATCTGCCGTCCGTCTATCCATCACTCATCGCCGAGCATGTCTCCTTCGGACCTCACTTACATTCTCATGGGCCTAGCAAGCTACCAGCTAGCAAACCGTCTGCTGCATTACATAGTCAAGCATTATAACCCTTCGTTCTACGCAACCCTAGAAAAAGACCAATCTTCCAAACTTGCCCCTTACTTCGTCTTTCCCCTCGGCATCCTCTTGACCCTCGTTTCCACGCCAGCTTGTTTGTACGCATACGGCAACACGCCTCAAGAAACAGACATCTTTGGCGTCCAACGGCCCTTCACCACAACCGGCGAGGTCTGCCTAGCTTCCCGCGGCATCCTCTGGGTCTCTGAGCTGCCACTGCTCGCCTACTCCCCCGAATACGTCATTCATCATGTTCTCTCCCTGGGCTCCTTGCTTCTCATTCTCGTGCGGAGCATGCCGCGGCGGCCGATATACCTGATCTACGCGGGCCTGCTAACCGAGCTGTTCTCCGATACCGTTGCGCTTTTGAGGCTGCATGGGCGCCATGCAGGTTCCTCTTCGACGTTTAGAACGGCGATGCTTGCAAACGTTGTGGGCATGCTTATGCTACGGATCCTTCCCATTGTGGTTTTCACAGCAGGGATGCAGAAGACGAGCCTGGACTACGTGGGAGGCATTGTGATGTACTGCGCCTATCTCCTCCGACTGTCGTTCTTGCAACTAAAGATTCTGGGTTTCATCGAGGGCAACTTAGGTCAGAGAGTTCTGGCCTGGTTCTTGGGGAAGTCTGCGAGGCAAGCAGTTACGAACTGGATGCCTCGACCGAAGACTCTCGTCGTTTGTGCTGCAATTGCGATTGCGCTGTCTTCAGCCATTGAGTAGTCTGCCGGTTCTCAAACTGCTATGGCCGAAGTCTAGAGCAACGTTAGGCATCTGCAAACCACAGGCCGCCTCACAACCATGGTCAGGTCACAATTTGAGCCACTCTGAAAGACACATCAAAACGTCGCCAAAGAAGCAAGACAGCATCACTTCACGCGTCACTGAAAGTGGAAATATTCAACTTGCGGAAACAATGTTCCAATGCTTGGTATCTTGAAAAATATGTACAAGCCTGCATCCAGCGGCTGACAGTATACAGAGAAAAGAAGTATTTACTCAAAAAAGTACAAAACATACACTCCCTCCGATCCCCCGCTTAGGCAACGGTGGCACCGGTCAGGGTGAAGGAGTAGTCCAGGCCCTTGTTAGCGTCGCTGTTGGCGAGCTCGAAGCCGCTGTACTGGATGGGCTCCTTGGGCGTGTTGGCAATCACCAGGCTGGCCTCCTCGCCGGACTCGAGCGTCGCGGAGCCGGCGCCGTTGGCAAGCTTGACGTAGCGGCCCTTCTTGGTGCTCGCGTTGAAGAGGGACAGGGTGGCCGTGTACTCGCCCGAGGAGGTGACCTTGACCTCGACCTTGTCGCCGCTGACCTTGAGGGGGATGATGTTGGAGCCCATGTAGCGCGGCGCGCGGGCGCTCTTGACCTTGTACTCGGAGCCGGAGCCGTCGACGTTGGCGAAGTTGATGCGCGACTGCTCGGCGAGGAAGATGTCCTGTGCCTGCTTGTGGCCGATGTCGACGTAGGCCATGCGCGCCCAGTAGGCGCCGACGATGTCGCCCGCGGTGCTGTTGGACGCGACGCGGTTGAGCGTGTGCAGCGGCGTCTCGTTGCTGCCCTCCTTGTACTGCTTCATCATCTGGTGCAGCGCGTCCTTGCCGAGCCCGCCGATGTTGTCCGGGTTGTTGGTGAGGTACGTCAGGAACGGCCACGCCTGGTAGTAGTTGCCCGAGTCGACGGTGCCGTCGACGATGACCTGGAACGAGTCGCCGAGGACCTTGTTGACCTCGAACTCGGTGCGGCCCTCGGGCTGGTTGTGCTTCTCGCGGGCGGCGGCGCAGAGGTCGGACGTCTGGTAGGTGTCCGCGATCCAGTTGGCGACCGTCTCCCACCAGGTGCCCGTCGCGGCCTGGTCGACCCAGGTCTTCTGGTGGTAGTGAAGGCCGTGGCCCCACTCGTGGACGGTGACGCCGGCCATGGTGAGGTAGGTGTCGACGACCTCGAGCCACGCGGCGCCGGAGGCCTGCTCGGAGTGCATCACGCCCGCGGCGCTGTCGAGAGTCTTGACGGTGTAGACGTTGGTCTTGTACCAGGGGCCGGCGTCGGTCGCGTCGTCGAAGGACAGGCCAGAGGAGCGCCAGCCGAGGGTGTTGACGAAGCACTCGTAGGCGCCCTCGAGCATGCCGAGGGCCGTGGTGGCGTCGGTGTCCGAGGCGCCGTACACGCGGAAGTGGGCCGAGTCCTTGAAGGAGCTGCCGCCGGGGCCGGCCGTGGGTTGGGGAGAGAACTCGGCGGGCTCAGCGGCGCGGGCGACGACGGGGCTGCCGAAGCGTGCAGGCTGGGGGGCGGCCTGGACGCCGGTGAGAGCCAGGAAGACGGCGAGGAGAAGCTGGTTGGGACGGGCCATTTTGGACGATATTTATGGGGGTGAGTTTGGTGGGAAGTGAATGTACTTTGTGAATATTGGAAAGAATGAACGAGATCGAAAATGAACGGACTGCAGAAAAGAACTATGCTTTTCTCAATGAAAGGACGGACGATACCAAGAGTTGATGAGATAGGACCTGCTGATCAAGGAGATCTTTTCTCTTGACGTTGCTCGAGGAGCCGCCATCTTTTTAATACAACCAGACGCCTCCATCGCCAAGACCTTCTAGTAAGGATTCATCCCAAAGTGCCGGAGGATTATGACGGGCTCGTTGGTGATGAGCGAGGCCAAGACCGAAGACGGGGCTTTCTGTGTAAGTCGTTTGGGCTGTTGGCGGTGTTGAACACCCCAGGGCCGTGGGGTCGCACCCAGTGTTTCCGAAAAAGTGAAGGTAATTTGCGATGAAACGGCGCGCAAGTCGCTCCAATCACGTTGTTTTTTCGTATTCCGCCCCCTTCACCCCGTCTTGCCCTATTCCGCATGCGGTTTCCTCCTTGCATCGATCTGCCAAAAAGAGAAGTCAAGTTTCATCCCCTAGGCTAGAGAGACTGAAATCTCGTGATTGATGGAATCAAGCTTACTTCTGGAAGGCCGAATACAGTGCCTCGTTCACGGTGGTTCTGCCATTGTGTTGCGATCGTTGCAAAGACGGGCGAAAGGTCGGTTGTCAGCCGCGATTCAAGTCACAAACGCAACAAGATTATACCAATATACGATTCCCCCATAATCCCACATCTTGAAATGACGATGGCCTCGCCTAGCCCCCCGTTGCGTCCAGACCTGACGATGGCCTCATCGCCTCTCCCGTACCGTGCCACCCTCGCTTAAGCGCCGTTGGGCCTGTTAGTCAAAAGATCCTACCAGGGGGCTCAGGTTCCACAACTCTCTGACACGGGCGGCTTGCCAGCGCGACCCCATGGCGGCTGACAGCGTTCGGTTCCCCATAAACGATCTAAATGCTCGGAAAGTTCTCCTGAAGCTTACTGCGTAGGTTGGTTCTTAGTTTACTCAACACTCCCGAGTTCTTGGTATTGAGGCGAAAATTCCCCGATTTTTCTTCTTTGGCTCGGTTGCGGTTTGGGTTGGATTTGAGTGTCACGTGTGTGTGTGTGTGTGTGTGTGCTTGCTTTGGGGGCCAAGCTAACGTCCAATGCACTTGCAATTCTGCCCGTTTCAAACGATCGCTTTGATCATTGAGAGAACGCTGCGGTTGCGTCTTGATTGGGATTCTGCTATTACTATGTATGTTCGGGCGCCGGTGTAACATACCCAAATGATAAAAGGGCAGCATGGGTGCGCTGGGTGCATCTCTCGATCTTTGCGACGGATGCCCCTAAATGCTTAAGCGAACGCTCTCAACACACTCGCAGCCGAGTCATGGCAGTTGTCATTGGTCTCGCAATTTACCCCTTCAATGTTGCGGGATCCCGCCGGTATGAGAATACGGGGGAATAAGGCTATTTCATTACACAGACTTTATTTAAAGTATGAGCCTTTAGTTGGCAAGTCTGCCAGTTGCCTGCCTACCTTAGGCCAAAGACTCTGAGTCCTGTGAGGGAGAAACTTTCGCCTCAAACATCCATAGAAGCACACTTCATTTACGGGAATAATTCCTCCATATTGCCAAGACGACTGCGGCAAAGCCACAATGGCGGTGTCCAGTCCAGACTCCAGCGGTGCTGTTGCTGGAAACATTCACACCTCGTCGTTGGCGATGATGATCAGTCAGTCTGGTCCTGAATGACCAGGTTCTGGCGGAATCAATCGTCGGAACAATCCGCGACTGCAAGGTTCTAGACCAATCCCACTGTTTACAAGTACTGAGTTGATTGCCCACACTCGCCTGGATACGAGGAACTCAACGCCAAACCACCGGAAACTTTCAGGCAACCGGCTTGGTGTAGTCTGTGCAGGACACAATACTGGAAATTGCTTTTCAAGCACTGAGTAATCACATCTTAGAATCATCAAGTTGATGCTGAATCCCGCTCAGGCAGCAACCCCTGAGAAATATCCCTCTGCAGTTCATCTTGTGGTGAAATTCACCCCCACTTGTCGAGCCTTTTCATGTTGGAACCGCCCGGGTCGGGCTTTCTCCTAGTTTCCGATGCTCCGGAGTCCGGATACACCGGACTTTCTCAGGACCAACGACCACATCCAGCGCAAAATCCGGTGGGCTTGTCTGTGGAACACAAGATCGTAACACCACTATCCGTATTGCCGGCACAGAACTAAAAGGTTGCAATAATTTCTATTGTCTCATTAAAAAGGGCCCAAGTTGCGGTTGAAGTCGTGAAGCAAAGATTTGCTCCCCGTGCTGTTATTTATAAGTGAGCGGGAGAAGGCTCTGATTATTTTATTGGAACTAATTCATTCCTTTGTTTCTTTTTGGCTCGTTGGTCTCTCTCTTCTCCATTATGAGCAGCCCACCGTAAGGCAAGTAAACTTGTCAAGTTCAATCAATCAATTATGAAGCTATCGCCAGGCAATTGCCAGGCAATTAAGTCAACTTTGAGCCTCAAAAGTGATCGATGGTCTTGCGAGGGGCGCTGATTGTTAGCCGCATCATCCTCGACCGGTTCGGCATTCTCCTAGAAAGCAGCTCTAACGAAGAATGTATTTGACAAGATGTCTAAGCTCGCCGTCCGAGTTCGTAAAATATCATCGGCAAGGCGAAGACTCATTGAATTTTAAATAGCAGTGAGTCTACATGATGAAACAACTCTGGTGCATGGAGAGATACCTCTTCTTTGACCAACATGCCACGAAATCATTCAGTACTAATGTTACAAAGATGCTCAGGCTGACCAAGTCTTTCTGAATTTAGCGGATGCAACACTACTAGTTTCTAAAGAGAACAATTGTGTACTTAGAAGAGCTTTTAAGAGCTGTGCGTGCCTGATGTCACATGAGTATGATGAGCTACCACGGAGATGCCTTTAAAAAGGCATGACCACAAAATCGCAGCGTTGAGGCCTACCAGTCAAACAAGGAAGTATGCAGAAATCAGCATGAAAACACTGCTCGTACTTCTGACGCGAGATGGATAGTGCCAGTATTAGGTTACGCTGGCATTGTCATCATCCGTCCGAATGTGTTCGAGTCATCATCTCACACACCGCGGTGATAATGGCGAAAACGTGTCGTATCGATCTTTACTCAAACATTGCAACCTTATCTTCTCCCCGCTCTGCTGCACGCCGCTTACGACAATGTTTACGTCAACCGCGCCCATCGACCCACGTATTGACAATCGCGATGCAGAAGTTGGCGAGGACATGTCCAGTCAAAACCGCCCTGCGCCTTGCGCCCTATGCGCCTTAAGATAAGGCCGATCCACCGTCATGACCAAATATCCTCATAATCCACGATGAAGATCTCAGTAGACAAATTACGGATCACTAGTTGGTATGATGCTTTGAGCTGTCTCTTCACGATCTTCGACATAGTCCTCGGAATTCGAACTTGTCCTCACTTTATCAGCGAATATGACGATCACCAAGCCATCCTCATTGAAAGCCTCGGCGCTTGAGATTCAATGGACAAAGGAACCGAAGCCAGTCCCGGCACCAGGATCTCCGGAGATCACGAGCTTGAAGGCCACTACTGACCATATGATCACGGTCTCTTGGACTTCAGCGAAAGGCTGGGATAACCCGAAGCTCGTGCCTTATGGTCCGATTCCCCTGATGCCCTCGGCAAATGTTATTCACTACGCCACCAGCTGCTTTGAGGGCATGAAGGTTTACCGCGGATTTGACGGCCGCCTTAGACTGCACCGCCCGCTCTATAACTGCAACCGCATGCTCTCGTCAGCGGAGCGCATCTCATCACCAGGCTTCGAGCCCGAAGAGTTGCTCAAACTTATTCATAAGCTTTGCGTGATTGAAGCACCGAAGTGGCTCCCCAAAGCCAAGACCGGCTCCATGTTGTACATCCGGCCGACACTGATTGGGACAGACAGCAGTCTTGGTCTCAGGGTCCCGGAGGAGGCGCTGCTCTACATCTTTCTCATTCACTGGCCGTCGCTCAACCCTACGACAGCCCCGAATGATGACAACAAGAAGAACGGAGTTCGGCTGCTGGCTAGTACGGAGTCGACTGTTCGAGCATGGCCAGGAGGCACTGGAGCTGCCAAGGTAGCTGCCAACTATGGTCCGACCATTCAGGCTCAGGGCGAAGCTCGGCGACTGGGTTATGATCAGATTCTTTGACTCTTTGGTCCGGATCGGCAGATCACTGAAGCCGGATCCGCAAACGTCTTTGTCATTCAGAGGGCCTCAACGGGAGCGCTTCAAATGGTGACACCGCCGCTTGATGAGAGGAAGATTATTCTTGCAGGTGGAACTCGCAGATCTATCCTCGAACTGTCGCGCAAGATGTTCGCGGGTGGTCCTGCGAATGAGGAGGCTGAAGAGGTTGAGGTGCTGGAAAGTGACATTACAATGTCCCATATCGTCCGGTCGGTCGATGACGACAGTCTCGTAGCCGTCTTCGTGGTCGGGACTGCCGCCTGGGTTCAGCCGGTGGCTGAGATCATGTTTGACGGGCGCACGATTCGGTTGCCCCTGGGGAAAGTGCCGCATGTGTCATTGCTGAAGGAGAAGTTGGAGAGCATCGTCTACGGGAAAGAGACAAGCCCTTGGGGAGAAGTTATTGATGAGAGCGAATAGTCGACATAGCAGGGCCACTTTAGAGGGAGGTTGGAATAAACCACAGGTTGGCTTCCGAGCTGGTGTCAAAAAGGGAGATGACCGCGGGAAGTGGGGGGCGACTTAACGGGATCGATGGAACGGATGGAACCGAATGGGATTAAAAGTGGCCTCCAGAAGACTAAAAGAAGATTAGAGATTCACCGGTTCTTTCAGCGCTCCGAGAATCTGGTTGTATGGGCCCGGTGAGATGATGGATGAATCGAACGAGGCCGGCTAGTATTTCCCCGATAATGTCAACGGAGAGTCACGATGGTACACGAGTTGTCAAGCTGGCGATCCAGCGAAGGACCATAGTCGTATTTTTCAATACGAATCTCAGCTGACTAGATCTTATTCGCTTGGAGAAGCCCGTGAAAGAGATCGCAAGAGACCGCAGTGAGGTGACGGGCGAGACTGAAGCGAGTCGTAGATAGATGTGCGACCGTGCGACCGGACGCTAAACTGGCAAGTTAGCCGGATTCCTGAATAAGGCACCCCCTAAAACGAAGAATCGAAATACAACAGCTTCGATTCGCGGGTTAACTCTCAGCCCTGGGACGTGCCGTCTTATCCAGAACCCATTAAACGATCAGCGCAACTCGGCTCCTAGCCGAGTAGGATCGTTTGTTTGCAACGACAGCCCGCTTTAACCCAGCGACAACCCCTTCAATTTGTCGCCGGCGAGAATTGCCCCAGCCTGTACGACGGATCATCGAAATAGGTAGTTAGAACATGCCGCTGAAAAGAATATAAGCATTTGAGTGCAACCATCAGTCTTGGCTTTCTTGGCTCACTCTCCTTCAAGACATTGCTTCAATAACCAACCAACTTTTTATTCACTCTTTTGTTTGTTTGAAACTAAGCCAAGATGCGTTCTTCTTCTCTTGCTGCTGCCGCTGGTGCCCTCGCTGTGCGAGGCAAGTACGATGACTGGAAATTCGGCAACATGTTCAACCTCGGCCCCGCCAGCAACGCGATCGCTAAGGCCACCTACACTCTGGTGCCCCCTTCCATCCCCTGCGGAACCGTTGTAGCGGACAAGACTGCCCAGCCTTGGATGTCGATCTGGGTTGGCATCTCCCAGTCCTTGAGCGACGACAGCACGGATCTCTTCCAGCCCCTGCTGAACTGGGCGCCCAACAACGCTCAGGAGTAAGTGATGGCGCATTTCGGGTTAATTATGCTTGGACGAGCTGACGATTTTCTGATAGGGGCTGCCCTGCGGCCAACGACGCATGGTGTGTCGCTGCTAGCACTTTCACCGGAAGTAAGTTATACCAAGCTTGCAAGGTTCCCTAACAATACGGTTGCTAATATTCGCACAGCTGAGCAGGTTGCCCAGAGCTACGTCGCCATTCCCAACAAGTCCAACGTTGACTTCGAGCGTCAGTCCACCTTCCAGTGTCGGATTCGCTGATGTTGAGGACTAACATGCTTGCAGTCACCTATGATGCCTCCAAGGGTGTGACCCAGAAGGTCTGGATCAACGGCGCCCTCGTCTCCCAACAGACCGACAGTAAGATCCTCTCTTCCTAACACAAATATCTTATCCTGACACCAATTGCAGAGGACAAGAACGGCAAGGCTCCTACCTGGATCTACTCCAGCAACGAGTGCTACTCCGGCGCCTGCGGTACCCTTGGCGCCTACAGTAAGCCACCCTCTCGAAAATGTCTCGTGTCGTGGACTTGTGCTAAACAAATACTCGCAGGCTGGAGCAACCTCACTGTCACTCTCAGCGAGGCCGACTCTAACTTCGGAGACACCCTTCAGCTTACCGGCGGTTCCTCCAGCGGTATCAAGACCACTGATGGTGGCAAGACCTGGCACGCCGACTCCATCAAGATCAACGAGGACTACTTCTACACCGATGGATCCAAGAAGCAATGCTAAGCATTGCATCGGCCCAAAGGACTGAGAGCACGTCGTTGATTATCTTCTTCTCATCTTTGACATCCGAGGCTTCGTTGTCAGCCAGCTCGGGGCCTCTGGCCATTATCTTCCTGTGTAAATATAACAATGCATCTTGTACATTATCATCGCTGACGGCCGGGCGTTCTTGCCTTCGTGGATCGAGGCTGGCCACCTGTACCAAGTCTGAGAACACTCCCGAATGAAGGCTAATTTCTTACTGAACATCAAGTAGAATCTTACAAAGCTCACCCTCCTGTAAACAGCTGTCTCGAGCAGTGAACTTTGATTTTCACGTGAAGTCGACAGGATGACCGTCTGAGAATGATTTCAATAATCTCAACGAGTGATGGATGATGCACAGAATCCATCTCTTATACTTTTCCATGGAAGTTGCTTGCGATCTCAAGCTTACATTGCCTCTTCAGTCTTGGTATTAAAATGAGCTCCTGTGGAATATGATTCTCGCCCGCCTAGACCGTACTCTGATCACCCTCCTTCTCAAATAGATCTACCGTGTCCTTGAGTGACCATAAGCATTTTGCTGACGGTGTCCTTGTTCATTGCCTTCTCGGCCTCGCTAAGCGATTGCGCAACCGCGGTGCAGCCACGTGCAACGACATCAGCGCCGTACAATGTCATGGTTTCCTCTCTCATTTCCGTGTCGCCAGTCTTCCTCAGCAGAATTAGAGCTTTCACGTACTTGTCGGAATCGATGATGGCATGTTGAAGACCTTGACCCCGGACTGAGACAGAGTCAGCACGGGAAATAGCGAAGCAGACGTGGTTTTGCTTACATGGGAGCATCGGATGTGCTGCATCACCTGCAAGTGTGACTTTCCCGTCATGAGTTCGCCAGGCTGACGGCAGCCAATACTTCATTTCGTCAATGTAGCAAAGACTTCCGTCCGGTGTCCACTCTATCGCGGATCGGAACGGCTCGCAAAACCCCTCCAAGTCACTTTTGACAAAGTCAATTGCTTCCTGTCCAGCTAGAGTCACGGGCTCTCCTTTCCAGACTTTGACCCAGAACGTCTCCCACGAGGCAACGTCTTTGGGATCATTTACAGCCATGACTGTCACGGGCAAAATTAGCTAAAATCCTCCGGCGGGAAAGAATGGCAGGCGATACATACCACCACAACCAGCCATAACCCCAGAACCAAGCATGGAGGCAAATACTGAGTGTGCCTTCACGATTGTATTGACTTTCTGTTCATCTCCGTACTTAACATTGCAGTTGGCGATCATGAAGCCGGAGGGCACCGGTTTGGCAACTGCGGCATCCACCAGGAACTCCCGAACTTTTGACGACGCACCATCCGTTCCCAGAACATAATTTGCATCGAAGTTTGAATCGTCATTGAAAAAAAGTCGCACAGAGTCGTCGTCGATAATGTCCAGCGCTTTGAGACCTTTGCCCCACTGGATGTCAAGGCCCTCCGCCAGAATCTCCCTGAAGCGACGACGGCTAACTCGCCGGGCGCCGGGAGTGGAGTTCCGGAACAATACCTCGCCAGTAAGGGCGTTGTATCCCAGGACGCTCTCGTCCCAATCATCGAATTGCAGGTGAGGATTGCAGTAAGCCTTTGGAAAATTCTTGACTATGTGGTCGGGGAGCATCTCGGTCAAAGTCGACATTCCCCAGTGAATCAGAATCGTCCAGTCTCTGGGACGCGCATCAATGCTCGCGTCGCGCTCGAAGACCATGACCTCAAATCCGTTCTGCCGATCATCAGTGCGAGAATCTCAAAGAACATGGCATAGGCACCGCGACACACCTTCTTGAGGCCATGGGCCGTGATCAGACCCGTCAACCCCGCTCCGACAATTGCGACTTTGGGTCCGCCATTCTGAAGGCTTTCGTTGGGTGCGTCGACTTCTGGAATGGCCATCGGAGATGTTGGAAAATCACTATTACGGGATCTGAATAGTCAAGGATATGGTCGGTTCGATTCCGGCCGATGGATCAATTGAAGTACTACAGAATATTTCTAGAAAACGATGTGAGGAGGTAAATGACGTCTATGAAGAACGGGCCCTCCAATGTCTCTGTCGTGAGACTTCCCGGTCCCGAGGGGATTCTTCAGACGAAAAGTCATCTCCGAAGCTAGTGCAACACAGTGATTGGTTCGCCCCATCTCCAAGTCCGAACGAGCCTCTAAGGTAGCGTGAGACGATAATCGGCACGGCATCAATAGCTAATAATGGATTGAACTTCCCGGGGTGTCATCCTTTGAATGCAAGGCAGGAGCAGGTGTTCGGCATAGGTCGTAAGCTGGGCATACGGTGCGTCCAGGGGCCCTGGTTTGATAGGTGTTTGCGTTGTATTCTGGCCAAATAGTCGTATTGGATTATGTTGAAGCAGCCATTAGGTGACGGCACCGTCTCTCTACGGGCGATCTTTTGAAGCTTGATGCATTTTTCCTCTGATATCCACCACGTCGAGAATGGCGCTTGCGAGATACAAAAGTACCATAGTCGATGTGAAGAACGGCTGGAAAAGCCACCGTTTATCGGAACTGCTCAATTGATTCCAGCTCTGGTATCTGCAATAGATTCCGTACAGAATGTAGATGTGACCGACAAGAAGCACAAGATTCATGATGAGCCAGAAGACGGTCCGGCAAATCGCGCGACGCAGCCGCGCACGATTTTGTTGGTATTCAGATGTGTCTGCTTTTGTCAGACCCAACAATGTCGAGTTGGCAGCCATTGTTAAAGTCTTTGTTTTCTCGTGGCTGATATCCATCTATGTAACCAGCGTATGTATTGCCGTGCTGATAAGGTAGAGAAGGATGCGCAAGGAGTCGAATACGGTTGAAACGAGCAACTATAATGACAATCGATGAGTCAAGTTTGTTTGCGGAGACCAGCACCACCTGCCTTACGTTGGGAGGACCTCCGTCAATTTATGTTCCTGTTTGCAGGACTGAATGCCTAAGCTTGTGTGCCTTAAGCGGCACAGCAGGCTGGTAGGTTGGTGGCTTAGCTAGCCAAGAAAAGGCACCGCCTAGTTGACACCAGGGGGGTAGGGGGCAAAGGGGTATTAGCGACCGATCGAAGGTTTGTTTGCTACCAATCGATGGCGATTAATAGAAATTAGGATCCCGTAACTCTTCTGCCATCCATGGCTTTAATCATCATCATTCAATGACAAGGTGTTCAATGTCTCAGACTCTCACCGCAGACGAATGCTCTTGAAAATTTCTTGTTGGTTTATCACTACTATATCTCTCAATCTTTCGTTGGAGAACCTGCTTTAGATTACGTGAGTCTGACAATACGTCCCTTGTATCCCGAACTCCGAAGCCCGTCCTTCTATCCCTCCAAGTGAAAGGTGTTGTATTTTGTGTACGTACGCTTGGTTGTTTTCAATGGTTGTGTTGTAGCCCCAGCCGAAATGATTTCGCCTCGAGCCTCTTCATCGGTAGACTCTGTAATAGCTGGAGCAGACCGTTGGTTGAATGGCGGAACGCCATCGCCGAAAAGCTCGTCCATCTGTTCCAAAGTCTTGCCACGTGTTTCTGGATAAAACAAGTAATAACAAACCGCCGCTATCATGTTGAAGACGAAGAAGACGTAGAAGAATTTGAATCCAACAGCCGTAAGGGCTTGTGGTGAAAATGAGACCAGGATCAGGTTGACGGTCCAGTTGGTGAAGGTGGTAAGAGCATTGCCGAGGGCTCGGATTTCTAGAGGGAAAATTTCCGCAGGGTACACCCAACTGATGATGCCAAGCGGGGTGAAGAAGAAGCCAAACACAAAGTTCATGGCCACCATACTCCTCAACTGGTCCGCATTAGACCTGTCCAGGTACTGAAATTGGATCGCGTTAACAAGCAGGGCAGCCGCCAATCCGAGAGCAGAGACGATAAGAGGTCTAACCCTCCCAACGCGATCCAACATCCAAAGGCCAACGGAGTTGTAGATGATACCGAGGGCGCCGTTTATACCGATGATCATCAGTGATGTCTGGGTTCCGATTCCCAGAAGTTCGTAGATGCGAGGGCCGAAATAGTTAATGACGTTAATGCCAGACAATGGAGAAAATGCTTGAAGAGCGCAACCTAACAGCAGTCGCTTGCGCCAGGAAGGACGAGTGAGAATTTCCTTCCATAGGTTCCAATTCTTGTTGATGGCAGACTGTTCACGGACGGCAAGTCGGATTTCGTTGTACTCAACATCAACAACCTTCTCATCTACACCAATGCGTAGCTTGTCTAGTCCTTGACGAGCCTCATCAGGTCGTCCCTTTTCCATGAGCCACCGAGGTGACTCTTGAAGGAAATATATGCCCAGTGCCAAGATGATACCTGGGATGCATTGGAACGCCAGCGGGAAGCGCCCTAGGGTGAGTCAGCAGGTTATCACACCGAAGTTAGCATCGGATCTCACATGAAAAGTCAGTCTTCACGAACGAGCACCCGTAGCCCAACCATTGGGCTACCAAGAAGCCCCAGCTCAGCATCCATTGCAAGAGACCTGAGAGTTTACCCCGATGCTTGGCTTCCGACAGTTCCGAAGCATACATCGGGATGGTCGATGTCAGAATTCCAACAGCAGCACCGCCGATGAACCGCCCGATGATGAGGGTGAGCAGATTCCGAGAGCCGGCCTGGAGTGCAGACCCCAGACCAGATATGATTGAGCCAAGAAATACCGTATTGCGACGTCCCAGCCAGTCGGAAAATAGCATGTTCACCATCGTCCCAAGGATCGCTCCTCCCTGGAACGATGATACTATTCCTCCGGCAATAGCATCAGATGGGTGAAAGTAGTCTTTGAATGTCTGGAGTGCGATGGTGGAAGTGATAATACCGGAATCGAATCCGAACAAAAAGCCTCCCGTGGCCAAGAAAGCGGCCGAGAAGAAAGTCGCATGACGGCCCATCGGAGCTGCGTTTGATCGTCTAACACCAAATTTCTTGGAAGCTGAATATTATGCAACGATAAACACAAAAGTGGACTTGGCACTTCAAGGTCTAAAAGAGAAATATAAGATCAGCTTAACGGTTGGTATTTCCCCAGACCCTCTATCAGCTGGTGTCGTCGAGATGGGAAGAAGGATGAGAAAAAGAACTGGAGCTCATGGTGGTTTTCACATGCGCTCCGAACGGGCCTGTGCGATCAGGTTTCTTGTTAAAGTATTGAAATTTCCTTGCGTGACGTGGACGTTTTAAGCATGAAACTTTGCGGCTCTGTGAGCCATTCACGGTTTCTTGTTTGGAGCGAGCGCCCGAATAGAGTTGCCGTCCGTGATTCTAAATGCGATCATTTCCCCCGCTTGCCGAAACTGTGACCGAAACGTTGTTTCTTCCGACGATCTTCAGACGCATCACTATTCTCGGTGCGATTGGCGTCATTCTATCTGTCATCCGGTCCTCACATGGGAATCCTCGAGGATGAACTGCTTCATGACGGGAGTGTGCTTCCTTCTTCGGTAACCAATGGACATTGTAGTCGTTGATCAATGTTTCTGTGTGGTAGAGATTGATATTGAGAAGGCGGACGCTAGGGACATAAGGTTGTTTTAGCGCGGAGTATTGACAACTGCCAGTTTAAAACGGACAACGGGTGCCCAGCATACTTCCGAGCGGGCGGAGTACGGCGACAAGATTTAAGTCCGCACTTCGCCAATTTACTCCGTGCATGTCACTCATTGCCTAGGCAAACTTTTCACATGAACGTTGAGAGCCTTGAACCTCTGGTGAATTTTCTAATGCAGCAATTCTGGCACAGTTCAGGCCTTTGAAAGCGGCTTGGAGTTCAGCAATGTTTGATTAAACTACTGTTGCATTCTCCGGTGCTACGTCGCGTTGCAGTGTCAACTCAACCTTCGGATGGGCCAGACGACGACATGCATACTTGAAAACGGAGTGAAAGTACCAGTTGACTCGTTAGAGTTAACACATTACATTGGATAACGCGTAAGGTCAAGTCTCACGCCTCTGCCGCAACCATCTACTGTCTGGAGAAATTGAAGTTCCAAGTCCGTCAGGCTAGCTCCATCGCGCTGTACTATCAGAAACGTCTGGCCGCATCGGTGAAGCAAAGCACCGCATCTTGAATCATCTTGAAGTGATGTTCCTGTCCATGAGATCTAATGCTTTTCTGAGCGTCTCGCAGCTGTCTCCCTGCATATATGTCGATCTTCCCATCGTAGCGCCCGCCCCTCTGTGTCGAGCTAGAATTGTGCCCGAAGCGGCGACGCGCATTTCCAAGATGGCGGTAAACACTACCCAGCGGAAGGCATCCGCCCTTATCATGTATGTCTCACCCGAGTTAGGAGACACAGCCTTAAAGTTGTTTCTTCTGTAGGATGTCCATTCTAGCAAACGTGAAAGCACGCCAATGACGATGTCGACTTTTCTGGAAGAAGGGAATGAAAGGAAATGGTGATATTAGAAGGGAGATTTCCTTAAGAAAGCCGTGGCTCTCCTTCCTGTCATTATCCCACTCAAAACACGTCACTTGTCAAAAGCAATGTCATCATCACCTGAAGTAATCGTTGCATTGGCAACCTTGATTATATCCGTGCCGTCCGCGATTGTCGTCATATTCCGATGCATCAAGGGTTACCGCAGACACCGCCTTTCCCACAGTGGCACTCACACCACAAGGCAAGCGGCTTTCGAGACGGTGTGTTCCTCAAAGGTACAAATCGCACCCCATCTGACAGTATAAGTTTATTCGTCATCAATTAGACCGACTCCATGCAATTGAAAGGGAGGGATATTGTCCTAGAGACCTACAGATGGTTTGCGAGCAAACCAGTCAAGCGCGACAGACAGAAGCTCTCTTATTCTGTACCACACGGTTTGTTCAATATACCCCGATCCTTTGTTTGGTACTTCTATATTGAAAATAAACAACTGACGTCTGTCAATCAGCATGAACACTGCGTATGTACGCGTACGAACATGAGGGATGTTGAAATGGGGTTCTCCGAGTCGCTAAGTAGCTGAGAGGGACCTATGCCACGAGTTCAACAGCAGGCATGGGGGCTGGAAACAATTTTGCCACACTCAACTCAACGCTCTGGAGATACTTCATACGATTCCGAGCGGAAGCAGACGACGAAAACAAGCAAGACGACTGGAACAACACCGTACTCTATTAGCTCATCCACTGGGAAAGCAAGACTTGACAAACATTCATAGGAACTCCAGTGGTATAATAGATTCGCTCTGAAATGTATTGTTCATTTAGATTACATTCATCGTTCTCTATACAAGATGCATTCGCTCTTCAACCTTGACTTTCTTCTCCAATCTGTACGTCCATTCACGTTAGGCGCTGGGCTCAGGCCACTCGTAGGTAGACGCCTGAGGGACACCGAAGTTGGGCGTTCCATCAGCATTGGCAGTGATGGGCTGGACCATGATGTAGCGGTTGTCATCACACGCGCCGTTGGCGTTGCTGGTTGCGTGGAAAGTGATGTACGTCTCAGTCTCATCAGGGCTGCGGAAGAAGCTGTTGTGTCCAGTGCCAAAGTTTCCATTGGCGGCGGTCAACTGGCATCCGTTGCTCTTCGTCCATGCCGAGGGCGACGCGGGGTCGGTGACGCCATCCCACTCGAGCAGAGCAACGCAGTAGTCCGGAGTCCAGCAATAGTTGGCAGAGTAGGCGATGTAGGTCTTTCCACCAAAGTAGAGGCCGTAGAAGCCCTCTTGGACCGGGACTTCACTCTGCTCCCAAGCCTGGTCGGGCTGAGAAATGATGGTGATGTTGGAGCCAGCTGAGACGTAGTCATCACCGAGCTTGCGCACGCAGGTGGATTGGTGCTCAACGCCGGTCATGCAGGAGTAGACGAAGTAGTTGCCCCAGTCGTTGAATCGGACAACAGTGCCGTCGAGGGACCAATCATCGGTGATTTGACCAGCATAAGACCAGTCGTCCCAGGGCGAGGCGCCACCTGTAGATACATTCGTTAGCTTCGGAGAGCTTTTTGGATGTGATCAATCATAACCTACCCTGCAGAGCATGCATTCTTTGGCCGTCCAAGTTGCCATCGTTGCCGGCAGTGTAGTAGAGATACCACCTCCCGTCAAAGTAGTGGATCTCGGGAGCCCAGACGCTACAGCATCGCGTGGGGTTCGAGTCAGAATAAATGACCTTCGGGGTGGCAGTCTTGAGTCCCTCGATGGTCGTGGCTCTGGCGAGCTGGAGGTTGGTCCACTCGGTCGAGATCAGGTAGTAGTAGCCGTCAAACCACGAGATCTGGGGGTCACCGCCGCCAGGGTTGCGGATTGGGTTGGTGTAGGCGGCGGCCGAGCCGAAAAGGCCAAAGAGACCGAGCGAAGCAGAGACGATCTTAGACAGGTACATGGCTGCTGTGTCTCAAGGAAGATCCGCCTCTGAAAACTGAGATGCTGGTGCTGAATGCTGCATGACAATCGAGGGAGATCTTAGGCGGCTTTATACTCGCAGAGCAAGCAGACGGCAATAGGATTGTCGACATCATCAGGCGTTCGACCCGTCCCTACCCCTGAGCCGATCCGATGCGCGACTGAAGTGGCATGTGGCATGGCTGGGTGTTGTTCCTGGTGGACTTTCTCGTTCACTCAATGTGACTGGAGCGCTTTCACCCGAGTCAAGACAGACAACAAGGACGATCCGGAGCGACTCCGTACGCGGACCCCATCAATCGTGGGTTTCTGGCAATCACCTCGGGAAAGACAACAATTAAATTGCGGAGAGGCCAAGACCAAGCTAACGGGCGGTGGCCAGCTGATATTGGCCTTGACTACCGGTACCTGCTTGAGGTGGTTACACCGGATTGGCGCGCCAAAGAAGAGGGCGCTGTTTTGGTACAGGATGGCGGGGTTAAAAGCCGCCCATGGGTAGGCAGCTCGCCGTTGTTACCTTAATCTGTGGGGTTCGTCCGGTCACTTGTCAGCGGCTTGAGTGCGGAGGTCCTGTATTTACGAACCTGGTCGCCATGTTTACCCCATATTCATATCCCTGGCCGATTTGCAAGCGTCTGATTCCAAGTTTCTCCGTGGGCGCGTGATTTTGCACCCCGCGCCGTCCCCGGCCTCCCGGGCAGTGCATACGGCAGAGCACCGATGGGGCCCTCACGGCCGAATTGTGCTGACGTCAGTACGATGGGTTGTTAGAAGCTTTGGTGTTCTATCAAAGAAGTCCCAATCAGTGATTAGTTTGCCTTGGGTACGTTGTAAGTTAAGTTGTGTATTGCCTTGGCTCTGGATGCTAAGTGGGCCCTTTGAACGAAGGTCAGTCAGCATCCTCGATTGACCTGATGGACAGCCGCTCAAGAATCAGCATCTAAGCGCTGTCGCTCACCAAATGTGGAGGGGGGAGAAGCGATTGCGACCTGCGTGAGATTTCGCGCAAATGTATTTTCTCATTCACTATCCTAACTGCATCTCTCTTCTTCCTCTTTCCGTCCCCTTTTATCCACCTAAACACATCCACTGCCAAGTCACCGCGTGCTGACCAACTTTCCGAAGTCACCTATTCCAAAATCTCAGAGGCTGGGCGCTCTTCCTTTCTCATTCGCGGTCTTTTGTCACCAACCCGCAGACTTCTCCCCAGAACCATTTCCCCTTCATTGCCAAGTCACCCAATTGGCTAGGCATTACTTCGGGGACCCGTCCGGCTTCCAGAATCCTCGGACAAACAGGTCTCGAGCCAGAAATGTCACCAGCAATAGAGGGTTCCGGTATCACATTATTGTTACCATTGCTGTGTTTCATCAAGGACCCTGTCCCAGCCCATTTACGTACAGGCTTCAGTAACCACTGCCAGACGGCCAAAACCCAGCTAAAAGCAGCCTTCAATCCAACAAAAGCATCACGCAGTATCTGCTTCCAAAGGTAAGCGAAAAAAACACTCGATCGGCAACAGCCTTTGCCCGTACCTGAATATTCTCATCGTGGCGATAGTTTTTGTATACATACCAACCGTTTTTCAATAACGACATAGCAAGCGATAACACATTGCAAACACAGCTTATGATATTCGTAGTATCCGACATGTCTCCTGGTAAGTTAATCTCAAAAAGTAGAGCCCAGTCAGCCACTCTTAGTCCACCGCAACTTCAGTAATGCCCAAGGATCCGAAAAACCACACTAGTCGATATCAACGTTGATGTTTGAATCTGATGAGAAGAAGAGGGAAAACAGACAGAAGCATCAAAGAACCAAGTGCTCTTTTTATAACTTCGTCTGAAGGGTCCAGGTGCTTACCTCAGAAGGTGACAGGGGCGACCGCGCAGTGGGGTTGCGACCGCACATTACGCACGAAGAGACCAACCAAGACATCCGAAGGAAAGCACATGTTATACCCAAAAGGGAGGGGGTTTTTAGGGATTGAAAACGACTGGATGGAGTTCTGCATTTCAAAGCATACGTCCAACACACCGGGCTGTCCGTTTCGCTTACCTGCGCGCACCTGCAACTATCGTGTCAGAATGACGGTCTCCGCCCACCACCAACAGTCGCAGAGCGAGACGCGTCAGACGCGTCGTGCGAACCAGCGGTTCAGCTTTGCAGGCAAAGTGGTGTAGAAAGACTTGAGTCGGTGCTCTTGGAGGGTGCACTGAAAGAGCTGGAAGAGCCAATTACCCCCGCTGCACCCCTCCTCCTCTTTGCCCAAGTCCGTTTCCTTGGGTGGCATCATGGCTGTGCGTCAGGCAAGCCTCACTGTTAGGCCACAGCCAATCATCGCGTCGGTCGTCCTCAGACGCGTTCATCAATGTACGTTCGTCAACGGAGCTGGTGGCCAGGTTCTTGGGGCTTTCTCTTTTTAAGACGGAAGCTCCGGGATCGTCTCGCCCTATGCCGGTTTCCGAGACTGAGACGGTCCATCTTCCTACCGTTGACGAGTCGCCACGAACTTTGCATGTCGTTCATACTGACCTATATCACTTCGCAAGCGACGGCTTACGCCCACTCAATCTCCAATCTCCATAGATGCACGATTCGCGCTGCAGGGTCCGAATTATAGCACATTAAACATCTATCAAACATAAAGTCGTAACCCTCTCGTACAACGGGTAAGGCGCCTACAACACCCCGCCATGAAGTATAAACCATGCAAACCGAAACCTACAACGACCGTGATCTCAAGGTCTCATCTCATCAAAAACAGCTGCACCTACTCCATCTTCTCGATGTGATCATCCTCCGCCTCCGTATCCTCCTCAATGCTCCAGTCCCTCCAGCCCTCACCGCGCACCCAGCTGATGCCCTTCCTCCAGTTACCCTCCTTCACAGCCCTCGCATCCCTCTCGTACACCACACCGGTGACCATCAACGCCATGACAAACACCCACACATCACCGCCCTTCATCGCTCTCCACCACCTCCTCTTCACGCCAACCTTCCACAGCGAGTCGACGCTCACGCGGGCAGAGTACAGGAACACGCCACGTCCGTTGCGCTTTTCGACCCAGGCCCAGAGACCGGCCAGGAAGCCGCCGAGGAAGAACCTCTGCGTGGGGAGGAAGGTGCGCGGGAACCACTGCTGGAAGAAGCAGATGCTGGCCCAGGCGGTGGAGATGGAGCCCGTGACGAAGGTGCTCATGCGCAGCGACTTGGCGAGGACGCGCTGGAGGGTCGTAACGGGGGCGTTGTACAGCGAGCGGAAGCGCGGGAGGAAGGTGACGGCGGAGTAGATGATGAGGAAGAAGCGGGTGAGGCCGGGGAATGAGCCGAGCCAGAAGTTGAGGTAGGTTCGCAGGCAAGACGGGTCGGAGGGGTGAAGCGTCGCGCAGGAGAGTGAGTTGATGATGGGGTGGGCGGTTGAGGTCAGGGGCTTAACGGCGCTGAGGGTCGCTGGGAGCGTCTCCTTGTTCGGGAAGAGTGTGGGTGAGATATAGGGCCTGCGATTGTTAGCTAAGTCAGGTAAGCTGAAGGGGTAAACATACGGCCAGTTGAGCTTGGCCATCTGAGCCAGGTTATCCACAATCTCATACGCCTTGGGCCACTTGAGGTGAGCCGGGTAGTCCGCCGGCCTGGGGTGGATGTACGCCGTTGAGTTCTTGAAAATGAAGTTGCCGTATGTCTCAGGGAAGCAGTCCCGGTCAAACACCACAGCATGCAGCAGTTGTCCGAAGGCGAACGGCTGAATGAGCCAGCTGCCCCACCACCATGGTCTCTCCCGCTTGACCTTGCCTCCGTTCTTGAAGCCCCAGATCATGCCCTCCTCTTCGCATAGGTTCCATCCGAACTCAAGCGCCCTGAAGAGCGTGTAGATGGCGATGGTGACGCGCAACTGCTGTGAAGGGTAGACGCCCAAGAACACACCGGCCAGCGAGGCGCCGATGGCAGGGGCGTATGGAGACGTCAGAGTCGCCGCTGTACGTGGGTTTCTTTGGCGGAAGGGCGCGGCCGTGGGGTCGAGAAGGTGGGCGCGCAGACGTGCCAGGAATCGAAAGAGGATACGGTAGAGCAGGAGGATTGTGGATAGAGAGAACGAGAGGCGAAGCGTCGGCGACTTGTGTAGTGGTTGTTTCTGGCCGGCCGCAGCAGGACTATCTCCAAGTCAGCATCTAGTCGTTCTGGATATCTTTGGAGACACTTACTCTGGCTTCGCGCCCAACAGCTTCTGGGAAATCAAGGCCCATCCCTTCATCGCAACCGCCGTACCGATGAACACACGCAAGGAATGCCGCACAGCGCGCGCATTGTAATCGTCCACCGCCCGTCCTCCAGCACCCGGCCCGGCATTCTGCTTCGGCTTCTCTCCTTCAACGATGCGCTCGACGGCGCTCACGCTCGGCGCAGCCCTCTTGAGGATGCGCGACCGCGAGATGACGTACTTGTGCAGGGTGGCATACTCTTTCGCGGAGATGGTGTATCGTAGGGTGTTTCGGAGGACGGGATCGGTGACGCTGCTGCGCGAGGGCGGCGCTCGCGAGGGACCGCCGCCGGCAGGACGAGGGCTCGGGGTGGAGACAGCGGCGGCGCCAGCTGGGCCTGGCCGCGACGACGAGGTCGCGGCGGAGGCCATTGGAGCAGATGACTTTCGCGGGGACCGGTTCGGTAGTGAGAGGGTGGTCGTCGACGATAAGAGGCGGCAGAGAGATGGAGGGAGGTGTGGTGACTTGTCGTGTGCTTCGGGCGGAGGTTTGGAGAATCTGGGGAAGTGAAGGAGGGTTTGGTCCGAACTGAGGAAGCTCCGTTAGCACGTGTCAATGCCGGAACTCTAGCGTCGGCTTTGCGCGATGACCTCAACGACCGGGGCCGACGTCTGGGAAAGGAGAGTTGGACGTACACCGAGCTGGGCGATGTGGTTGGGCGCGGCGGCAATTAAGTTGAGTATCGCAGACGACGAAAGAAGCGGAAGAAGAAAAGAGTTAAAAGTTGGTTATGTAAAGCAATTAAGAGAGAGTGTGGTAGTCGTGGTCGCGCGTGTGTGGAATGCGGAACTGGACGTTCGCACCTTCAGCTTTGGGCGTCGCGGAGGTCGGTCGTACTCGCAGTTGCGGATACCTGGCGCTGCTGGGCTGGGCGTCAGGCGTCACGGGAAACCTGGAAGCCACTGGACCCAGCACATGCCTCGGCTCTCAGGCAATTCATCACTGATCCCTGCTGTCCCGGGGATGGAGGGGCCCAAATTCGACCACTGAAGAAACAAACACCACTGATTGGCCCAGCCGACGTCGCTACGTCCAGAGAGTGCCCCCCGCAACAGGGGACTTCCCCACACTTTTCCTCCCAGATGCCGCTCTTGGAGAGGTGCGCCATCAAGTTTAATGACATGTTCATGCATCCTGTTGATAATCGAAGAAATGTTTAAATCTTCGCGTCTGCTTCTGTCTTTGTTGTTGGTCTGTGATGTCGCGTTCCTTCGTGAGGCTCGGAGATTCTTCCCTTTTTTGATCACAAGCGCAATACAGAGTGCGAGCCTCAACAGCATCACCAGATACACCCATTCAAGCTGGACACACTTGCAAATGTCTTGCAGATTCATCAGCACACACTATGAATACCTAGCAAACGAGTCGAGGCCATGGCAAAATAACAACCCGCCCAACCTGTCGGTTCTCCGGCGTCGCCTGGGCTCCCCGCAACACTCACTCCTAGTAAGGAGCCTTCATTTTTCTCTCTCAACCCATACATCACCGGGTATTCACGTCCTCCCCACAACCGGCACGTTGATCTTTCCGTGTCCCCTTTTACCTGTCCTCATCCCGTCATTTGCCATCCTGCCCACCGGCCGCTGTTGGGGAGTTACAACCTCGTCCAAAAACACCTGCCCATGGCCATGCGTCAACAAGTCTGCCCATTAGGTACCCGTCTGCTAACCCCTGCCCATCAAGGATGAGCAGGCTTTCAGCTAAGAGTCTGACATGACTATCAACACACACGCGCGCAAACAAACCAGACCAACACAGATGCCCATAACAGCAGAACCGCAGCACAAAATGCCCCATCCACTTCCACGCTTTCTGTAGCTTGGACTTTTCCACAAAAAACTGCCAAAAGAACACCATGCGCAATGCCCAAACCATCAACCGAACCCTCCTGAAAAGGAATTGCCGCTTTTTTCTTTTTGGTCATCATGTGAATGCCGAATGCAGACCGACCCGAATCGTCGTCGTCGATCTTTTTTTTGAGTCTCCGTGTCGTAACATCGTAATCCCGGCTAATGCTTGATTCAAGGATAAGCCGGGCGGCCCGTGTTCTCCACATGGCCGCCACCCTTCTGAACCATCAGCGGAACCCACTGCCGGCCGAGGGACGGCGCGTCGCCGTTGACGTACGACACCACTTCCTCACGCCAGCCGAGCCCGTTCCACTCCTCAGCCACGCGGGGCTCCACGCTCTGAAGACCATAGAAGATTGACTCGGCGTCCGGAATGACGCCAGCTCTTACGGCCTCGACTGCTCGGTGTCTTCTGGCCTCACGCTCGTTGACAACGTCCAGCATGATTTGGTGGCGCGCTTCCACATTGGCCCATCCGTTAACATTGCCGAAGCCACTCGATTCAAGAGTTGGCTTCAAGAATGCGAAGGGCAGGTTAATGAGGATGGTTGACAGGATGGACTGAATGTTTCGCTGCTGGGGCGACAACGGTGAGGGCTCGGACACCTTAGAGCCGTCATGGTTCAACGCCAGATCGCCGAACTGGATGTGCATTGGGCGTGAACGACGGTCCTTACCCGAAGTTCCGTGGGCGATGGTCGGGGTGCCTTCACGGGTGGGTGGCATGGCAGGCACAGACGGGATGCGAGGGTAGCGCTCAGGATCGGCCACAGACGTGTCCAGAGTGAAGTCCGTCGGGAAGTTGTTGACGAGGAAGTTGATAATCCCGTTCATCAAAATCTGGACTGCGTCACCGTAGACGAACTGCGTGTGGCGGTCGGCTGAGGCACGGCCCGCTACATCACCCAGGGCGAATGCGATGGCTCGCTCAATGGTGGACCAGCCGAGGGAGTGAGAAGCAATCTCCATGCCACGGACAACAATTGGGTGCCAACCCAATGCGTGGCCAGCTGCGGCGTAACCAAGGGCGAATTCGAACCGATCGTCAGCCGTGCCGGCCATGCCAAGTCCTCCGTTGGCATTGGGGTCCGGGAGGCCAAGCAGGGGGTAGGCATAGAGATGCTGAACTGCCATCCAAAAAGCATCGGAGCGAAGGTACTTGTCGTCGGAAGGGAGAAGAATCATGCGGTTAGCACCCGGCGGGCTAGACTCGAAGCTCTCAGACTCGAGGATGTTCTTAATGACCTGACTTCTGGCAAGCACAAGGCGGTGACCGGGAATTCGGACGGGAGGATAACGGTCGTCCAGATATCGGAGCTCCAGAGTACAGTCAGCGAAGGTGGTATCACGGAACTGGGACCGCAGGTAAGCGGTGAGTCCATCCAATGCCTGGGCTTCGTGTCCGGGATGCATCATGTGCGGGGGGGGGATAGGACCAGGCATCATCCGCTGGGGTGGTACACCGAAACCTCCGGCCTGGGGAGGGTGAGGGCGAGCGTCATCGAGGTGGGAAGTACCGTTGGGGATGCCAGGCGCGGGGTAGTGGTTGTAGGCACCGACGTCCTCCGCCTGAGCCGACGAGTGGGATCCCTGGAAGCTGTGAGGGGTGGACGGTCCGTAGCCATTGACGTACGGGTGGTACTGCTCCATGCCAGGAGGACCTGGAATCGGTCTGCCAAATTGGTCTACGGCGGTTCCAGGGACAAACTCGGTGCCATAAGGCATTTGAGGAGGGTAGCCGTTAGCAGCCACCGCAGCATGGTTGTGGAACTGGCGTCCGTCCTGAAGGGGCGCGCCGGGAGGAGGCATGAAGCCGCCAGAGTGAGGAGGGGCGGGAGACGAGGAGTTGGAACCAAATCCGCCGAACTGCACCAGGCTGCCGTTGCTTGGGCGCGGGCCATGCATGTGCGGGGGGCCGTTGTGGACAGATCGAGGGCCTCGGTGAGAAGTGCCATTGAGGACAACTGGCGCAGGGCGAGTTCCGTTGGGTGCGCCGGGAGGCATATTGTAGCGCGAGGGAGAGATGACAGGAGGGGGTCGGAAAGTTGGAGGAAGCTGGTGATTCTCTGCAAGGTGTGAGTAATTTGTTTGCTGCCCCAAAAGACCTTGCCTCGAATTCTGACCCAACCAAGCAGACTGACCAGAGGCCGGCAAAGCTGCCGGGTGGTCGCCCGCGAAGTATGAGGGAGAGTCCTGGCGTGCGTAGCGGCCAGCAAGCAACATACCTGGCGCAGATTCCATGACAGTCGGGGGCGCGTCTCGTTCGGAGGGCTTGTCGGTCGCTTCGGACACTTCGGGGGCGGTGGTAGCAGGTGCAGTGATCGAAGTCTGTTGGGTACCTGGTAGGCAATTATTAGCATCCACCTTGAGAGTTGTAGCTCGAGCGAAGTTTACACATACCGTCGCGATCCTTTACTGCATGGTCTTCGGCAGGCTTCTCGTCGTTGTCGTCCTTGGCGGCGGCGTCGTTGTCGTCGTTGTCCGTCTTTTCGGCGATGGCAGGCTCGAGGGTTTTGGGGGTCGGTGGCGCAGAGTCGTCGACGTCGTTCTGAATTTTCAAGGAAGAACCGTTGGTGGTGGCGGCGGGCCGAGGAAGGGATACAACTGGGACGGAGGCGGCGTGGGCTTGGGCGGCGGCATGCTTTGCAGCAGCATTGGCCTTGAGGCGGCGCTCGTAGGTGAGGGGAATTGCAGGCACGACGCGACGGAGGGGCTTGCCGTTGGCGACGACACCGACACCGACTCCGTTCCTCGCCTTCGTGTTGACGTTGGGAGCCATGGTTGACGAGAAGGCGGAGGTGGTGGTGGTGTTGAGGAAGCGGCGTTGGGAGCCCACGTCCAAGTCGCAGAAGTGGTGACTGGGTCCTTTTTTTTCTTTGGGCAGGTGCGACTGGGGGGGCTAGTGTCAGGACGAGGGCGGACGACCAGGACGGCAAGAACGACAGAGGTGCCCGGGGGGGGGTGGGTGCGTCAGGTCGGTCCGCGAGCGTTGTCGGCGATAGCAGCAGCACCTCAGATGAATTGCAGCTGATATCTCCCGGTGGACACTCAGCAGGTGGGTATTTCTAGAAGAAGGACCGCAACGTCGGCTGATGCTGGCGAGAGAAGCAAGGTAGAACACCCGGTGCAGTGAAGTCGCAAAGCGCAGGTTGTAGGTCCGGGCCTCAGTCGGGGCAACCAAGCTACCTCAGTTTTAGTGCAGGTATCTGCAGTGAGGGAAGGCAGTGTAGGCAGCTTAGTGTAAGGTCGTGACTCTTCTCCTGCAGAAAAGCCTATGTACAGCAGGGGATGCGCATGTTAGGAAGACGATCCCGTGGGTGCCAATGCGCGCTGTTGGTAGCCTGGACAATGCAAGATGCAAAGCAGAAAAAGGAGGGACGAACGAACGGCCTCGAGGGAAAGGGGTAAAGGGGCAGAGGGTGGCAGGTGACGATGCTGCTGCGAGGTGGCCGGTGATGGAGGTGCGTCTGTAAGGTACCTCGCCTGGCGACGTGGACTGCGTAAAGGAGAGGTTCCAGAGGAGGGGAAAGTCCAAGAAGTGGAGAGAAGAAAAGGTACAGGGTCCCGGACGTGGATAAGTATGGACGTGGCCGTGGACGCGGTGAAGGGAGAACTGGAGATGGAGATGGAGATGGAAATGGAGATGGAAGCGACGGGGGAGGCAATTATGTCACAGGCACGCACCTGCCTGTCTTCCGTTTGTCTGTTTGATTGCTTCTGGTGACTCTGATGCAATACTTTAGGGAAGGCAAGGGCATAGGAAGGCAACTAACTGTTCCTGCCGCCAACCGTTTTCTCCTTTCCCACGCAGGCAGAAGATGCAGGTGCTTCTTGCTTCTTGCTTCTTGCTCCTCCTTCCACCCGGACTTGGGCACTTGCTCCCTATTGCTCCTGCTCTCACGAAGGAGAAAAAAAAAAAAAAAAAAAAAAAAAAAAAAAAGTGGGNAAGAAAAAAAAAAAAAAAAAAAAAAAAAAAAAAAAAGTTGGGACAATCCGATGATGACAAAAAATCGGGGCTGCGTCACAAATTTTACCCCCGCAAAAAAAGAAAGAAAGGACGGTGCGCGGTGCGCTGTGCTGCCATGCGCCGGTACGTACCTGACGAAGCTTGCCAACCCTGGCTTTTCATTGGGCCAAGTCAGGCAGAGAAAGAGGGGAGCTCGCTCCATTCCTCCCCGTTGCGCCGGTACGTACTGCCCAGCTCCGTGTCGGCGGGCAGGCCAGAATGTCGACCCTGCTCCTGCTCTGGGCACTTTCTGTCGCCTGATGCTATGGGCATCAACGGGCAATTGCATCGCTGCCTCTCCTATTCGACCCCTTTCTCACCTGACCAAATCCCGTAGCTCAGTACCTTACTTTAGGATAGGAGCATCACATCAGGACATGACCGTTTGCTTGTTTATCCCTCTGTCGATGACGGAACAAACAACCCTCCCGCCGCAGGTCCCGGCCTTGCATTGTTGGTGCGGCGTAGCTAAAGTCCCTCTAGCGGTATTCCAGCGCAATTCACAGACCGCAAGGGCAACAAAAATAAACCACCATCGTGCCAGCCACAGGGCAGCCGGTACGCTACGGACAAGCTACTTTTTGGCTCGCGACCAGGGGAACCTTCGACCGCTCGCTTCCAATGCCGGATTACATCAGCAGTATTTTTACTGGGGACCTCCAGGAATCACTAAGGTAGGTAGGTAGGACCGAGACATCACCTCGCTTATCTAATTCATTCGCCGATTGACCCCCGTTCCTTCGGCCCGTTCCATCTCAACCCGGATCCGGTAGTGGGGCCGGATGCCGGCGGCAAGCATGACGTGATGCTCGGCCTCTTATGTTGTTGTTGCGCACACCACGAAGACTTAGCGGCCAGCAAGCGACATACCTGATGCAAGCAAGTTTTGCGGCTTTAATAATAGTCAAATTACTAGGGAAAAAAAAAAGCAGTCGATCAAATTACTCCTATTGCTTCGCAAAAGGTTGGCATCGGACCGAGGTGCTCTGCCATCGTAGTTTCTCCCTCGTGCTTGTTTCGCCATCTAAGATCGAATCATCCCCTCGTGTATGTCTTAATTTCAGCTGGCCTTCATGGTTAAGAACTTGCCTTGAAGGTGGTGGGTTTCAAACTCTGATCCTGCGGTGGACAGAACTACCTCCAGTGGCACCAAAAACATATTGAAAAAGCCTCCGCAGTGCCCTTGAAGCTCATTTTGCCTCATCATATCAATCAACATCATCAACCCAATCATCAACCCACTGTCACAAGCACCAAAATGTCCTCGTCAGTGTTCCATCTTCATGTCCTTAATCTCCGGTCCCAATTCTCCTTTACATTGGCAATCACTACTATCACTGCATTTGCATGTGGCATTGCTTGAGTTATCTCGAACGCAAATTCTCCAACCACTATCAATTGCCCTTATCGGCGCTTACCATCGCGTCATCCCAGTCTCAGCGTCACTCTTCTCCGTCGCTCCCCGTCGCTGTCTCCGTCGCTGTCATACTTCGTTCTTGCTATCCCTTGCCAATGCTAACCTCAAGTAATAGAGAAACTCATTACCGGCTGCCTCGTGGCTACAACTCTCCCATCGCCAACCAGGACCCGGCTGCGGCCACAGTCGTTGCCACCGTTCCCCGTCCAACAGTGGGACAAGCCCAGAATCAAGCGCTCCCCGCACAGTCGGAGTCCCGTCCCGGGAACAATCAGTTCTTGTAGTCTCTCTCCGGCAGTGTCGAAAAGCGAACGTGGCTAACGATCATCGCTGGGCAGCAATCTGCCTCTACCCCAAACAACTGGAGAGGTGGGTAGAAAACTGAAGTTTGAACTTGGACTGACAGGGTCATGGCTTTGGGAGCCGCGGTCGTATGTGAAATTAGCAGTGAAGGCTGGCAGATGCCACGTGGGTCTCTACGATGAAATGAGCCCGGCTGGTTTCACCGCGCTCAGCTTAATGGGCGGTCGTTGCATGGGCCGTTATATTGAAGACAAATTACTTAGTTTGAGCATTGACAAACCTTAGTACACATTTCAATCACCCATAACACATGTCTAAGCAATCGTCAATTGGCGTCATCGAACTGACTGCGATATTGACACAGATCGTGTTGGTCGAGTTTAACTCCTGAGAACAATTAAGGAGGATTGTTCAACAAGCCCACCAGCCTGCTAGTCATCTCTTTTCATGGCAATTTGACGCGCACTCTCCAATCATCTACTAATTGGGCATTAGGTGCTGCTCGTGAGAGTCGATCCAACCCAAAATGGCTTTCCGAAAATCATCGGTGTGGGGCTTTCGGCTCCTTGGCTACATGAAGTCTACACGCCATTGTCAGCATACCGCTAATGATGTGAAGATCTATTGCCTTAGAGACTCGCAGCCTGATGTGTTGACAAAGGTCCCGCATTGTAGGATGGCCTCTGGCATATGCTGTAAAGCTGCATGCCGCCTCGAATTCTCCGTTCTATGAGATCATGGCCAACGCCGCAGTCCCCGAGACATCGGAAAGACTCTTTTCGTGCGTTTCCTGGAAAAGTTTGATTCGTGCGACCCATCTGGAGATGACAGCTTTTCGACTGGATGGGGTCTCCCGCCTCTGATACCAAGGACTGCCCGCATTATTGACACCGTCTTCCCGAACTGTGCAGGCTTGCACGCATGACTGAATCAGGCTGAGATGTTAGTTCCATATGTTATAAAGACTTACTTACATTCGGTCCCGTTTCACGCAGCGTCGCAGTCGCCTGCTCCCTTGCCCAATCTTGTCTCCTGATTTACCACAATGCAACTGTGCAAGCTTCTCAGCATCCTCAGCCTGGCCATCGGAATAGCCAGCCAGACTACAACATGCTACTGGCCTAACGGTATAGCCACCACCGTAGCAAAGCCATGTACTACACCTCTAGGCAAAGCAGCCGCGGCCTGCTGCTATGACGACCATTATTGCCTGACCAACGGCCTTTGCGTGGACCCAAGCGATGACACCCTGTACCGTGGTGCTTGTACCGACCCTAAGTTTGACGCTGACGGGTGCCCCAAATACTGCGACAGATCTGAGATTATTGGCGCAGGTATGGCAGGTCATTATTGCAATGATATCTGGACCATTCGCTAACCCATGAATGCCACAGACCCTGCCACACACAATGGTCTTTGGGGTTGCGGCTTCACCGCGGTTTACGCATGTAACCACCCAAGTTTCTGCCTTCAGGCGAACTTTACAATCGAGCAGCCTGGCAAAATCATGTTAAATACTGCCGTCGAGTCGGATCTCGGAATCATAGCAACAGCCACGAGCTCTAGTACTCCATCATCGTCAGTGCGAACCGAACGAAACAATGGAACCTCCGCGGGTGCTGCAGCTGGCATTGGGGTTGGGGTCGGCGTGCCTCTCGCTATCGCCGTTGTGGTTCTCAGCTTCTTGTTCGTGCGGGAGAGGAAGAAGGTCAAAGCCGCTGAGGCTGCGACGCCGATGAGAGCGTATTCAAGTCCTGATCCCAAGTACGGCCCACCGCCCCCTTGGGCTCCGGGACAGCACGGTGACGCCGTCTCTCCTGAGCTGCCTACAACGGCTCATCAGGCGAGACACGAGCTCCCTCAATGATGTAGCGGGGCAAAGTGTAGAGTTGGAACATGAAGCAAAAGTTGAGAACGCTTGCGGGAGATCACCCTTTCCTTTCTTACAACGGAAGAAAATGGAAGGCTTGACTAATTTCCACCCTGTGTCATCTGGTCCAAGTCGTTACATTCGATTCTGCCTTTTCCATTATTCCTCTTTGTCGTCATTACCTCTAGTTTCTGCCGTCTTCCGTCGTGGCTATAGACATGGTTCAAGTTGTCGATAGGTGTCGAACTGTTCCTTCCCAGCGATGAATCCAGTGATCCACTCCCCAGGTGAAATACGGCATGGCCTGTGCATCGTCTTTTCTTGTCTCTGAATAACGATTTGATTGATACTTCACAAATACCACCGCATCTTTTCATAGACGATATCCCCTTAAATATACATCATCTCAATCGACCTAGGGGTGCCCCATTTGGCCTTGTGAGCATCGACAGATTTACCATTTTGCCTGTTTCTTCGAATTCAAACGGCCTCTTCATTCTTCTTTGGCCACGGCCACCAACCCTCAAGCGGCAAATCGTCATAGATGGCATTGAAATTGTTGTTCTGACCGTGCCGATGGTAGTGGTAGATGTGCTGACCGTTGGTGTTCCAGGCATCGGCTTTTTGAATGTGGTCTAGTTCCAGGTCATTTATCTTGAATCTTGCTAGAGCGCTCTGCTCGTTGGCAGCAACTTCAAGTTTCGCTGTCCAGGAAACTGGAGTATGGCTGTCGGAGAGGTAGTACGTGCGTGAAAACTTCCGCCCATACTGTAACAATTCGGGGTCGTTAAATTTCCTGTCAAGGTGCGAAGCCTCTGAGTGAACGTTTTTGGAGGACCAATGAAACCCGCCCTTCATCAAACCGACGATATTCCCGGTTTTCACGACGAGTCTAGCTATCCAAGTCGGAATCTCGCCGCTCCCAAAAACGGAGTCACTGACGAAGACGATGGCTAATCCCTCGGGGACGGATTTCCAGCTCTTTGAGTTGAAGGGCTGATGAGCCACATGTATTACTTTCAGGAATCCATCTGCCTCTAGCTCATCTAGCAGCTGTTCGTATGGATCGTCGTCCATTGGTCGGTAGGCAAGCCTAATTCAGAGACGGTACGAAAGATTCCTTGTTGTTCGAAGACGATGTACTGCGCCAGGTGTGGGTCGATCGAGTAGAGATTGGAGATCAAGCATTTGCAAAATTGCAGAATGCAGAAACCTACTTATACATCCTACTACTGGCACATGATAGAGACTTCCCGTTAAGTAAACCTAGGTCCATTGGACGGGCATCTTGACAAGATACCTAGCATGTGAAATGTGCGAAATGACAGGCAGGGGAAGATTTGCTGCTGAAAACCTTACCGAATTAAGTTCACCATCAAACGCCGTAGGAATTTGAATGGAGCGACAGAATAGCACCAGGAGTATGGACTGAGTATCGGCTCATCTCTCTTGAACAGTACTGCTACTACTTCGCTGGGGACACATCGTTCGCGGGGGGGACGACTGTAAGTCAAGAGTTTTGCTAGCCGGGCAGTGTTCATGCACACGTGTGTGATCCGTGTATCTTACTAGACCCCCTATATTTCCTTGTTATAGCTTGTATAGTCGCTTATGTGGTCGTCGTTATTGTTGCCGTCGTCGCCGTTATCGTCGTCGTGGTCATCGTCGTCGTCCATTGTTGTCATCATCATTCATCGTTGTAGTTTATCTTCATTATTGTTATTGTTGTTCGTATCGTTTTCTTTACTACTATCATCATTATAGAAGTATTGAGCACACCACTGTGGCATCGTTAGAGGTATAGGGAACACTGCCCGGCTAGCAAAGCTCCTAGAGTAGTCAAATGTCGCCGGCATCCTGACTGATATAGTTGACACAGTTGGCAAAACAAGTCTGTAGGCTTGACTGTAGCCCTCCGTACTTTGATTCAAATCATCCTGCATCCACATCGTTCCTTGTGGGCGTTCACTCAAGGCGTTAGCATTGGACGAAATATTCACAGCATTGAAGGAAGATTTTGCTTCACATAAAAAATAAAGAGTATGTCAGGACTTTCGTTATATAAGTCTTGATAAAGTTGTCAAAAAGTCGTTGTCTAGATGCACACGATTCTCGTGAGATCCGTGGACTGTTGACTGGAAGCGGGTTTTGGTAGGATGCGCAGCACTAGTAAAGCTGCTGATAGTATCCATGGATGCAACTAAGGCAATCAGAGACCTGAAGGCGTAGTAGATGAGAGGCTATGCTGTAGCTGGATGGGCTTACTTGCGGCTGATAGGTAGGTAGTGTGAGCAGGCTGGGAGTGCAGCCAGTGAGGTCTGCAGCACCCCTCAAAAAGTGGGATTCCACGTTCAACACTTAGTACATACGCGTGGGTTTGTCTCTCTGATTTTGCGCCATCTCCGGTATTCCTTTCTCGAGACATCAAAGCCTTTGCTCATGAGACCACTAGAATTTGCTTGCATGGCTCATAATGTCATATCAACACACCCAACTAAGTGGCCCTCGACGAACCAGGCTCCTAGTCCTCCATCCCGCCCATAAAGCCGGTGAAGTTCTCTCCGGATCACTGATTGAATGTGGCATTCATATCTCTCGACAGTCCGTGATAGAAGCTTCACATCACTTCGAAGCCTTGTCGTACGTGTGGGGCCCACCGAGCTCGTCACATTACCTTCAGCTCGGGGCGTTGATCTTGCCCATCACCGCCAACTGCGATGCGGCACTAAGGCATCTGAGAAGACACTCCGAGGACCGTATCCTATGGGTTGATAGCATTTGCATCGACCAGACTCCTAGTGGAGTCCAGGAGCGTAATGCTCAGGTTGCAATGATGGGCGATATCTACCAAGTCGCTAAAGACGTTCTTGTTTGGTTGGGCAATGGCGACGCTAAAACAGATGCATTCTTTCTTCATCTAAAACGTCTATATTTGCTGAGAGACGATTCTTGGGAAGACTTCCGAACCGAGTTTTGTGCCAAGTTCATGAACCGATGTGGTCAGTCTAAGTTGATTCCTTGTCCCATGATTCGTTGCAACATCTTCACTCCCGAACAGTGGATGCTCATATTGCCTCAGACACAAGATGGGGGACATCAAATGCTCAAACGGTTCGCGAGATAATCGAGGGCGTTCTTGGTCGGCCCTGGTTCGAAAGAATGTGGACTCTCCAAGAGCTTCTTCTTGCCACCCACGCCACCATTCTTTGCGGAGAACAGGTCATTGCCTGGGACACCTTCTGTCAAGCTTTGGAGCTTATGGAAGCTACGTTCTCCCTGTCTAGCAAAGGGGTGCGGAACTTTGCGAACTGTTTCTACGCCTATTCGGATTTTCAAGATATTTCTGGCAGCAACAACGGCCAGACGATTCAAAGGAGCCCTTCCGAAGTAGCTGAGGTAAATGCGGAGGGGAAGTTGTCGAGCCTTGTACAACATGCCAGAATTCGGCATGCCACCAACCCGAAGGACAAGATTTTCGGGCTCTACGGCATTTCAGAGAGACTCCGACAGCCATTCCCAAGTCCCGACTATACCCAGTCAGTGGCAAAGATATATATGGAGGCGACTATGGCTATAATACGACATGAGAACACCCTATGGCCGCTGGATAATGTGTGGAGTGGAAACCGCCAGAGCGGTCTACCATCCTGGGTTCCTGACTGGAGCGACGACTATAGATGGTTCGACGATGTGTTGATCGAGCTAGGAGGCGTTCCCCTAGACTCCGCAGACCGAGAGACGACAGTCCACTGGGAAGGACCGGTAGACGAACTGAACTACGACGTTAACTTCACTCCTGACGATGGCATCATTCTGCACGGCCAAACACTTGGCACGATCGAGGTTGTTTTTGACGACCGCGCGAGAGCGCTCATCGAGAAGGACATCCTGGCTGCACAGCGGCCCTCCGTTGAATACGAACTTGCACTAAAGCGGCATGGCGCAGAACGGATCAGGTTCTTCAGACGTATTTACGCTGAGTGCGATAATGCTGAACATGCCGAAGCCCGTCTGTTAGCATTTTGCTGGCTGTTGCTGACTTACAGCCCGAATCAACCCAAGGATGGCTTCAGTAGAGGGTTCAAGGACCTGCATACTCTCTTCAAATCCACAATCTTAGATTGCGAGGAGAACCGTCGGTATATTTTCTCCCAAGCCAAAGAAAAGCTTCAAAAGGCACCAAAAGAGCATCAAAGACACCCTAGAGTGCTCGCCTTCGTCGACTCAGACATTGACGCAGCAATAGATGTGGTGTTGTCCTTACACAAAGGCCCAGAGTACATCATCCGTTCGACGCCTGAAGATGCGAGGCCGGGATCGGTCTTCCGTCTGCTGGGTTCTGCAACAGGATTCTACAGAACAATCCAGGGGCTTTCGATAAACAAGGCAGTCTTTATTGCGGACTCCAAGGTTATAGGCTACGCTCAGGGGCGTGTCTGCGTGGGAGACAGTGTTGTGAAGTTCCGTCAGGCTTCGTCCCCTTCAGTTCTGCATCCTTGCGGAGCGCACTATGAGCTTCACTCTCCGGCGGTCGTAAAGACGGAAGGTGCTCTAAGCGACCTTCTGGACAGCGCTGTATCAACAACTTATGAGATACGGTAAATCCTTCGACGGACAGAAGACGAGCGGTAGTCGATCTAGTCATTACCATTTTGATGCGAAGGCGGATAGAAGTAAGAGGCACTGCGAGAAAGATAATGACGAAGACGATGGCGACGGCAAGGACGACGACGACAACGATAAAGACGAAGAAGATGACAAAAAGGAGGATGAGGATGGTAACGAAGATTAAAATAATAAAATCCATAACGAGAGCAGTGATACAGAAGACGAAACAGTAACAATTAGGATAATGAATGACTTCACCCGCTTGACTAGATCGCATCGGATGGCAGTAACAAACCAGGCATCACAAGCTGGGAAGAGATCTCCAGCGTTCGGTAGCGACAGGATTGATTATTCAGAATTCGGTCTCTATTATCCGGACTACAGGTCCTGCTTCGAGCCAAGCAGCCGTTCCCAATGGGTATCATATCATTACCATTACCGACCTCAGACAGAGGCGCCGTCGTCAAACGCCTTCTCCTTCTCACTTGGCTTAGTTTTGACACTGCCAGCGGTCCACTGGCGCATCTTCTTGCCCCAGAAGTACAGGACTGGGAGACCCAATGAAAGAACGATGATGGTTTCCGCGTAGAGGGCAAAAGTTTGGATGGGCCCCTTTTCCGCGATCCAGATCGTGGCCTTTGAGGCGAGGAAGAATGCGATGACGATGCGCAGAGATGAGACGTTGACTAGGACCGGCCTGTTGCTGCGTTAGCAAATATTCTTAGAAGTGCATCACAATCTCAACTTACCCTGCCCACTGTGGGTAGCTTTCTACAATGAAAACGCTGAGGATGGTCATGGTCATCAGGAACGAAAAGACGATCAAGAACGAGCCCACGAGAAGAACGCTCCAGTGGAAGTTCCTCTCGCCCGCCGTTCCGAAGATGAAGCATCCCGCCACACCAGTGACAAGCGGCAAGACAAGGTTGGCGAGGTGATGCTCCGGCTCACGACTACCACCATTCCACCTCGTCACCGCGTTGGACATTTTGTCAGCCACCGGGCCGCCAAAGACATACACTAGCGCGGAGGCAAGGAAGAAGGGTAGCACGGTCAGACCAGTCCACTGGAACTCCCAACCCTGGGCAAGCAGCGCGAAGGGCGTAATCTGCTGGGCGGCCTGGTTGTTGACGATCATGATGCTGTTGGCGAGGACAGCCCAGATGATGGCAGGGAAGTAGGTGGAGCGCAGGGCGTCGAACATGGACTTTGCAGCGCGCTTGAACTCGAAGCCGTTCTGAAAGACGCCGATGTTGGTCCAGGTCGTGCGCGGGGTAAAGGTCGTGAAGTCGAGCTCGGGGCGGTTTTGGCCAGGGGGAAGGGGGTAGATCTTTTGGCCGCCTGGACATAGTTAGCATGTAGTAAGCACCGGTAGAAAGAAACAACATACTGAGCTCCGCTTGAGATCTGGTCCACCTAGTCTCCGGTAGGAAGGCGATAAGAAGAGCCCACGCCAAGATGCCCAAGCCAGAGGTGATGTAGTACATCCACCTCCAGGTGTAGTTGGCAGACACCCAAGGGGCTGCAACTCCCAACCCAATGATGATGATACCCTGACTAGAGACAACGGCCGACATGGCCTTGTTTCTCTGGTGGATGAAGACCATATCCTGAACAATCAGGGGAATCAACGCCTCCACGGCGCCAGCTCCCAGGCCCATCAGCGCTCTCGCAAGTAGATGCTGGTGCAGGCTGGTGCTGAACGCGGCAAACAAACCACCGGCCCAGGCAGACGTCGCGGCGAACAGAAGAACGGGTCGGCGACCAATCCAGATGGATGTCGGCACGAGGAAGTAACTTGCGATACCGTTCGCCAGTAGGGGCATGGTGGCCAGGAGCGAGACCTCCTCGAGAGAGGCGGGCTTGACTCCGGCTGGGACGACAGACATGGGGTTTATGTTGAGGCCGCTGCCGCCGCTTGCCTTCTTGAAGTCGAAGGTGTTGATGACATGGGGATCGACGCCGGAGTACTCGAGGATGAAGATGGGGAGGAGACCACCGATGACAACCTCTGCCGAGAGGGCAAGGGCGCCGACTGGAGACAGTAAATAGGCTGTTCTGTATCTGGGCGTTCAAGACTTACAGAAGCACAGACAACCGATGGCTGTCCACTTGCGCCAAGCAGGAAGGTTCAGTGGATCTACAACGATTAGTTGTCATTGGCATTCAACGAAGAACGAAGGTCCTCACCCTTGGGATCGGGGGTTGGCATCTTAGTGGGAGTCAGCCACGATTCAACAGAGGACAACACGCAGCACTCACAGGAATCAACCTCAACTGCCCATTCTCATAGAGGTTTGTCGTACCGACGACCAGCGTCTCGTTCTTCTCCAACACACTATCCGCATCATCAAACTCCGACACACCGACGGTCGACGTCTGCTTCCGAGCGGCCTGCTCTTCCTGGAGCGGCCAGTTCGTGTTCGACGCCATATTGTCCGCTTGTACCGTCGATGGAGAGAAGTCGCGCAATCCCAGCCCTCAAAAAGAAGAAGAGAGAGGCCCTCCCTTCTGGGATCGCGGAAAGTCGGCGGGACGCTAACGCAGCCTTATACCATTCAACGCGCCGCCGCCGTCCCCTGCAGCAGATCCGGAAAAGCCTAAGAAGATTGGACACATACAGGGGAAGGGGAGAAAAGGGAAGAGGCGAGACGGAGACAGGCAGCCGTGCGTATCATTTGCCCAGGGCCAAAGGCGATGTATGTTGTCGAATCGGAGGCTTGCCCCCGAGTGGTCTAGGTACCTTGGAAACGTCCCATCAGGCGAACCGTCAATCTCAGGAACAGCCGCGAGGACGATGATTAGGGCTACATGCGACCATTCGGCGAAAGTACCACGATGTCTTCTCTCCTTGCTTGTTCGATGTCTGTTCCCGGTGGAGTTGCCCAGCCCTCCACATCCCGCCCGGCACCAGCTCGAAACCCATCCTCGATGATCCCCAGCACATAGCGGTTCTTCACCTGCGTGGGACGTCAGTCTCCTCCAGCGTGCCCCCGGCTCAGCCAGCGACCGTGACATGTTTCTGCTGGACAAACGTTCGTCGCCGCGAGACGAGACCAGGAACCGGGGTGTTTAAGCTTCGTCTGCTCGAGCGCAAAGTGGGCCGTTGTGCTGCATTCGGCAGTTGGACGCTACGCCCTGCAAGAGGGTTGGACGGGCCGGGGAGATAGGACGATTTCTTGGGTCTTCTTGCATCCCTACCCTCCTCTTTCCTTTTCCCACCTCATGATGGGGTTCTCGTTACAGGGTAGAACATTGTCGTTTTGCAGAGATTGTTGATGCGTTCTGTAGGGTTCGGGACGCTTTCGCGGCAGCGGGGGAGGCTAAGTCAAAGTGATGGAGAATCCTTTGCGAGGGAGACAAGTCTGGGGTGGGAATGCTGTTGGTTTGATCGCCGTTCGCGCGCGCAAGAGACCCATGCTTAGTCGTCATTCGATGTCTTGAAAATGCCCCTTTTTCCAGAGAAAACTATTCGAAATTCAATTACTACTGCGTACATACTTGGTACTTGGTATGCCCTACATATGGGGCCGAATGTAAGGTACGCAATGGATGTGTGTCCCTTGCATCGACCCGCTGCAGGATCTGGGTCAATCTATGTAGAGAGAGCCCCTAGCGCTGCGCCGAATTTAGAAAAGAACACAAACCTAATAGAGACCTCTTGTCCAACAGTCTATGAGCTACAATCACCGAGAGAGTTGGCATCTGCTTCCCCGGAAGACGAGATAAGTTTCTTCAGGTGTCAGAGCTTCGGGCGTTGGATTTTGTAAACAACCGCGCGCTAGATCACATCAGTGCGCAGGACATCCATCCTCCAGATACCAACTGCACCGCTGCGAGACTTCAGACCAAGTTTCTTTCTTGGTGAAATGCGGTTGAGACGAAAAGAACGTTGCACCCAGCCACGAGACCAACAACTGGTTGGGTCAGTTGGATGACACTGTCGAGGGGTCCCCAGAACACCTTGACTCGCCGCATGAACATGGCACCACACCCTGTTACAGAACCCCCCGGTCCGAGTGCCTCATCGTAAACACAAGCGTGTTCTCGACCGCAACTTTCTTCTTCTACGATGCCCACGCACGGACAGCGCTGCAACGACGTGGGCTAGCTGTTACGCATTCCATGTGCTGCATAGTCGAGTATGCAGAGAGGACAAAAGTATGAATGCTTTACGCAATATCAGCCATACTATTCCAACCCGCCAAGAGGCTATTAGGGTTACATGCGATGTGCTTGTTGGACAGTGGATGTGCCAATGGTCTTCGTCAGCCGGCGATCACTTTGAACTCATCTCTACATACCTCTGGCTGGCCTTTCGTCCCACATCTGCCGTCTGGTGTTTCTCCTGCTCTGCCATGACTTCATGCCGGTGATTATCACGTTTCGGCTTACCAGAAAGCCAGTCTTCTTCACATTTCTTGGGCAGTGAGTTTCCCTGCCAACACTTGCCAAGGCCATTGAACAGCCGACACCCTTCGTGATCGTCGCGAGCCGGCGCTCAATATGTCGTGTCTGATGTTTCCTTCGGATGATACCTGGCCGTCGACTCATCCGTTCTGTGCCCGGCGTCCACTTTCCGGCACTTTTCGGCGAACGTGGAGGTCTGGAGCTTTGAGAGATACATGTTGGGGCACGATATGATCGTCCATTGTGTCGTGAATGACTGGACCTAGTTTCGCCTTTATCCCTAATTATAAATAAGCAAAATAAGGAATATTGGCACTGTCGAGATACGACGGCAAAGCTTTATGGAAATGTAACGTCGAACCAACATCGAATTTGAGTTACTCTCTTATTAAGCGGCCTTTCTCACTCCAATAACTGTCAGGTCGTGCAGAAGAAAGCCACGGCAGATGAGAAGAATGTTGTCGACGCAGATCAGACGCCACTTGGCTGAGCCCATGCAGCCAATGAACCATCATGCCACACAACTAGTATCACTACGAAAGCCAATTCAAGAGCGAGTGTTGCAATTGATATTCCCAGGAGGTATTTCCACTGTCGAATCTAGAATACATTCGTCGTAAGCGTTTTGCCAACCCATTCAACCGTCTCAGTCCTCTATTAGTAAAACTCTTTGTGTGTTTGTGTGTATCACTCTGGTCCATCACCGGTGTCCATCGCCGGTGTCCATCGCCGGTGTCGTCGTCGGTGTCCGTCGCCGGAAAAAGCCCAAAAACGCCATGCTCAGCCGTGTCATTCCATGCGCACTGTATTTATTATCCATCGGCGACGTCAGGCCGACGCTGTTTGATTTTCTGTGTTGAAAGATGCGAAGCCATCTAGCACTCAGCTATCGCTACCCAGCACTCGGGCCAGGAGGACGTAGAAGAAAATGAGACCGCCGGCGACGAGGAGCTTATTTTGGTTGAGCCAGCCGCGGCCGGCGTCACGCTGCTGGACGACGGCATCGACGACAGCCTGGGCCTGGTGGCCGCTGCCAGCTCCAATGCCGAGCTGGGGCCCGCACGAGGCCCCTGCTGGGCCGCCGATCTTGTTCCCTGTCGCGAAGTCGATCTTATTCTCCTTCATCCAGTCCCAGTTCGCCTTGTCGACTTCGGGCCATTCGCCGCGGAATTTGGCGCCGCCGTCGCCGGCCTTGACATTGCCTTTTTGTGTGTTGGACTTGGTATGGGAGCCACCACCGGTAGAGTTCCACCATTTTGTACGCAACGCCAGCATCTTACGCTCAGCCTCAGTGCTCGAAACGGAACCCGTAGTCATCTCTTCGCTCGTCATGAAAGAAAGCAGGCCGATAAGGATGGTAGAGACTTCCCACGCGGGGTTGAAGGATTTGGGATGGAAGTCGGAGATGGAGAGGCAAAGTCGTGTGGATGGTTGGAATCGGCCGGATGGGGTGTGCATTCGGATCGCTGGGGGCGCGAAGGGGTAGTTTGGAGGGAACACGAGAGTTCCCCAGTACTGGCCGCCATGATACGGTGTGTTTTCGGGGCCGGTGATGATGTAGTGCCACCTAGTAACCGGTTAGCAGGAGTCTGTGAGGCCGGGATGAAAGAACATACTCAAGAATGTTGGAGTCGGAGGGATGGGCCTCGATGTATGGCGGAGGGTTCTCGGAGATGGTCTTGTACTCGCGCGTCAACTGCAGGGCGGCTGTCAGTGCTACTGCAACGTGGTGAAGGAGGGGAAGAGAAGACATACACGCTTCTGTGCGGCTCTGCTGGCTGCCATGACTGAAGATGTGCGAAGCGAAACCCTAGTGATCCGGTTGGGGGGCGAGCGAGAGGAGTATCGAGATGACGATGACGGACCACGACGTAATCAGGGACGGACACCTCAAAGGCCTGGCGGGCGGTCTCTGGCAAGGAAGACCAGCGGGCGAAAAAGAATGTGGGAAAATGAAATGCACAGACTGAAGAATAGAAGAGAAGTTGAGTAGCCGCGCAGCTGAGCCTGTGGGAGACGTCTGCTGGGCTTTGCGGTTGCGCTGGAGCTGGATGGAAATGGAAGCGGGTGGTTGAAGGACGGAGGATCGGAAACACTCAGCAGCGGACAGTGGACAGTGGACAAGTTGGGGAATGCGGCGAGGCTGTGACAGGCACAGGCGCATGGGGTACGTACCTTGCATACCTCACCTGTGTACTCCGTACTGTGTACGGTCTACCTGTGTAAGCAGCGGAATTTCAAGGTTTGGCGGAGCAGCGGCGCGGTGACTTCGGCCTCCAGCTGGCAACGCCTCACTCATTATGTCACCGCGCAGAGTGCACGCGAGTGCCTCAGCCACAGAATTTCCACCAACAGCCTGCGCATACAGGGTCCAAGCGTCTGCATATGTGGCTGAGAGACGTGGCTTGAGCTTCATGGTGTGGCGCGACCTCATGGACCCGCCACAAACCACACAAGCCAATCAGACTGCCCCCTGTCGCGTGTTCCCGGCCCGCGTATTCGTACCTTAGGTGCAGGTCCCTTCCCTCCAGGTCCTTTCAATTGGACCCGGCGCCCGTGCTCCGCCGTTGCATCTCGAATTTCAACCCGAAGCCTGCCGATTGTCCCTCCAGCCCACCTTACATCGTCACCACAGCCCGCTACGATGGCGTCCAACCCGACCGACAAGCTCAAGGCCGGGCCTGATGCTCTCCGCAAGGAGGCCGAGTCCTCTGCCGCCTTCGAGAACCTGCAGGAGGAGGCCAAGATTAGGAGATTCCAGGCTCTGGCAAGGACTGACCCGGCCCGTTATGCTGCCACTCGCCCGTGCTAATGCGCATCCCAGCTTGCAGAGCAGAACTCCCAGCCCATGACCATCAACCGTCTCCAGGTCCACGGCGCTTCCAACACCCGACGCGGCTTCCTCGACCCCATCTTCGAGCCCCTCCTGACCGCCGAGGCCAACAGCTCCTCAACCCTCGGCGAAGTCGCAGCCCGCCTGGGTGATGCCAAGGGCAAGCTCGAGAGACTGGGCATCTTCCACCCCGACCCCAAGGTTCACATCAACGGATCCGACCCCGCCGACCCCTCCTCCGCCCCTACCGACGTCGACGTCGACATTGTTGTTAAGGAGCTCTCCCGATACAAGATCAACGCCGGCACCGATGTAGGAAACAGCGAAGGCTCCGTCTACACCTCCGTGCTCTGGCGCAACATCTTTGGCGGCGCTGAGCAGCTCACCGTCAATGCGAGTGCTGGAAACAAGACGCGGTCCGCTTACAGCGCGAACCTGAGTGCTCCTGTCAACAGCAACCCCGACACCAGGATTTCTCTGGAGGCATTGGCGTCTACCACAGACAAGGCATGGGCTGCCCACCAAGAGGCTGTCAAGGGAGGCAACCTCCGCTTCTCCTGGCTGTCTGGCAAGAGTGTGCACTCGCTCGAATACTCTGGTGTCTGGCGTCAGGTTACCGGTCTTGGCGACAACGCGAGCCCCTCCGTCCGCGCCGACGCCGGCGACTCAGTCAAGAGCTCCATCAAGCACACATACTCGCGCGATGAGAGAGACAATGCGCAACTGCCTCAAAGCGGCTACCTGCTCAAGTCCGTCTTCGAGCTTGCCGGTGTTGGTCCCCTCGCCGGAGACGTTGCCTTCTCCAAGGGCGAGTGCGAGATCGGTGGCGCCGTGCCCATCCCTCTTCCCGGCATCAAGGGCCGTTCCGGTATCTCCATTGGAGGAGGCCTCCGCTTCGGCATGCTCTATCCTCTCCCTCTCGGCTTCGCCTCCGAAGGGAAGGCCCAGCCCAGCCGCATCAACGACAGGTTCCAGCTCGGCGGCCCTACCGACGTCCGCGGGTTCCACTTTGGTGGCCTTGGTCCCCACGACGGCTCGAACGCTGTCGGCGGAGATCTCTTTGCTGCCGGAAGCGTGAACATGCTCTTCCCCCTGCCCTACAAGGGCGCCGACTCCGCTCTTCGCTTCCAGGTCTTCGCCAACGGTGGCAGGCTCGTGGCGTTGAAAAACAAGACCAAGGGCGACGGCGAGAAGAAGGCCGCTGGTCTCAGCACCCGAAGCGTCGCGGGTAGCATGTACAATGCCCTCAACGACCTGACCACGGGCTTGCCGACGACCGCTGTCGGTGTCGGTCTGGTCTATGCCCATCCTGTTGCTCGATTCGAACTAAACTTCAGCTTGCCTATGGTGCTCCGTAAGGGCGAACAGGGCACCAAGGGCCTTCAGGTTGGCGTCGGTATCAACTTCTTGTAGATGCAAGACGACGAGGGCGGATGTGGGCATGGACGAGGCTATGGCTGGCGGGGCGAGAGGGGCTGGTGAAGGACGAATAGAGGAAGAAAAGTAAATACCATAGACACTCTCGAAAATCAATGCTTCAAAGTTCAAAGTTCCAGGCTGTTGTCTACTCCTCTATTTTATGTACATATAGAAGCTTCACCTCCATTGTTTCTTTCGCCTACTTACTCGGGATTGGCGGCACCAAGTTATGTACTTTACTCATGGCTCCTATATAGACCTGCCATCATACAGTCCACTACTGGGGAAGCTCATGCCGAACCGTTGGGTCCGGAGGAAGTTCCGTTGTCGGCTGCTGCCCATATACAGGCCGGTTCGCTTGCACAAAGCCTCCAGGATATTCGTGCTTAGCCCATGCCGGCGCAGGTGACGATTCAGAACCTCCGGCAGTCGTCATCCCATCTAACCCCGCGGCTCTCGACTTCTTCTTCTCCCGCAGAAGCAAGACCGTCAGCGCCACAACCGCAATAGCCAGCGGAAGTCCAACGCCAACCCCTATGCCTGCCGCCGCTCCAGTTGATATTCCGTTGCTGGCCTCCGAAGTTGTCGAGCACACCGCGATGGATGTGCCGCTGGGCCCGGCGCTCGTCGCCGCCGCGATTCCGAGATCGGATTCCAACGCCGTGTTGATCAACATCCTCCCTCTAGGACTCGGCATCGTAAAGTTTCCCTTGTCGCAATCGTTCCGTCCGCGACATGTCCAGATGGCGTCCTGGAAGCAGTAGTTGACACCGGTGTGTCCACTCAGTGCTGTATAAGTCAGCCTAGAGCCATGGTTCTGCAAGGGGAAAGCCTACCAGCATCGCGGCAAATCTTGGGGCACCCGGCCGCTCGAAAGTTCTTGTCTGTGCAGGAGTTCCGGTACATCGTCCACGCATTCGGCTCCAGACAGAGTCCGTTATCGAGGCAGTAGTGGTTGGACTTGCGACAGCACGCGACCGCGGCATTGTCTCCAATCTTGGGGCATTCAATGCCGCCCTGGTCAACCGAGCCATCTGGGAAGTAGCAAGTTTCGCCAGTGGCTGATGCCACCAACGTCAGAAGCGCGACAAGTCTAAGGGCGGGCCGGTGCATATTCACGATGAAGAGGGATGGGCCGCTGTGTGATGCTGACGTAGCGAAGTATTGGAGTTCGGTTTTTTAAATGTCATGTCGCAAAACCCGGCCACTGCGGTTAGGCTGACTTGCCGACTGTGTCTCACTCGTCGTATTTCATCGACTTGTGTGTTGCCCGATTAGGAAATAGGAAGTCGTCAAACTATCTTCAGCTCTTGTACGAGGTCCGAGCCTTGGCCCTGCAGATTTGTCTCACTGGCTCGTCACTTCCAGTGGCAGCAACCACTCACCTCTCAAAGCTACGTTTCCCATGTCTTGGTTGCTTACATTGAAATTGGTTCACCCCCCGCCAAGACCGCCGTTGCAACCGAGTGTCGTCTGACAGGTTGGCTTAAAGCCTGATATTTGGCGTAGCAGCGCAAAGAACCTCGCAGCAACCCTGACGCATATGCTGGGTTAGTCACTAAAACCGTCCTCCAAGTCTCACCTATCCTCTTCCCACCACTCAATTCCAACATTCAGCTACACCTGCTGTTGCGGCCCCAGTCCCTGGCTGGCACGATCACTGAGGCAGCTCGTGCCTCACAGTTGCATCCGTTGCTAGCTCCGTTGTTCTCTCTCCGTCTACCCTATGAAGTTGATAATGAGACCGATCTGGTGAAGCGAACAAGTTTGCAGGCTTCGAGGAAGCTTGGTTTGGCATAAGAATTGGCTGTGACAGCAAAGCTGCTTTTGACTTCTTTCTCTCGCGAACCAACAACGTCGCGAGCACAGCAACGCTGATTAACAGCGGTATCCCTATGCCAGCTCCAACGCCTACTACCGCCCTTGTGGAAATCCCGACGCTCTTAGAGACGCCGTTAGGATCAGCCGTGGCGGTAGCATTCATAATGATTTGTACTGGACTCTCCATTGAGATGCTAGTCTTGTTGCAGATCCCAGCATCTTCGCATGTCCAGATCTTTTCCACGGGACACCAATTGACGCCTCGATGAGCATCCTCAGCTATTCGGAAATGAATGTCAGAGACTAAGGCTTTCAGTCGAGGATGTGGGATTTCAATGACGCACATTGCTTCAGACACACTGTAGGGCACCCGTCGGCTCTAAATGTGCGGTCTGTACAAGAAGCCCGGTATATTGTAAATGCCCTCGGCTCGAGGCAAAGGCCGTTGTCAAGGCAGTAATGGTCGTCGTAGCAGCACCCTGCGGCCTTTCCCTCCTGGGGCTCGAAGCATCTCTTTCCCCTCGTATCTGTACTGGTATCAGGGAAAAAGCAGCCCTGGCAAAAGGTTGTTTTACTGTGAAGCACAAGTAAGAAAACGAAAATCAAACGTCGTTTCATTCCGAACGCAATTTGGCCAGCACGCTATGGAAGAAAATTCAAATGGACAGTCTGGTCGCCTGGGCCAGGGGTTAAATAGTTCACAGACCGCCGCATGTCTCGTCCCGGTACCTCAGCATGGCAGCTGACACTGTCTTGCCTGTTTATGCACTCATTAGCCGTCTATGCTTCAGTTTCATACTGTGCTAATATTGTTTCGAGGCTCTATGCCATCCCTAGTCAAACCATTGTACATACATTCAGCCGTCGTGGCCTGATGCTCAGTGTTGTAGCTGGCAACGTGGCTGAAAGCTGATTCTGAATCCCAGTCGGCCTGTGTCTGGATCACGCCACTTCTCGCATGCGACCTTTCTCATTCGAGATGACGCCAGGATTCAATCAAATCTGGGCAATCTGATGGGCTTTCTCAAGTGGTGGCAGGACATTCCTACAGCCTTAAACCTCAAGGATAATCACACTCCCTCATTGCTGAAAGGCTACCTTAGTAGGAAGTATCAGAGGAGAACGATAACGCTTTAACTCAATACTTGTGTCAAGAGGTAACAGTGAAAGGAAACTATTGTGCAAACGAAACAAGTCAAATTCAAAGGGCGTGCTGCGCGTTACGTCGAAAACGAAGCCTCACAGTTTCAGTGTAATTTAAGCAGATTGCTCCTGCGATATTGGAGGGAGACGAAAAACTTCTTTGTGCGGGAGGTCATGCCCTGGGGGTGTGATTGCACAAAAGTACTGGAAATCAGCACAGAAACCTCGACGTATGTGGCTGAGACTGAGCAGCGCCTTGGGGTTTGTACCGCAAACCACACGTGCTCCAGTAGAGTGGAGGTTTTTACCGACATGATGAACCCTATTAATCACCATTTGTACATGTAAAAGTGCATGGTACCATGATAATATGCATGCGCCCTAATTATGTACACTTGAATCATCTTATTGCCTGAAAATTGGTCTTCACCTGAGTGGCGGGCAGGCAATTCGCAATGGGTTCACTCTTGGTCGAAATTTACTCTGATAGCTTCTTCACCAAGTCGGCAACCGACTGGACCACGGGGTATTTGGGAAAAGCAGGCTTGTATACCTAAAACTTGTTAACATAGACTTTCATTTACATCTTAGTAAGAACAGCTTACCGCTTGGCATCGAGCATTGAAATCGGCCGTGGAACCATCCAGACGAGACAACTCATCCTCGGGGACGCCAAGCTTGACGAGGGTTCCCGACTCGGGTGCAACCTTGTCCCACCCAGGACCGGCAGCGGGTTCCTTGATCCATTCTACAAACCACCCGTGGATGGAGTCAGCCAATGCCTGTTGGGCCTCGGTGACGTTCGACAAAGCCTCAAAACACTCATTGCCGCCATGGAAGAAGGGAACCTCGGTGCCATGAGTGGGAGCAGTGCCAGGAACTCCGACGACATTGTCATAGACGCCGAAGAAGCGGTAGACCCAAGTGTCCTGTGCGGCACTGCGGAGGTCCTGGAGATAGTCTACGGCGCAGTTGAAGCGAGCGTCGCCGTACTGGGCACCGCTACGGAGAGACTCCGTCCCATAGACTGAAGCGTTGTATGCCTCGATCAGAACAGCATCCTCGATGTGAGCACTGTCGGCATCAAATGTGTTGATCCAGGAGCTGAAGTTCGTGTTTTCGGCGCCGTAAACGAGACTGAAGATGGTACCCTCGCCATTGGAGGTACCAGTAAGGAGCGGCACGTGGGTAGCATACTTGCCAGCGGCAAAACGAGCAGCATAGTCGGAATGGCGGGTGATGTTGTCAATGACAGGAGTGAACCAAGTGTTGAAGGTCGAGTTGAAGTTGGTGGTCTGGAAGGCGTAGACGTCGACATCGCGAAGGCAATCGATCTGGCCGTCGCCACCAGCAGGGCATCCGACCTCGGTAGCAACGGCGTCAAGGGCCTCGTTGACCGGTGCGTAGGCAGGACCGGACATGGCGTTGGCGCTCATCTGCACAGCTCCCTTGAGCCAAGAGTCCGGGTGGTTCCATAGGTAGTGATCGACCTGGACTGAGCCAGAGGAATGGCCACCGAAGACGATGTGGTCGGGGTTTCCTCCGAATGCTGGTCTGGCGTTAGACTCGTGTCACTTTGATCGGCATTGGCCACTCATGTGAGATCTTATATGCTTGCTTACCCCGGATATTCTCGTGGATCCAATCAAGGGCTTTCTCAACGTCCAGGATGCTAAAGTTTTGGGACTCTTCAGGGTTGGCATCCTTCAACTCCGCAGAGTGTGGAGAGGCGAAGATGCTCTCGCGGGTGTTGAAGTTGACGTAAACAACTCCATTGCGAGCGAAGTTGGTTCCCTGGATCTGAGGATTGCTGTTGGAGCCGGTCACCATGGCACCGCCGTACATGTAGACAAATACCTGCGCGCATTATCGTTCAGTCTTGGAAACTAATTACTAAATCTGTGGGTTCTCGATTCGACTTACGGGCAGGTCATTTCCGTTCGGAGGAGACCAGATGTTCAAGTTGAGACAATCCTCGCCCTGCTGGCTGAATGTAGTACCGGAGATGGCCTGAGGGCATGTTGGGCCGTATGACGTCGCATCGAAGGTCGCGTTTGAACGCAGAACATTCTGAGGCGCTCTCCATCTTTGAAAGTTTCGTTAGTCCAGCTGAAAGTCGAAAATCGCAATGATCGACATACCTATTCTCCCCACCTGTCGTCGCCGCAAAGGGGATGCCCAAAAACACCGCATTGCGAGAATCATCACGAAAGCCCTTGATCCTTCCCTGAGGAAGGACGACGCTTGTGGGCCTGGTGATGTTGGCACATGCAGCCACCGCCGCGTGAGGGAAGACAGAGGCCACCGCCAGGACCAAGCTTGCGCCGGTTGTCAAGACATTGACGAGTCCCATGATGCACTCACTTTGTTGACGACGATCGGTGAGGTGCGTGCGGAAGGTGGGAGGACAACTAGGTAGTCCAAGCTGTTGAGGGCGTCCATGCAGTTCATATGAATCACGAGCGATGCTCTTTTCCCTTTTGACGAGACCCCTACGAAGACAGATGTGGGCAGACAGATGGCGATGGTTTGGTGAAGTGGAGAGGGAACCACAGAACGCCAGGGGTTCAAACCCATGTCAACTCCGCCCATAGGGGGCTCTTTGTGCTGACATTCGCGCTATCGAGAACGAAAAGGTCGCCTTCTCCGGAAATCTCATTTAATGTTAGGCTGGGCAGGCTGGGATCAGGGTCGTTTTCTTGAGCTTCATCCGAAGAAAGCCCACGCATCTCACCGGTGAGACTCCACAGCCGGCTCTGTCGGCGTTAATCCCGCGCGCGGTTCGATGTTGAAGAATTCCAAGATCCTGATTCCCATGTGCAAAACACGTTGGTAGACCTTGTCAACTCCCACGTTGCAGAGCGCCGCTCCCCTGACACTCTCAACCAGCCAGCCCTAGCGGCTCCAGGCTGTCTCCACCGGCAGAGGGACTCGAGAAATCAATAATGCCGCGAAGCATGCAGAGCCCATGGCCCCATGTTGATTCCCTGTTGGATCCCCTGCCTCGGCGGCGGAACAAGCGGAACCGGCGAACTTCAGCCTACTATGTACGCTACTGTTGGCACTAATTCTTGAACATCACGAGAATCCTGATATGGTCACTCCACGTCTCTCGGCCTCATTGGATCCGATTGACTGGAACCAATGCTTCATGCGCTGGCGATTTCTGGGACCTGATTGCCCGTCAGCATTTGCCAGATGGGCCACGAGGCTTGCAACAGTTTCTCATCCCACAGGCTAGGTCGGAATTCCCGCTTCTCGCGCCAAGTCCGGAGGAGATGTGCAGATTTGACAGATACCTTTTTGCCCACGAGGGCAACACCTTGCCTAGCGCTGTGTGGTGCGCCACATCCCTACACGAGGTGACTGACAGGTGCAGGAAATGCACAAGCCATGGATCGTCGCACCATGGCCAAGCTGAATTGAAAACAAGCGGGATGCATAAGGAGGGCCTCTGAGCAGCCCCGAGGCCCAGCTACTTGGTCGTGGATCGAGCAATAAGACCTGAGGGGCATCCACCGCCCTTCCTCTTCTGTCTTGTTTGCACAAGTTGACGTGAGGACCGGTCATCTTGCTCGTCATGGCCGAAGGTCTTGGCCAAGTAGTAGGTGCAATTCACATATTGGGCATCATTTTTTGAAGCTCAAGTTGCGAGACCTTTCCCACTTTCTGATGCTGACAGTTCGAGTACTCAGATCTCCTGGTACATCTGTACTGTAGCGGCAACCCTTTTCCTGGTCCTCAGGCTGTGGGTCCGAATTCGGAGGTTCAAGGCCCTAGGCATCGACGATGGCCTCCTGATATTGTCGGCATGTTGTCTCATCGGGGACTTGATCATTCAGCAGCACATGTGGAATCTTGGTATGGCTGAGATTCCAAAGGCCACAAGAGAGGAGTTCATTCAGATTATGCAGGTAAGACTCTCGGTACCGGCTGGCGCAACCTGAGACTTGGAACTGACGAGGTATGACACAAAGATGATCGTTCCTGGATCAATCCTCTACGTGACCTCTCTCTGGGCCATCAAAGTTGCACTTGTAATCTTCTACAAAAGAATCGCAGCACCAGCATCGAGACTTCAGATCGTATACAACATTGCGATTGGCCTTCTCTTGGCGTCTTGGGCAACTATCTTCTTTCACATCATTTTCCAGTGTTACCCGCACGACAAGAGATGGTCAATGGATCCTAATTGTGAGTTAACAATGGGCAAAACCAGACCGAGGAACTTAAGATACTGACATCCTATAGACCAATGCGATCCGAAGGACGCTGAGATCAACTATTGGTTGACGATTCTAGGTGAGAGCCCCTCCAACTGATCGCCCTGATGAGCTTGGACTGTGCTAACCCCTCTGTAGTAAACATCGGTTCCGATGTCGCCAGTAAGCCAAGAACATTGTGTTGCTACTTTCTCCTTTCTGACAAAACCCAGCAATCAGCTTGCCAATTTCCATGGTTCTCAAGCTGCAGATGAAGTTGAAGCAGAAGCTTGGCGTCGCCGCCATCTTCGCACTCGGTTTCTTCGTCATCATCGCCAGCAGTAAGTTGCATTGTCTCGATGTCATGCCCTGGCAATTTGATTTCAATCTAATAATCGCAGTTATCCGAGCATTTTACTCAAAGAAAATGGAGACAATGTTGACTTGCACTGTGTCTATGATCGAGACAGCTGTTGCAATCATTGCCGCATCCCTTCCAGGTACGCCGGCCCTTGACCCATCATCTGATCATCAGTGCACTGACATATTACTATAAAGCACTGCGAACACTCTTCCTCGGGCACAACTCGACTCGCGGGACCACATCAAACTACCGCTACGGGAACTACGAACTCTCATCGGCCGCAATCGGCACCAGACGAACCCATCACAGCCGCCTCACAACCACCGTAGTTGGCGGAACACAGATTAGAGACAATGACTCGGACGAGGAACTGTTCAAGGAGGCCGGTCGGTTGAGTGCTTCTGGACGAGGAGCCTCTGTTACACCGACAGCGGATAATCCAGGCGTTATCTCTGTCAGCACAACATTCCAGGTGCATCATGGGGCCAATGAAGAGGGCGCAATGTCCAAGGAGAGACTCGAACAGTACCCTTAGGGAGACCGAGATCTTTCTCTGCATTGACACTCTCTCTATCTTCAGCCCAACTTCACGCTCTCACGTACCATTATGCTTTGCACGCGTCACTTCTGAATACCCCTCGTCTCTTCGAAAAAATACCCCATACGTACCTAGTACTTCACAACGTCACTAAATACACACCGCATGATACTGCATCTTGTTTACGCATGGAAAAGGATGACCGCAAAAACTGGATTTGCATGATAACAAGTAATGTCGTTAAATCCTTTCCTCGTAAGATTGATCATAGACCACCGGTGACCCTTCTCCGTTGTCCATACATGTATCCCCGGTGTCAGTTCGGTCCCTTCTGTCCTCATGACTCTTTCATTCCGCTTAAAATTGTCTCGTTATTTCTGTGGCAACTGCCATCCATCAACGTACTGATCGCCAAGCGATAGCTGCTTCAAAGGTTGGCAGATCATCGCCAGACACCTCCAAGTCCTTCCCATCATGCTCCCGTGCCTGCACGGAAATCTGAAGTGGTACGGATAGATTGATCTTCGTACCCGACGCAGCTGCATTGACACACAAGTGCAAAACGTATGTTCGAGCCACGAAGCAACTGTAAAAAGTCGGGAGGAACATCTTGTGGGTGGTTGGGAGTGCGATCGCCATCTCTAGACTTCCTTCCCACGAAGAGGACTGTGCGCCAGTATCAGCCTGCTGCCATTTGACTTCTACATCAGTCGTTGGCAGTTTGGTTGAAGTGATGTACTTCAACTCTTGCTTCACGCCAGTGGAGTCTCTTGCCTGGCCAAGTTCTGGGAGGGTCTTGATCGGGGCTCCGCTAAACCAGCTGATCACCTCGAGCCTTTTTTGACCAAGACTGATGCCTGGAGGTGTTGCAAATGCCGAGTTCGATTTGAAAGCAAGGTGCATGGTCGCCAACGTTGGAGAAAGTTGCTCCCCAGCGATGCTTAAGACTACTGGTGCCGGCTGCACCATAGTCGCTGTGACCTGGTCCCTTTGTGTTGACAACAGGCTCTTCCGAGTGTATTTAGACTTGCTTAGGCAGTATCGAGTATCTTTCCCAGTGATGCTTAAAGGCGGATCTTCCGGGAATGAGGGGAACACTTTGATGGGCTGGCTTATCTCAGTTGCGTGGCCTGCCTCGGAAGCACGCTTCTGCAACACACGAGCCACGATAGAGTATTCGACTCTAGCCATCACAGGTGACATGTCGTCTTTTTCCCAGTCACCCATGGTTGGTGGTAGTCGCATGTGGAGATCTTGAATGAGTCCAGACACCGAAAGGGTGTGGGCGTGACAAGCGTCACTGAATAGGGCGCGAGGGATTGTGAATTCAAACGGAATATGATACGTCTGCCCAGCACGAAAGTTTCTGCCTGATGGGTATGAATCCTCGTGAATAGGCATGTCCAGCCTCAGGAAATCATTGTCGATGATCTTGGGAGTAGGTAGCATATCGACCCGAGTATGGGAAGTGCCAAGGAGGGCTATTTGGACGCAATTGAATGGTGTATCCCTTTGGGTGCAAACTGATAGTGTTCCAGAGACCTTGGAGTTGCACGTGTAAATCTTGGACGTGTAGTGATTGTCGATGCTGATGCTCAGCGCCATCTTGGGCATGTGCATGATGCGACGTGAATCGTGGCCCAGGATAGAGACGGAAGGGATTGAACCAGGACGTATGCACTTGAAGATACAAGTGGAACTATCAGTCTTTGTTGTTGTTGATATCATTCTCAAAAACTGAAGTTGAAAAGACTTGGTTGAGAGTGTGATGAGAGCGAAAGAACTGCAGGTTCTGGCGAAGAGGGGCGACAACACATGTTTTATACCACGAAACCGCTCAACTTCATGCCAGCATTTGTCGTCGCAATCAGGTAATGACTCGAATGATTGGGCTAACGAAAGTTTTCAAATCTTTCGGTGCGCGGGCGGCGCTGGAACTTTTTCATTTCAACTCGGCTATACTCAACGTACACGGAAGTGGATGGAGCGCCGGACTCGACTTGAGACCTCCGGGACCCACTCTCTCGGGACGGCTTAACGTACACGGTCGGGCCCCGCTTCCGGTCATCCAAGGCGGCCAAGCGCGCCCTTTTCTCGATGCCCTGACCCCCGCACCAGTCGATATTAGGGGGAAAGTACGTAATTGAAATCCGAAATTGCGGCAAAGGAGAAATTCCGTCCGCTGTTGCACGTGCCCGGGAAGTTTACCTCAGTTGAGTTGCTTGGTGCGACCTCACGCAAACAGTAATTTTGCCGATGTGGCCAATCAGACGACATGGCTTCTTCCCAAAAGACAGCATCGGGTCACTTCTGGTTGGTTTCTAAGGACTAACTGAGTCGAAAAGCATGGTGGCTTTCCATCTAAACACCAAAATTGCCTTCGACGAAAGACCCATGAGGACCCAGAGCATACACTTGAGGCATGTCTGCCCTTGCAACCTCCTCGAAGGTCTGTCCATCAAGACCAATAAGAATGCTGTGAGTTCCTTCCCGGTCAATGACAATAGTAAGGACTATGCCGTCATCCTCGTCCGTTGCGCCAGGTCTTTGCACGAAGACTGGCTCACAAGGGCAGCTCTCTCCGTTTTCAGGCTGCCATCGTTTGAACGTTCCAGTTTGCCAGTCGGACTTTGCTAAACTCCCGAAAAACGCTGCCTGGACAACCTTTAGCCCGTTCCCGAGTCGGCCAATCGGCACAGCTGTCCCCGGGGAGGGGCCACCATTACCAGCAGTGCAATAGACGTAGCGATAATTGGGGTCCATGGAGGCAACCTTGGCAATCCGAGGAAGCTCGCATGCCATTCCTGGTATTGACGCGGCGACTGTTACACGGCCAATGCGAGACGGATCGGCGTTGTCCACGCCGGCCATCTCGTACCGGACGAGAGTGCCGTCCTGGAAAGGCCGTGCTGGGTCCACAATGTTGCTCAAACTATACTCGCTGTACGATGGATATGTTTCTTCGTAACTGCAAAGGTCGATGTGAATATTGACGGCGCCAGTTTGACGATCAACATAGTCGTATCCATTAACCGAATGGAAAAACATGAAGCCATCCTTTTGCGCATAAGTCGCGACGCTTTGGGACACAATGACGGTCAAAATCCAATTACGGTTGAGCTTCAACAGAGGGCACTTACTGCCTGCCGTCATTCTTATTCAAAACGAAGAATTGGGTCGGAGTGTTAGGCTCGAATTGGAGCATGTCTGACATCGGCTTCGTTGTATCGCTGACATCCATTTGAACCGGCTAAAATTTGGAGCTAAGCAAACATGTTTCGCAGAAAGTCATGGTTTGTAAATCACTTACATTCCTAATGAAAACCACATACTTGTCTGTCATCGCCAGAGAATGAATGTAACATGGCTTGCATGGGAGTGGCGTCTTCCAGAAGAGGGACGCAGGTTTTGACGCAATATTCAATGCAAAGACTGACATGATACCTTTCTCAGGATCGATCAAATAATTGAAAGTTAGACCCCGGGTGCGATCTTTGGGTGGATGAGAGCAAATGCCGTAGCCAGAAAGTTCTGGGTCGATTTGGGCATACGTGAGCATCCGCTTTGGCTCAAGGGTTCGGGCATCGCAGACTTGAAGGAGGTTGAAATCCGTCTGGACCAGGACCTGGATTGGTGCACTCTGTTAGCCATGTTTAGTTATGAGTAACCATGACCTTACCTCTTCGGTCGCTGGGTCCTTTGCCTCGGGCCCTTTGGAGTGTGGATTGTCGTCTGGTGGAAGGTGCATCCCACGGCGAGGAACAACGTTTACATTTATCTCATCAGGCTCCATATACCCGTTTGGAAGATAGAGAGATTGCTGCAGATTTTGTTAGCGTGTGAATGACTTGGAGAACACCATTCATCTGACTTGAGCTCCCAGCAGTGCCGAACACGGATCTTGCGTATACTTAAGAGGCGTGTTTGGATTTAGACCAAAGATGTTGGTGGAAAGATAGCCATCTCGTTTGGCCCTCCTCACAACCCCCTCAGATGTGTATCGGCTCGTATAGTGAACATTCCCATCCAGCATCCGAAACTTATGAAGCATACCGAGCCCGTCGAAGAAATGCTGGATGATAGCTCTGGGCTTTGAGCCATCTTCAGATAACGGGACAGTAAAACGTTCTGGCCCGATTCTGTATTCACCATCAGCAAAGTTCTTTGTCGTTCTTCATCTTCAACCTTCGCACAGACTAACCGAACAAATGTGCCCTTCAGCCATGACGGCCATGTGCCCGCAGTAGTGCACTGAGTCTCCGTAGTTGTTTCGGGGACATCGCGAAGGTATGGAGGTAGGTACTTGAGATCCTCTTCGGGAAGGAAGTACTGATTGTAACCTGGACTGGGTTTCTGACTGACAACCATGGTTTAGATCTCCTGTGACTTGAGATTACTGCAGCGTGGCCAAGATTTGCTCCTGGAAATCTGCGAGATATTGACAACGGTGGATCCACAGTGCAGCAGTCTTGCCCACCTAGGGCCGTTAATAAATGACACAGCCAACGGGATGCCCGGTCGAATGCATTACAACCCCGCGTCTCCGCAGTTCCCCATACTCCGAGCCCGATTACGATCTGCCGCGCGCTGCAGAGTGGGCACGGGCCGGCGCGTGTGCGGGGTGACATCCGGGGTTTGGAGCTTCTCCCCGAGCACTACTTCAGACTTTATCTCCCCGATAGCTACCTCGAGGCCAATAGTACGTGTCCTATTGGAAACTGTATGGTTGGTAGAATGATAGGTGATTGTAAATACCATGGTTCACGATGTCATTAAACAAGACATCACGCAGTTGTTGATAAGTCTTTGAGAGACTATGCAAAATTAGCGGTCGACTTGCTTGCTGTCTTGAATCGCAAACACCGCTCTCAATCTTCAGAAGCTGAGCAAGATGTCGTCTGATATTCCCATAACTAGCTCCTCGGTGATGGTAAGTTTCCTTTTTTGTAACTCATCGTGCAGGACTTCTGCTTGAGCCATGTAAACTGATTTACAATCGTATGCAGCATTGGCCATTGTCATGGAGAATCTGGATTCTCCTCAACGTCAGCTTTTACAACCTTTTGGGGAATGCATTTGCGGCTGGGGTGTCTCCTCTGTTCTCCCTGGTTATCAAAGAGCTTCATTGTACCTCTGAAGAAGCATCGCAACTGTCTACCTACGTGCTCCTGACCCTTGGTTTGTCGGTAAGTTCCCCGCAGCATAATCATACAGAGAAAACACAGAGACTAACGGAGCGAAATATTAGAATATACTCGCACTCCCGGCCGCCTCATTGATCGGCAAACGCTACACGATCCTTATATCCTTATTATTCTTCCTCGCTTTCTGCCTATGGGGTGCTGAGGCATCAACATTCAATTCTCTCAGAGCTTCAAGAATTTTAGGTGGCCTAGCTGGTGGCCTCGTCGAGGCTCTAGGCCCAAGCATCGTTGCGGAAACCTTCCCAGAAAGCCAACTAGCCAGTGCCATGGTTGTCTATGTTGGACTCCTGGCCGCTGGTTCGAGCTTGGGGCCCATTGTCGCTGGAGTTGTTGCCGAGGGAGTGAATGACTGGAGATGGTACTTCCGCATCCTCTCGGCCCTCATTTTCGTCACATTTCTGGGATCGCTCCTCATGCTTCCGGAAACACGGATCGACGATCAAACACCTATCGAGGTCTCAACCGACAATGAGGACAATCTCAAGCGCTTAGGTTCCAACTTGAAGTGTACGGAAGTCGAAGAAGCTCGTCAAAGAACCGGGAATGAGCTCCTGTCACCCAAAAGACAATGGTGGCTCAGATCCTTTACTGGTGCCTATGTCGACATGAACTGGAAACTCGCAATGACCAGTTTCATTCAGCCAGTGCAGCTTCTTGTTGCTCCGCAGGTTCTGATCACTACCCTGGTTTTCGGGTTCACGATCGGCTGGACTGTTCTCGTTTCCATCCTCGTGGCTGTTGTCTACGCACAGCCACCCATGCTTTGGACAGCTCGTCCCGTTGGCCTTCTCAGTGTTGGAACTCTGCTTGGTCTACTGATAGGACTTCCAATCGGCGGTGCTCTAGCGGACTTCTTATATGGGAAGGCAGCCAGACAGAACAAGCACGTGGCGAACCCAGCCTCTAGGCTGCCGGCTGTTGTCATCGGTGGACTCATCAGCCCTGCTGGGTGCATAGTGATCGGATACGGCTTGAACTCTCCAGAGAATTGGGTTTCAGTGAGTGTCGGCTGGGGAATGTTGGCTACGGGTTTGACATGCTCGGCCAATGTTTTGCTGACGTATGCCGTTGACACCATGCCTTCTCGGGCCAGTCACATTGGAGTTCTGGTGAACTTGATCAAGAACTGTGTCGGTTTCGGTGTGTCTTATGCCGCCATCACTTGGATGGAGCAAATGGGCCCTGTGAAGCAATTTGGCATTATGGCAGGTGTTCTGTGGGCGCTTTATCTGCTGGTCATCCCCGTCTACTTTTTCAGCGAAGTCATCATTCGTAAGACTGCTAGTCTTGCTTGATCTATTCCCTTGGAACATTGAGGTCGAGAGAGTAGCGAGCAGCTTGAGTGTGTTGATAACGGCGTTGTGGACATTGAGACTAAATCCGGTTTGCATGGACTTTTGGTAGTTTGCTTTTCATAATGAAAAAGAAACATGAATCAAAAAAAAAGTTGAAAATGTACAGAAAAAGGTGGAAGGGGATGGTTCGACATTCAAACCCTTCGTTATTTAACGCCTTATGAATCGTGCGTATGGGGCGAAGTTGTTTAGAAACCGAAACCTTCTTTCACCTCTACTGGCAGTTTTGTTGTAATGGCCAAATCTTTGTCATTCCAATCAGCTCTAATTACACATAATTCTGCTGTCGGTCCAATCTCTAATACAGACAGCCATTATGGTCGGTCGCTCAAACAGATACCAAGCTCTCTACATCCATGTCGGCGGAACGATAGAAACCTAAGCTCTTGAGCATGGGCGAATCATCAAACCGATACAAGTAAACCGGCTCTTGAAGTCCCGCGTCGGCGAAATGCTGGTAGGGATACCATGAAGGAATACAAAAAGTGTCCCCCTTCTTCCATTGGAAAACTTGATCGCCGATGCGGCTGTGTCCAGAGCCCTCAACAACATGGTAGACCGAAGACGCAGTCTCTTGAACCAGCGGTGATTTCGCACCGGGTGCAATGCGGGCGGCTTTCCCCCCTAGGATCTTGCTCACTAACACGGCGTAAGTAAACAAGTCGGGTTCAAAGACTTGAGGCTAGAGGAAAATTCAACGCACCTTCAGACCCGTTGGCATGCAAGTATCTACTTGTAGCAAAGTCGCCGCCCTCAGAGTCGAGCACAGCTTTCATTCGGCTCCATGGGAAGACAATGGGCGATTGGGAGGTATCGACATTCTCGGCGGGATAACGAGGGGCCGAGAAATGCTCAACAAAATGAACTGGAAAATGGGTGAAGTTGGGCAAGTCAAGACCATCGAGCCAAATCATTGGCCCCGATCCATCCTTTCCATGATCGTGCCAGTTCCAAGTGGGGGTCAAAATGACGTCTCCACGATTCATCTGAATACGCTTACCATGAACAGCAGTAAAGCCACCCTGGCCCTCAATAATGAATCGCATTGCAAAGGCGGTATGACGATGGGCTTTTGCTGTCTCATTGGGCATGACTAGCTGCAGCCCAGCGTAGATTGTATCAGTCGTGAAGGGTGCATCTCGTGTGCGAGTCAGCTGTGCCCGACAGAGCGAATCTCGGCTCTCTTACCTCGAGATGGGTTCACAAGCATCAGAACCCTGCGCTCGGCTTGGTGCTCATTCACAAGTTGCCCGGCTTGCAAAAGAGTTGGGCGAATTTCTGAGTATTTCCAAAGGAAAGGCGTGCAACTTGGGTTTGGCAGAGGTGGATTCAATCTTGACATCTGAAGCCACAGCGGCTTTGTGTGGCTGGCTTCAGCTGCCTGTAGCATCTTGGCCGTCTCATCCTCGACTGGCTTGGGCTGCGTGTAAGTCTCGGTTGCTGTTGTAGAAGACATAATTGCGATCTGATTGCGCGTGCGTGGTCTATTGGCAAATGAGGCGATTGCGCACTGGGTCTTTAATCCTCGACGAAGATTATCACGGAGTCACAACGAGCCGTAATATGAACGTGAATGCAAAATGCCTTCCTCTTTGCTATTACTGCAGTCGCCAGATGCGCATTGTTCCAAGCTTTCCGAGGTTGGTAACAAGTGAAACTCCAGGGTGTCCGGGGAAATTAGTCTATCTCCGGGCGAAGATGGCTGGCAGCTCTCAGCACTGACGCCAAAAGCTCCGCTAAATGTCTCGAGCCACCTCACAAACTGTGGCTTAGGTGGACATAAGCTTTGGCGATCCCTAACTCCCCGTCCACAACATCTCCCCCTTCCGGGGATATCGACATCTTTCTCTCTAAATCCCCGCGTCTATCGTGTCCGTAGCTCTACGGCGAAGAAGATTCTGCAGGCAGAAAGGCAGCAGATACTGCCGATGGAGAACCTCACCCCTCCAGTCGCCAACGTCCGGAAGCGGAAGCGGATTCCGATCGCCTGCAGTGCTTGTCGGGCCCGCAAGTCACGGGTAAGTCACCTGCCCTAATCGATCAACGGAGATGATTCTCGGCGCAGTCCGATAATGGTCTCTCTAGGGGTCCCTAGCAGCTAACATGGTATCTGTGTCTGAAAGTGCGACGGTGCGAGACCGTCGTGTTCGGCATGTGTTGAGCAAGCCATCGATTGTGTCTATGCTGTGAATTCTGGGCCAAGCAATGCTCTGGTGCCCAAACAGTATGTCTCACTAAGGGATCCCGTATGAAGAAAGGATTGACCAATCTGCAATCTAGATATCTCGAGCAAGTCGAAAACCGGCTAGCAGATGTCGAAGAGGAAATTAACCGGCTGAAACGACTCGTCCCTAACGCGATCCCTAATGGAAAACAACATGTGATTCAATCGCGTAGCACCTCGTCGCGTCGCGACCATCCATCTGAAAGCCCTTATGGGGAAGACTCCCTTCACGTCGAAGACGGAAGTTTGCCCGGTATATCACCAGATGCCACAGATGGGGTGGGCACTATTGAGTTTGGCAACGAGGAGACGTGGGCCTATTTTGGTATGATGCTGTCATTAGTAACACGCTGTTTTCAAGACCTCGTCAGTTCACCATTCACTGACCTTAATGTATCATAGGCCCCTCATCCAACATTGCTTTCACTCGAATCATCCGTCGGACTTTGAGCCACTTGCTTCACAATGCGCAGAAAAGTCAACAACCCGGGGTTGTTTCGCCTGATCGAGATGCACAGCAACACATTCTTGCTGTTTCCAGATCAGAATCTCCCATAGACGATTCTTACGACTATAGGAAACTAGAGACACCCGCAGAAGCGAGTCGTCTTCCACCCGAGCCAGAGCTCACACGTCTCATCCGCCAATTCTTCTCCGACACTGGACTTCTGTTTCCTTATGTCCACGAAGACAGCTTTTGGAAAAACTACACACAATTTCGAGCGACAGGATTGAAGAGCGCTAGACATTCATGGCTTTCACTATTAAACATGATTCTTGCTATGGCGACAAGCACAGCTAATGCAGATGGCCTCGGGCTGAACGATAGACAAGCCATCTCAGAGGTCTACTACAGGCGTGCTAAGGTGCTCTCGATGAGTCAGATGGGCGCCACAGCCAATGTCGAAGCAGGTATGATGCCACTTTTGCCCTAGTTGGCCAAAGCATGTACCATCACTGACTGCTTGCTCAGTTCAAGTTATGCTTTTGATGTCCCAGTATCTGCAGGGTAGCCAACGGTCTATCCAAACATGGGCCATTCATGGGATTGCAGTCAAGGCCGCAATGGAATTGGGGCTCCACTCCCAGCTTGCTCTTCAGAGATTCGACCCATTGGAAAGAGAAATAAGAATCCGTACATGGTATGGGTGTGTTGCGCTCGATAGGTTTGTTTTCTCGATTCAACGCTGCTGCTATCGACTCTCTCTCATACTGGAATAGGACATTGAGCTTAACGTTCGGAAGGCCACCGATCGTTCCACAAATCTACATTCGCACACCTCAGCCAAGTCACTTTATCCCATATCCAGACAATTCCAAGATTCTTCGATGGTCTCAAAATGAAAACAGCACTCTCTTTTGGAACGGATCTTTGTACGCCATTGCCGCTGACTATACCTCTTCCAAACGTTCATTCGGTAACTGACCAGTTCCACAGAACTTTGTATGGTGTTACGGCCTCGGTTATTGATGAACTTTACGAGAGCAACCTTGGCTCTAGCGTGACACCAATCCCGCCGGCGAATATCGTGTCGACCGTGATCCACACTGGACAGAAGCTAGCTGCCTGGCAAGCATCACTTCCAACGTCCATGCGGCTTGTTGAACCTTCAGAGATATGTGACTCAGCGGAAAGTCCAATATCACTCAAGTTCCGAGTTATCCTGACTCTTCGGTACCACAACCTGCACATCTTGTCTCATAGGCCCATCCTAGATCGCTGCCTGCAGGCTCTTGACGGAACTCCGCAGACAGATCAAGAGACGGCAACCCTTCAACAAGGATGGTACCTTAGCAAAGACGCATGTCTTCAGTCTGCGGAAAGCATCGTCCGCCTTGTTGAAGCTTGCAAGTCTTCAAGTGACAAGCAGCCAACCATCTCCTATCTTGGGGCTTGGTGGTTCAGTCTTTACTTCAGTACGTACTTCTTCCTCGGCCAAGAATACACCTAATTATCTCTTGTAGCCTTCAACGCGGCGTTGACGATTGTTGCCATTAAAATGATCGAGGAAAGATCTTCGCCATCACCGTTTGATCGAAGCTACTCCAACGCCACTGAGCGCCTCGACGAGGTGCTGAAGGATGCGGTTAATTGCATAGCACGACTGGACAAGCAGAACCAAATGGTTGAAAAGTGTGCCAAGTTCACCGCAACCTTGATCTTCCTTGTGCAAAGCCTCTCAACAGGTAGGATCTATCAAACGTATCGGGGCAATTCAGATCCAGCTAACAACCAAGTTGTTCCGGCGAGAGACAATGGCATAGTCCCGGATGCGCCAATCCAGGTGATCCCTCCCACTGGGGAAGTGCTTCCGGTCAATGTTCCAACAAACAATGGCATGGACGAAGCCTTTGCGGATTTAATGAATTTCCTCCCACCAAATTTCAATGACTTCTCTGCGTCTAGTGGGCCGTTTGCAATGTCTGAGCTGATGGATGACTTTGCGACTGGGGATCTTTTCTGGTAGTTTAGTTGCGAATGCCACAGAACCTCCCGATCCTTCGGCCGAATTTCAGAGACTGATGATTGGTTTCTTCCCTAATCCCTTGCGTGTATTCGATGTATCAAGATTGGGAAAACATGAAAACTTGGAGTTGATCAGCAAAAAGTGACTACATCGACTTTCTCTACGCCATAAGTTAGAATTACCAACATCACCTCTGCATGGTGACCACCGCAAATCATTCTGATTATAAATACATCGAACATTCTTCAATAAGCATACGTAACCATGCAGCAACCTTCTAAGATAGTAATTACACAACGCCTGTTCTAATTTAATGCCCCTAATCACTCGAGCACTCAGACGTTCGAGTCATCTCCCGTCGCCACTGCTCTTCCATGATGACCTCAGCATCGTAACCGTATGCCCATGACTGCGTCAGCGGATCAGACCACTGATTTGGACTGCTAGCAAATCTTCTTCCTTCAACTTCAGGCTGCATCGCCGCATCTCGAGCTCGTTGTTCAGGTCCATCCTTGAAGTGCCACAAGAAGGCATTCACCATGCTTGCCTCCTGCATCATGGAAGTCCGTCGTTTTCTTTCCTGCTGGAATACCTGCAAAGCAAGTCCAAGTTGATCCTGGCTTGTGATGTTGCTGAGTGCTACAGCCAAGGCAGCACCATCTTCGACTGCCATCGCGGCACCCTGTGACATGTATGGAAGCATTGCGTGGGCAGCATCGCCGAGAATGACCAGCCGAGAGGACTCCGCAACCCAGTTATGGAGGGGGTCGCCTGCCATCAGAGGCCACTTAATTGTTTGGTCAATGAGCTCAATGATTTTGGTAAGTCTGTCAGATAATTGTCAGTTCTGTTGGTCGTAGTTAAAAGAGAGGACCACCACTTACTGATTGTCCCAGCCTTGAAACTCGACCCGCATCTCCTTGAGCACATCGGCCTGGCCTTTTTGTTGCCATGTCGAAGGGTCTTGACAGTCTCTATGAGAAAGCACCATGTTGAATGACTCTCCAGCAGAGATTGTGTAGGTCATGACGTGGCGATCCTCTCCGATCCTATGTCTTATTGTCAGCGACATGGAGTCGACGCAGTTTGTCTATCAAACTGTTGACATACCACACGTGAAGACCCGGCTTTTCCAAAAGCCAGGAGATCTCGGGGATCTTCCGCATTTTACTGACATCAACTGTAGCCCTGTAGACAGCAAAGCCAGTGTACTTAGGTCCATGTCCCTCACCATACGGTACAAGATCCCTAGCGACAGACTTGACTCCTATTTAAGCGTTGTGTTGTCAGCATAAGTGTTAAATGGCGTCGATAATTGAATATCCAAGACTTACCGTCAGCTGCAATTATGATGTCTGCAGAGACGACTTCACCGTTGCACAACGTAGCAGTTGGGGCCAGAGAATTGTAGTTGGCAACCCTGCTGTCGAGACGTACGATGACTCCAAGGTCCAGCGCCCGCTGGTACAATGCAGAGTGAAGATGGGCTCGGTGCGCTACGTAATACGGAGCGCCACAGAGCTCTACAAAGGTTTGGGACAGGTCGGTAAACCCAATGCGCTCGCCGTTCTCCCATCGCCGAAAAGAGATTCCGTCTGGTCGAACCGCCTGCTCGGCCATGACATCCATGACTCCCCATCGCTGAAGAAGTTTACTCGAGTTGGGCGGAATTTGGATGCCAGCACCGACCTATTCCTAATTAACAGATGTTCTGTCTTTGAGGGCTTCGCTTGTATTTCATTCTTACCTCTGAGAGAAGCGTAGCCTGCTCTAAAACAGTCACTTTGTGTCCCTTTCTAGCAAGAGCAACTGCGGCTGCCAGGCCACCAAGCCCAGCACCCACGATAAGAGCATCTAGAGGAAAGATAGCCTGAGCCACATCGCCGACAACGCCAGCTTCAGTTTCCAGTGTTCGCAGAAACTTGAGGCAGTTGGATGGGTACGATGGGGCGGTTGGTATGTGGCAGTTGCTCGAGCCTTTGACAGGGGCACGAGTCGCGTTGCCGTTTGCATGGTTTTTCAACGAAAGCGACTCAGGTGCTGAGTCCAACGACTTCAACGACGTCGTCTTCGGAGGCACTGTCTGTAGCTCTGTTGCAGAAGGCATTTTGCAATGAATAGTAGTCGGCGTTGAATGTCCGTTGACAACAGGATTGCTTCCAATTAGAATGATGATGATGCCTTGCTGTCAACTTCTACCGTCTACACCGTCTCAGTTCAGCTAGTTTCATATGAGGAGGTTATCGCCTCAGTTGAACTGCCGATGTGGATCTGGTGTCATGTGGTTCAGTTTCTCCCAATATGCTGGTCGACTTCGAAGGAAGTCATTATCTCCCCGACAGACCTTTTACGGGGAACCGTATGATTTTCCCCGCATCATGCTCTCGGAGATTCAACGACCACCTAATCTCCTTTTCTTGGTAGACCTGGAAAGCCGTACTGCTGGGTTCGGTTGGTGGCAATCGACGGGTCGGGGACTTAGCTCTAACCCCGCCCGGCATTGCCAGACTCAATACCGACAGCGGTGTCACAGCCCCCGATAACGGCAGTTTGTGACGGTTAACCACGTCTCAAAAGCCAGCCAGGATTCTTTTTCGCTACTGATATCAGTACTAATTCGCACGATAGTTCAAGCATTACGAACAAAAGCGCCAACCTCTATTGCCGACATGCACGTGCCCTGGAAAAGACTTATTCGTTTCGTCGCCGACGACGGAAGAATACTTCGAGGAGAACCAATCTTACCTAATGATGACTTTGATCTCGGAAATACCACTGAAGACACCAAGCTGCAGGCAAAGGTCATTCAAGGCTCCGACATATACGACACCTCAGGTCAGCTTAAAGTCACCGACGAGATCGTGACAGTGAAGAAATTGCTCGGGCCCTTGACCCCGGAAGATGTCCCAATCCTCAGATGTGTTGGTTTGAACTACGCCACTCATAGTAAGCCATCCTCGTTTCAAGAGAGACAGTCTTGACTTACTCCATTACAGTCAAAGAAGCTGGCCGTAAGCCGCCACCTTTTCCCTCGATTTTCTTCAAACCAAACACCACGGTCTTTGATCATGGAGACGATGTCATTGTTCCCAGGATTTGCCAAAATGACCAGGCAGACTATGAGGGTGAGCTTTGCATAGTCATAGGCAAAGATGCGAAGGATGTGGCAGTGTCAGAAGCCTTCGATTTCATTGCCGCTTACACTTGCGGCAACGACGTGTCATCTCGGAAACTGCAGCGCGATCCTGCGTTCGCTGGCAACGTGCCTCAATGGGGATTCTCTAAAGGCTTCGACACTTACGCCCCCCTTGGGCCCTGTCTGGTCAGGCCCGATTTAGTCGGTGACCCCAAAGCTCTGCTCCTACGCACGACTGTCGACGGGGAAGAAAGGCAAAAGGAGATGATCTCTGATCTGTTATTTGACTGCGCCTATCTTATTTCATACCTTTCCTCGGGCACCACACTGCAGAAAGGTTCGGTCATAATGACCGGAACACCTGGAGGTGAGTTTAGAAAATCATCGCTTGGGCCCCCCTTAGATGCTGATGTGAGGAATCCGAAAAGGGGTTGGAGGAAGCTTGAGCCCCCCTAAGTGGCTCCTACCTGGATCCAAAATGGAAGTCAGCATTACGAACATCGGAACGTTGAGGAACGGCGTCAAGTTTGCATAGACATGACCAAGCTTCGCCATTTTGGTCCGCATTCGCGATCATGGCTCGACAACCGGGGATTAATAATAGTTTTCAATCTGCATTTGATCCTGAGTGTCATGGTCATCATAACCACTCACTATTACATATACACATTACTGTCATCTGTCCGAACTTCGAAGAACCCACTCCTCGCCGCGTCTCTCGAGACCTCCCACAATACCGTGAGCTCTGAGGTGAGGTATCTGAAGCTCACTGTCCCTGTTGCGCATATCCATCTCCTGTTGTTCCCTCAAGAGTGCGGTCTTCTCATCGGAGTTCATAGCAAGGAATGCTGGGAGTGGAGACCCTTTGACAATCTCAATGTCCAATCCAGTAGTCTGAATGATGATAGTCAGAAGCGTAATGATTGAAAGTCCAACCTGAGCCGCCAGCAGTGTCAACCACGGCCATCGGATGGACACGAAAACTTCGTCTTGCCAAGCACTCCCGCTCTCATTCGTAGTAAGCAGCCTGTGTTTTTGTGAGCCTTTGACCATAGATATGCTATTGCCGAGAGTTCTTACGCGTTTGTAAGTCCGCTTGCGATGTTTTGAGTCAGATTCATCAGTGTTATAAAATATGCATCGTCCAACTTCTGCGATTCGTTCAATGGGTTAATGCCGATAGCTGCTCTTGAGAGAGCTGTTCCGTAGATCTCCGAGCCGTTATTGAAGGTGTAAGCCCCCAGATCGATGTAATACCCGACTAGTGTGTTTGCTAAAGCCCCCGCTATGTTGTCCGGGCCCATACCACTAGCAACGTACTGCTTCCCGGGACTGTCCGGCGACGTCAGATAGGTGCCGTTGATTGTCATGTTGTAGTTCTGTACGAAGACATCTCCCAGGTTGGGTTTCGTGTACGAGGCCACTTGCTGAGTGATAGGCACATTGTTCTGAACTGTTACGTCGTATGTATTGACACACCAGTGCATCATTATCTCATATGCTCGAAGTTGTGTGGGGGCAGGACCGTAGAGAACAAAGAAGTTGAAGAGCTCTGCCTTGATGATGTCCGTATCGTTGTAAGAAAGACTCGTGCCTGTGGAGATGTTCATATTGTGATACCCATAAGCACTTCGTTGCATCGATACGCCGTTGGGCAATGTTGCATTTGTGCCGGCCTTAATGGGATCTCCGTCTGTTGTTAGAAGATTTGTTACATCTGCCTCGTACGTTAGTCCCGATTCACGCATGCATGTAAGTAGGCATTGTGCTGAGAATAGTACGCACTCTTCATGTCCACGCAAACAGCAAGAGTACTGAAACTTGGCCATGTGCAGTTGTTGGTTCGGCAGCTAGGTTGATGATACGGCATCACTTCATCTGGAGGAGTGTTCAGGGCTCGAGGGATAGCCTGATTGATGGGAAACATGATGTCTCCTGTGATTTGTTAGTTCGCCAAGGGCTGACAGGGGGGATAGAACACAACTCACGAACTGCATTGCCGTTTGCTGTTGCCCAAAAGTATCCATCATTTCTCATTGTCAACGCACTGTCATTTGCTGGCAAAACAGTATGTCGGGTTGGATATGTGACAACGGACTGAGTCAAAGTCGACGTAGCAATTCCAGATACGAGGATAATAGCGGACATGATACCTATGATTCTGTTATATGGTCAGTATTATTCGGAAGCAACAAGGTAAGGTAAGATACTGACCTTCCCTTCGTTGTGACCAGCAACTTCAAGCTCCCCCAAGGTCCTCTGCTAGCTTCGTCGAAGACGCGAAAATCTGCCAATGGTCTCGGCGACTTCTTGTACCAATTCCACTTGTATTGCGACAAGCTTTCCATAACCGGTAGGATGAAAGCAGTCCGACAGATGGTCGACACAAAGGCGATGACAGTATTGAGCGTCAGGCCTGATGGCCAACTTGGCAACGGCCTGCCATCGTAGGAGTTCAACAAAGTGACCAATACAATGACGCAAATGAGGCTGATGATAGACCACGCGATCTCCTGCCACCACCCTCGTAAGACGTAGAATCTTGGGCGTTTTCTCCATGTTGACCTCTCCTTATTCTTTTCGGCGCTGCTGGTTTTGACAAGTTCGTATTCGCTTTCACGGGTTCCCAATGTGGTGCTAGATTTTGGCACCTTGCTCTCCCTATCTTGGCGGTGGTCTCCCGAAGATTGTGCCCCTGTGTTGTTTTCTGGGCTCCAGTCGTAGACTTGAGTATCGGCCGAAGCGAGTAAAAGGGCTTCATCATACCCCAGTGGTGGCACGTAGGACGGAGTGGGCTTGCGCCTGATGTGGTCTCCCTGGTTCATCGCGAAAAAAAGCTTCCTGCTGTGCCGCCGGGAGCTGGCGCCTGGGGTGGTGTATTGCTGCAAGTCTATCGACAGAAGAGATCGATCCCGTACAGCCCATTCAGCCCCTGCCAGAAAGGCCCAATACCGGGGGCAACTCTGCTTTAAAGTCAGCCAATCCCCGTAAGACCACGGATGTCATCGCCACAGTGGAAGCTTGGAGGTCGCAGCGCAGGATAAGCACTACTCCAAGTTCGGGTAAGCTACCCAAGCACCGTTTGATCCTTCGCACAGCCTAACATTCTTTTCGCGGCTGCCTAGGTCTTACCCGACACTAGCAGAAAGCTGGCCTATTTCTAGCGCATGATCAGGGGCAGGGCTCGCTGCAGCCGCTCGTCTCAGAGGAGCCGTATTAATTGCTTATTTCTGAAAGCCGTCACGGAATGTCAAATTCCTTTCAGGATCAGCGCCAACGTGTCTGATCATCAGTAGCGGACTAGAGCTGCCTAGCTCAATTGACCGTGATCTTTTTGAGGCCAAGCCTCGGACGCGAAGATATCATTACCAGAGCTTTCGTTTGACACAAAGTGCATGTAATTTTGCGTCAATTCAATTCGGCGCGTGATGGTTGGTTTTATCCCCAGGACCCCCTGCTCAAAGCGCTCAGCCTTCAAAGCTATGTTTGGCCATCCGTAGGTCGCAAGCTCACAGCTCGGCAATACTTGCGTCCATCTATGCTCACGACGCTTTCCAAACGTCCGATACGTTCCCGCGAGCGTCTAGGAGCGTCGACAGTTCATCTAGACTTGCTTTTGTTCGTTGCGTTGGTTCGCCATCACCTTCAAAGCCATGCGCATTAATCATTGATAGGAGACGGGGGGCCTGGTTCCAAATGCATGTTTGATGTTATTAGCCAAGTAATAGATGAGTTCAAATCTCTTTCAAAGCTCCTGAAAATATCTTATGTTGCAAGCTCGAGGTCTTGCTTGCCGTGAAGGATTTCCACGAGTGGGGACAATCAGGCCGAGATCACTGAAACCCATTAAATGTTTGTAAAGCCGGGCTCAAGGTTGGCCGACTCAAGCTAGTCTTTAGACTCTTGCTCAGATGGCGAGGATGGACCCAGTATTCTCGATATTTCAAGGTCATTCCACTATGTGCTGTGTCCCTAAACCTCAGGGCTTCAGACGTAAGGCTTTTGTGCACTTCCTGTTGGTTTGGCCTTGAATATATGGCTTTCAAATACATTTCATCGAATCTCGTTTCCTAAGGTACCATTTACATGCGGCTCCGCTCTATTACTGCCGAGGCTCGAAGCAAAAACGTCTAATACGTCTTTGCAAATAGGTCACACCTTCCAATACAATAAGTATTGGCAATCTTGTGATTTGGCCAAACCATTGAGAATGAATAAAGAGCACTGGCTTTGAACCAGGAACATGGGCGTCGCCACAATAGTCTTGGAAGCCGTGTAAGTTCTTGATGCCCGTCCTTCACAGCTCGACAAACATTCTTCAAGGTTCAAAATAGTATTCGCATCTTTGATCTTATTACCCCGGGGAGAGGCTCAGTAAACTTTTTAATCATTCCGAGAGGTATCATGTACCATTCTGTTCGAACGTAGCAAATCAAACTAGCCAGTCAGTCTGCCATCGAACGAATCAATCCATGTCCGAGCTTCAGTTCAGGCGGCAGTCAATAAGCTTAAAGTATTCGTTGGCATACGACTTCACATCATCAGATGAAACGTCAACCGGCAGGTTCGGTCAGCGTTTCAGACCGTTTCATGCAGCTATTCTTCCGCAGAGAGTACATAAAGGCCAGAATAGTAATCCAGAGCTCCAAGTGACGACCTCTGATGCATTGCTGAGCCCGTTTTGCGCTGTTGATGTTGCGTATTGGTCGGAGTAACGAAGCATAGGACGTGGCACCAATTGATTGAGGGCCTGAAGAGCAGTCCTGGTCTTCCTGAAGTTCTCTTTCCAGGTTTCGAATTTCACAAAGACATCAGCATGTTATTTGTGAGTAGTCGATTTTCCTTCAGCAATCCGTTGCATCTATACTAATCATTGGCAGATCGTTCTTCTGAGCTTTTCTGCGCTGGTGAGCGCGTGTGGGCTTGCAGGACGCCATGTGCTGGGACCACGGGACGCGTCATCACTGCTGTAAGTTGGCAAGATAGCGGCTTTAGAAAGCATGTTCTGAGAAGAATCCAGCGCGAGCAGGGCAAGAACCGGAGACCCGCTGCAGTCTCTCCGCATCCTGAACCCATATCCTGGTATCTTCGCCTACTATGATGGACGGACGGGAGAACGCTTCCACTCAGATCAGCCAAATTGGTTGGATGATGGGGCGTTCACGTTGGGAGTATCGACGTACTCCATCATTGATGGCAATGAGGCCATCATCTTTGACGCACACATCACTCCCGATCATGCTGGCGCGGTCATGCGTCACGTCCAGAGCCAGGGGGTAACCAAAATGTCTGTTGTGATAAGCCATTTTCACAACGACCACATTGCGGGAACAAACGTGTTCGCTCAGGGAGGGGCGACCATTGTAGGCAACGAGAAGACGAAGCGCACTGTCGATCGCAACTCGCAGCGTCTAGCAACTGACGATCCACCCATCACGGCCGTATCACCTACGGATCTGTACACCGACAAGAAGGAGCTGAAGGTTGGGAATCTGACGGTTGAGCTTCACAACTTCCAAGTTCACACTCCAGATGGAACGGTTCTATACATTCCATCGAAGCAACTGCTGTTCGCTGGCGATACTCTAGAAGATACAGCGACATTCATCGCCCAACCCCGAGACCTACCAACTCATCAGAAAGAGCTCCAGCGAATGGCTGGCTTCCAGATATCAAAGATTCTTCCAGCTCATGGAGAACCGAACCGAATCGCTGCAGGTGGCTACAACTCGACTTTCATCAACGCAACGTTGCGATACATCGGTGTCATGACTGAAGACGTGCCACAGCCGGCAGCCTGGACTATGCCTCTGTCGCAAGTTGTAGCTGACGATGTTGCCAAGGGAGATCTGATCTACTTCGCTCAGTACGAAGAGGTTCACAAGAGCAATGCACAATCAATTCAGGAGTCTCGGCAAGGTCGCTAATAGGAAGACCGACGAACCAACGAAAGGCAGGTATCATTGGTTGGGTATGGTAAATTGAAATATGTTAAATCCTTGATGGTAGGCCAAAATATGAAGTTTCATGACTGGCATCCCGATTTGCTGAGTTCTAACAACGTTGTAAACATTGGGACGGGCCTTGTAAGTAATACGTTTGAGAGTGCTGTCTGACGAAGGGCATGATCACCAGCCTACGCTTCATTCACACCCACAACTCCCAAGGTAACACTCAAGATATCGCACGCTGAACCCGGAGCATTTCATGATGTTCCCGGCCTCAAAATATCAGAAACACTTCCGATCAACGTAAGACATATGATTACAAACTCGGATGCCTGATGACGCGCCACATCCATCGTACTGTGCACAAGGCTTGTTGTTACTAGACCCGGCCTACTCTCTGTCACATAATCCAATATTCCGTGCCACTATCTCAACTCAAGTATGTGCATTATTGCCTGAACCAAACCTAATGGTTTTATTGGCAAGATTGGGTCTCGACGTGAATTCAATTGAACCGACTCGAAATGAGTACCGGAAGCCAATATCGAAGACGTGAATTGATCAAGCCGGCATAACTTACCGAACCCCGCGACCGGTCGAAATGCCGATCACGCAACTGAAAAGTAATTCGTCTGCCCCATTCTCAAAACTTGAAGGATCAACAATTATGCACGCTGCATGTCAGTGGGCCGCGGCATCACCACTCTCTACTGGAGTGGCGTTGATTAAGTCCATGTCTCGATAACACATACATATGCAAAGCGATACCGAGCTTGTAACCAATAAAACCCAACTGTCTTACGATAAGGTCACACTACGTCAGCACTCATAAAGGCTCGCGTCTCACCTGTCCTAGTCGAAGCCCTCTTCTCCTAGTATGAAACTCTAATTGTTGGAGAGGGACGTGCTACTGCGGCATCCCTAGAGAGAACACCGTGACGTCTGTGGTGCTCTTTGTACGAGAGGGGTAAAACGCTACCAGGAACAACACCCAACCAAGACTTGCTACTACCATCGAAACACAATACTTTGAGCGACCCAAAGCCAAAAGAGCGTTCCAGGCCAGCGTCTGATCGTATCGGTACCTGCCAATAAAGCCCAAAAACAGGCGAATACGGCGAATACTGAACTTGCCGCCCAGGGTTATCTTCCCTACGCCTTTAAAGGTTATTAAACTTCCCGAGCGAGGAAGCCGAAAGCGAGCTCCCCGAAATTGTAACGACGCGGACCATCCCCCGCGCTCTACCACAATGTCGCCCTCCGCACAGCTAGCCTCCGACGTCCCGGAGATGAATCTCTACAAGCTGAACCGGGTTCACCGCACGCTTGAGAGTCTCAAGGAGAAGGACGTCTGGGACGCGGAAGACACCAAGGGGTTTGATTGCATGCACTATCTTGGCGACGCGGCCATCGAGAACGCCGTTAAAGAGCTCGGTCTGAAGGCCGGGAACCGGGTGCTGGATATCGGATCCGGATTCGGAGGCACGGGAAGGTACCTCTACCGGCACTACGGCGTGCAGACCAGTGGCATCGAACTTCAGGGGGACATTCACGAGATTGCGCAGACGATCAATGTCAGGTCTGGAGCCGGCGGGAGTGCCACGTCCATCAATGGTAACTTTCTGGAGCTTTCTCCAGATAAGATGGGCGCGCCGGTGGACCACATTGTGTCCTTCTTGTGTATCCTGCACATTCCCGAGCGAGAGGCGCTCTTCGGCAAGGCGCATGATGTGCTCAAGCCGGGCGGCAGGGTCTACATTGAAGACTTCTTTGCGCGCCAGACGCTGGATGACAAGACTTTGAAGGTGCTCCGGGAGTCTGTTTCTTGTCCCGACCTGCCTGACAAGAAGGAATACATCGCTGAGCTGGAGAGGGCTGGATTGGAGGTGGTCAGCTGGGTGGACATGTCGCACATTTGGACCGATTTCGTGCATGACCGTGCAGAGGCATACAAAAAGGACCCATCGGTAGATGCCGACTTGACTGCATTCTACGATGCCGTGGATGAAGTTTTCACTGGCGGCCAAGTCGGCGGCGCGCGCATAACGTGTTTGAAGAAATAAGCATATTAGTTTTCTGCCCGTAGAGAACACGTAGCATCGTAGACAGCGCAGAATAAAACTGAGCCTGAACCTCGGGAATCATACCAGAATGGAAGTCCCCGAGCCTGTCCCAGGCGCACGCAAGGGAGAATCTCTCGCGGTTACTGATGTGCCGGGTGGGAGATTGGCAGAAGTCGGCGCTCGGGGAAAACCAGCGGTACACTGGTCCGCTCAATGTCGGTGCTCGGGGCCTATTTGCCATGCGATCCGCGGAAGGAATAAATAGTGCGACGTGCCCGAGAGCAAGAGCTTGTCGACGGACTAGCCCACGGCGTAGGCGGTTACGCCCTACGCAGCGCAAGAGCGGAAATAACTCTAAAAGACTACACTACAGTAAACTTTGCCGACGTTGTTTGATGACAGGCCGCAACAGACTTTTTCCTCTCTACTCGGTAGTTACAGATACAGAGCCGCGCGCGCAGGGAAGGGAAAGGCGCACGATGTTTAGTGATACATATCTGGGGGCATGGGGGAATGTGCACACTTGGGACGACGGGCTATGTGCGCGATTCTGCCAAAATCCTCCAGTCAGGCACGTCCGCGGGGTTTGCTGCGACACTGTAGGACTCCTGCGAATGTATGCGCTAGTCGCTACGCGATGTTGGGACAGAGGCGGCCAAAGATTGTTCCCTTAAGTCCCCGGACGGAGCTATCCACGAGGGCACGAGCAAGGTTTGGGACCACGGTCTCAACTGCACGAATCAGGGAACTTGCCTTACGGGGAACCATGCCCCAGTTTGGAAAGAATGCTTTAAAGCTATCCGCATCCCGCCGGCAGATGGGACATGAGCGCGTACATTACTCTGTCTGTACAGACCAGCGTACGCTGGAGTGGCCCACGCGATAACGAGGCTGAGTGTTGTAGGGGGGGTCGTTAATAACGACGTTTCTCGGGTGTCGGTATCGGTCCGAGATGATCGCATATCATCGTTGTTATTCGTTGCAACAGATGGCTGCGGTAACAAATTGCCTATCTTGGACAGAACGGAGGATCGCTTCTGACTCAGCTATTAGCGACGATTACCTGATACTTGACGAGCGTTGATGACTATCTCCCCGGTCGTTAACGACGGGCCCGTCGCAGCGGACATGAGCACCGCAACGAAACCCTTGACCGCTGGGTTAAAAGAACAACTTGGCATTATGGGGAGGGGGGACAGTTCCTTTCTCGTCTATTCGGTTGGCTCCACGGTCGAGATGGAGCGGTTAAGAGAACCGGGGTGGTTTAGTGATCTACGCCGCTACAAAAGAGAGACAGGGGGCGGGCTCCGTCGGTGAAGTGGAAAATTCCATCGTTCGGCCGGTGCGGAGGACTCCGCATCGTGAGCGTCCGTAGTCCGGCGCATGCCAAGTTGGCATCTTTTGGCGTGTTCCAGGCAGTAACTTTCCGTGACATGTGTAGGCTTGGTGATAATTAGGAATTCTACTGCGTAAGTCATTCTAGACTGGTATGCTTTCTAAAACCCTGTGCTTCTTGCTTCACAGATTTGAGGCTACACGGCCATCTGCATATCGGCAACTTATAAACGATTCGGCGTCTTACATGAACACCCGCAGCAATGCCAATATTGAAGATGTCATACAAAGCGATTACAGGCTAGTGACTCACTTTTACCAAATCAAGTCGATAGCGCGCCTACTGGTCTCAATGGCGCGATGCACGTTTGATACAAGGTGGCGAATGGTAGGCTTGCTACGCCAACGAGCTAAGCAATACGCGGTATATATACGTATGGCGTCCAAAAGTACACACTTCAGATCACGTATATTAGACGCAAAGGTGTGGCACGCACTCATCACATGCGTGGCAGGCGGGGATTGGGCGCCAAAGGGGGATAGTGCTCGTAAGACTTGGCCTGCATGGCAAATGCAAAGATGGTAATCATGCGAGCCGCAGTAATACTCTCTCTGTGTTGTAGTGAAAGCGAGTAGGGGGCAGGAATTCCAAATGATTGGTCTGGTCTTTGATAACAAGACCGAAAGGTTGTTGGTTGACAGATGGGCAACTGAAGCAACGCGAGAAACCATGTTCCGTATCACGAACGTTCGCAATTTCGACGACAGAATCATTCAGGCTGTGGCCGGAGAAGAGAATAGCCATGTTCGCTGTTGCGGTAAGTAGGTAGGTATTCCAACAGGCGCGGGTGACATTGGGGTCAGTTACAGAGTTGTTCGGTTTCGCAATCATTCACCCCTGATTGGATCCGTATTGTGGGATACCGACATTGAAGGGGCCATTTGACAAGTTGCCTGCTAATAACTGGGAGGCATCGGCTAAAAATTCTCGGGGCAAGGTGGGTGTGGTGGTCTCTGCGCGCGGTGATGCACGGCGCTCGGGTGGCCCGGCCGGCGGGATCTCTTTTTCACTGTTTGATTTTTTCTGCCCTCATCCCCCCTGCGATCAGGAGTTTGGGAAGACGATGATATTAGATAATCAAAGGTCTCCATGGCGTCATTTCGCGGCCAAGCTTCCCATTCCCAAGTATTGTAGGCGAGGAATGCCTGTGACTCTGGGCCCGTACAGTATCAGTTAGAGTCAAATTCCTATCGGGCTCGCTTTCGAGAACGGGCTTAGTGTTTTCTTGGTGCAACAGTATCACCGGGCTTCGTCGGATGCCGTAGCACACGAGTAAGGTTGAAGATGATTTGATGGTTGTCGGACTGACCGTCCGCCGCGGGCCTGTATGCATGCATGTATGTGTGTATGTTAGAGTTGCACGCGCATCTCGTGGGGAGTACTGGTAAAAGGGGGGAAAAAGCACCGTTGCGCGGACAGAGAGTTTCCAGATCAGTTTGATGAGATGACTCTGATTAGTCTGATCATCATATAATGTACATCAGTACAGAGGAAGATTCAAGAAGAAGAAAGTTTCGCCT